CACACCGCTGTGGCAGGAGGGGTGCCCTCTGGCTCCATGAGGCAAGGGCAGAGAAGCTGGGTACCCTCCCTGAGACCATCCTGTGTGCTGCTTCATTTGGCTGGCCCTCCCGATTTCTATCCTTCACAACAAAGCTGGAGCCACCAGTGGTACTTTCTGGATCCACTGTAGCAAATTACTGAACCCGAGGAGGGTCATGAGAACCCTTTGAAGTTAGAGCCAGTTGGTCAGTGGTGCAGGTGACCCCGGGATCCCTGAAGTGTGGCTGGCCACTAAAGTAAGCCCAGTCTTACTGGGGACTGAGCCCTTTAACTTGTGGGGTCTAACTCCAGGTAGTTCATACCAGACTGACTTGCAATACACCTAGCTAGGGCGGAAACGGAATATTCACTCTTCAGGCTCCAAACCCGGTATATTTTGGAGGGGGCGGTGCAGGGAGCAAGAGGAATGAGGCAGCAAAAATGCCCAGAGGTAGATTTACTATGAAGGCCATGAAGTGTGGGCTTTAGGATTCTCACTTTACCAGCACCTCCCAAGGTTACCAGCACCTCCCAAGGCTCCAGGAAGGTCCCTCACAGTGCATTCAAATAATCAGATACTTGGACAGATTTTACAAAAGTAAGGCATTTTTGTATCGCTTGTTTTAAAGAGCTTCCTGACTCACCCAACTATCAGATTCTAGAAGCTTCAGGCTTGCCAACTCCCTGGTGGTGAGACCGATTCTTTTTACAAAAAGGGACTGGACTCTCCTGGACGTTCCAGCACAATGGGAAGAAAGCAACCAAGAGTTTTCAGATTCCCAACTAGTGCACAAAAGAGCTGAGAGCGCGAAGAGACCAGAGAAGCTCAGAGTCTTCATGAGATTTCAGGAAAGCTGACTAATGGAGACGGGCCAGGACCCCAGACTTGAACAGCACATGTCCCCAGTGACTCCAGAAGATGCCCTGGCTGCGTGTCAAGACCTCCAGCGACAGGACAGACTGGTCATCCTGTGCTGAGCCCGCAGAGATCCATAGGACGGGGCACCTGCCCCAGTGTCATGATGAGACCCCAGCTTCCACCTTCATCCAGATGCCGTCTTGGGAAGTAAGATGGCAAGGAACCCCTGGAAGCGGGCAAAAATAGCCCAAGGGAGGCACGGACGTTGACCTGACTCTCCCCCAAACAGGAAGTTCTGTTGAGACTGCCTAACACCAAAGAAATTAAGGTTTTCTAAATGGAAACAGGAATTTCCAAACCACTTCAAAAACCTTAAAAAAAAAAAAATCAAACTGAGCTTTGTTTGAAATTGTGATCCTCTTCACTTAAAATAACATGAATACAGAAAAATTTTTTAAATCTTCCAACTCAACAGATTGTCTAAAGGACACTGTGGGAATTTTTAGCATACTATGATTATAAAATAAAATCTGTTTGTGATGAAATGATGATAAAATTTTCAAAGAAAATGGCCATAGCGCTTCAATTCAACCTAAGTGTTCTGAGGCAGACACTGCTATCTCGTCACCAAAATCCTACCTTCCTGGGCTCATAGCCAGACCACAGTTCCCAGTCGCCCTTATAGCTAAAATGGTCACATGATGGAGTTCTAGGTAACGGGATGTGAGCGGAAGTCACGGAGGCCCGTTCACTTAGAGTCCTTAGAACTCAACGCATACCACTCTCTGCTCTGTTCCCCAATTCCAGCTCAAGGAGATGGAGATGTCGAAGCTTGACAGAGTCCCTCCAGTCTGGATCCCTGAACAGCCACGGGTGAACGGTTGCTTCCACCAACCAGAAACACCCACCTTCAATTTTTACCTGAGAGATACAATTCTACTTACTCTTTTGGACAGGCCCATGAATAGGGCAGGTTTAGGTCCATCTACTGCCGGAGTGAACACTACCTGGGGCTATGCTCTTACACATCAAGCCCATGCTATTTCATTTGGCAATCAATGGGCACTTACTATTTGCACACGGAAGTCCAGCCAAGATGCAAGGTGTTAATGAATTGGGAAAGCAGGTATGTCAACAATGACCAAGAAAACGAGCAAGTTGGATTTGAGCTGTTACTGAAGCACAGGCCAAGAAAAGTGAGAGTATGAGAAGTGCGATTAGTGTTTACTCGTGAAGGGATCAAAGGAGTGGTGGCAAGTGAGCTGGGCCCTGGAAGGATGAGGAAAGCTCCAAAGAAAGAGGAATGTAGGCAAGTTCATTCTAACTGCATTTGAGTCCCCAAACGTCTCATCCAGTGGGAGGTGATGCTAAAAACAGAAAAAATATTGTTTTGTTCACCCACAGGGAAGAGGGTCAGGACCCCCGAGCAGCAGCTATAAGGAAAGAGGATTTTGTTCAAAGAGAAGAAGAACTAACAGTTGGGGCTGACCACTGGAAGGGCTGTGCAGACAAAAGGCAGAGTGTCTCCTCTACGAGTGGTCAGCCTCTTGGCATGGGTGCCGCAGAGGTTGTGATTTAAGCACAGGACGGGAAGCTGTTCCACTGAGCTGTCTTCCAGCTCGGGGAGTCTCTCTATCTCCGATGCCTCTGCCAAGCCGGCTTTGTACAACATTTCCAGGAGAAGGGAGAATTATTTTAGCCCTGTTTCAGCATTTCTTATAGAACAGTCTTTGCCAAGTTCCCTTTCAAGCCTGTGTTGCTTAGGTTCACCCAGTGTGTTCAATCATCAGCCAGTGGAGAACATCTCTGCACATTTAGGCCCATGAGAGCCCCTTGCATAAAATTTTCTTATCAAGAAAGAGCTTAATAGGCTGATATTAAACAGGATGGCTGCTAGTGAACAAGTAAATGAACGATGGACAGTAAGCATCTATTTGAATGCTCAGGCCATGAGGCATCCTGCATTAATCGCATGGCCTGGTTAATGGCAAGTTATCAACTCGCACTGAATATGAAGACACAGTTTCCAAGAGATGGGATTACAAAAAGGTATATTACAATAAAGCTGCCCTGAGAACGGTTTTACCCTTCTTGGGTGACTTGGTATCTTGCGAGGCACCTTAAGGTGAAAATTATGAACATCAATTTCATAGCATAGTTTTATAAAACAAACTAGTTTTCCATTTTTAGACATACATGTTCCTTTTGTTAGATAGACCAAAAGGATGTGAACTGAGTGAAGAAATACTAGACAAAAAAAAAAAAAAAGGAAGTTTACATGATACACAATACTACCCTAACATGACTGGTAAATTAGTAACTTTCCACTTTCTTCTTATAAGTTTATAATTTCATCTTCACAACCATTCATTTTCTACTGTGTGGTAGCACAGTGCTCATCATCAGTGGTAGAAACTGAAGAGAAACAATGGGGTATTCTAACCTTGAAAACTTTCTAGGATTCATAACACTATTTACTCGAAGAGCATTTTCCATGGATTATTAAAAAAGGATACATTCAGCTGCCTTCTTGCCCAATAAACAAGATTGTTCTGCTTGTAGTGTCTAGGAATTATACATTTATAAGACAGACTTTAAAATGCTGGCCTAGGTTGTTGTCTCATTTCCTATAATAATATTCAGGTAGTTAATTTATTGCTCACATAAAAGAGAAAAGGAAAAGAATTTCCCCCAGCTCAGAAATGAGCATTAAGCAAAAACTCTTCCCATTAGCGAATGGATCTTAATTATGCAACTACAACCTCACAACAGTGAAACAAAAGATATTCATAGAACCATATTCTGAGGCCACTGGAATGTTTGGATGTGACAGTAAAACCACCACACAAAAGTTAAATTTCACATGTCATTGTTCAACCATAGTGATGAGCAACGCTTTCCTTGTCCCTTTCTTCTTAGGATACCACAGACTTCATTCTTTTCAAAATTCAGGTCGTTCTCTCTCATCATACCACAGCCTGAGTAAATCACCTCTCAAGTGGGGCCAAGACCTGTCTGCCTGTGATATCCAATCTCAAAACTCTTCCCCCATGGCCCTCTGACCCACCTACCTACTTACAGGCTGGGTCCTAAAATCCATGTTTTACAAAGCTTGGGAACTGCATTCCCTTCTGATAAAATGAACAACTCACAAAAACAGCTTCTATTTTGTTTGGTTTTCACCCAACCATGCTTACTATTTCCAGCGCGCATTTACCGGCCCTGCCTGGAATGCACTTTCCAGACTGTTCTGTCTGCCTTGGTTCTAAGTCTGTGCCCCATAACGAAAGTGCGGCTAAACCTTCAAAGGCAAGAGTCACGCTGACCTGGGCACTCACACGCGTGTTTCCTAGGAGCAGTTTGATGTTTCTGTGCTCAAACAGTCTGAGATCATAGACCTCAGTCAAAATGAGGAATCGACATTTTCCAAAGCAGGGAAACAAAAAACAATCCAAACTATAGAATACCATTTCCAAGTGTCAGTGACCCAAGTCCCAGGCCCCAGGCTGCATCTGCAAGGGACGGATCAGATCAAGCCAACATCAAGCCCCCAAATGCATCAGCACTCACTGATTCTGTTGTTTCGAGCCAGCTGTGTGCCCTTGCAGAGTCACCTAACCTCTCTGGACCTCAGCAAAACCAAGAGAGCACAAAGGCACCTTCCAGTGCTAATGTTCGGTGGGTCTAGGAAACAGAAATGTAGTCAGAAGAGACTGCTGTCCTGAACTCTCTCTGCAAGACTTGCAAAAGTACAACTCCAATTAAAGAACATGAAACGAGGGGGAACAACAAAAAGGTCTTCTAAAGCCCCCTTCCACATTTGGATTCTAACTCCAAGTGAGGCATGACCAGGCAATCGCGACTCATAAAACATTAGCAGGTCTCACAGCTCTCATAATCCTGTTTCCAGGGACCAACTCTGCTCTCACAAAACAACTCATTATCTTCCAATGAAATGCAGAAATAACTCCGCGGCAAGAGCAAAATGACTTATTGGTGTTCAAGAGCCCTTCCCCTCGTAGGGGCAACCAGTTCCCCTCAAAGGGGTCCAGCCACAGGCCTCTGATTTCAGCCAGCCAACAACGCCCCTCAGAGCAGGAAGTCGCGAAAGCCACACCTACCCTCAGCCACTGTTTCTCCGTGAGGGCGTCGCTGTAGTCCACGTCCCGGCGCTGGCGGGAGCCCCTCCCGAAGATCTTCTCCTCCTCCTCTTCACAGGTCAGCCGTTCCACCTCCGCGTCGTCTTTAATAATCCACGACGGTAGCTCGTCTTCCTCCATCAGGCGGGGCTTGCGTTTCGGGTTCCGGGCATCCTCTCTGCGCCGGTCCATGTCCATGCGCTGGAGGGATGCACAGAAGTCTCACCAGAGGGCAGGGGGATTCTGGACGGTGTAGACTTAGCAACAGGTCTTTGCAAGTCACCGCCTATGGCTGCAGGGTCCCTTCGGCATCTCCCATGGAGTCTCTGTGTTCTGACTTGTTCTAGCTCATCCCCAAGGCCAAAATCTCTTCCCATCCCTAAGGCCAAAATCTCTTCCCGTCCCTGGTACCCATCTTTGAAATTTATTTAAGTAATTAAAAAAATACTTTTTTTTCCCACACATCTGGAATATACTTAAAATAGTGTGCCTAATTTTTTTAAACTGAATTTATCAGATACAGGAATACTGAAGCTCTGCAGCATGAATCTTTCTAAGCTATTCTTAGATTCTTCTATCTAGCAATAAGAAAACCCAAAGAACTACTGTAATCGCTATGTAGCCAGGATGTATTGTAGTTTGTAAATTGCAGTTGTCAACGTTTGCTTTCTCTAAAAAAAATTCCTTTTCTTAGTTTATATGGGTGCAAAAGCTCCCCATTAAGTAGCAGTGAGAAAATTCAAATTGGGGGTGTATTTTAAAAATATAACAGCAGAAATTGATATAACATTCTAAGTCAACTATATTTCAATTTTTTAAAAAATGAGTTAAAAATATGAGCCCTGGTGATACAACTCATTGCTGCGCTGGTGTAAAATTATTCTTCAGGCATATAAAAGAGAAAGTTCATTAAGAAAATGTCCTGTACCTCAGTGGGGCTCATGCTTTTAATCAGACAACCAGGAAGAATTGGTCATCAAGTGTCACTATAAAATAGCCACCCTCAGTTGGACTTGAACACGTGAGCACATAACTGGTTTATTAGTCAGTCAGTCATGAATGTATTCAATTTTCAGTGTACCCTGGGCTCTGGGAGAGGAATGTCCCTCAGTTCTTCAGGTTTCAAAAAGCTTCACTCTTATGAAAATATTATGCCACAGAGTGACAGACGTCAAAGGGAATCTCATCTCAAATGATATAAGTGGAATGGCTTCCTTTCAACAGCCTTCAAAATGCCTATATCCCCAAGTCCTATTTTCCTTTTTAAAAATCCAGTGCACTAGTAAATAAATTAAGTGCCATGTATTTGCTTTTAACCTATAACTAAACAATGTGATGGTTAAAAAAAGTAAAACCTCCACTGAATTGCTGTATACATTAGTTATATGTGTCTATCACTGGCAAGAGCATTTCTACAAGCAAACAGACCATTAACTATTAAATGATTTACCTTTTCCCTCTTCCTTCAGTTCTACTGTACTGAAATGGGAATTCAATATTAATTTTTTCTTAAGTGCTAAAACTGGTAACAGGATGTAAAAGAAATTTCTATTTAAGTCCAAACTGGATCTCTAGAATCTATTTAAAGTTCAAAGTTCCTTCAGCTATGCTTCAACATTTTTGGAAATCATTATATTCCCAAGATGGGCTGGGCTTGGAGCATGGCGGAGTCCCATTGGTAGATAAATGTGGCCGTCCTGTTCTGTCATATGCTATAGTTAGCTGAAGAGGTTGCTCTTAATCCTGCCTCCTAATGCTCTGGTATCAGAAATGGGATCCAACAAACCTTTGGAATCAGCACACAGAGGATGCTTAGTTAACAGTGCAATCTAAACAGGGACCTCTCAAGGTAATTTCCTAATAGTTTTTAGATAGTATTCAAGAAAAATTATTTTTTGTTAAGGCAGTGTACAGAGCTGGCAAAATATCACCACTTCAATTTTTGGTTATATGATTAGCATTTCCCATACCAAGACTTGTAAAATGACTTATGCCATGCATTAATCCACAAATGAGAAAATAATTGTCTTCTAATATAAAAGAAAATAAATTGCACTACTTTTTTTTCTTTTAGGAAGAACGCAAAAATATTTTTTGATGCAATTTTTAATATGATTAAAGTTCTTATGACTGTAACTCTTCCCAAAGATTTCTACTTACAGAGGACAAGTACAAAATCTGAAGTTCATATTCAAGTAAGATTAATTTATCACTTAGCTATTACATGAATATGTTTGTCCTAACACCCAAGAACCTTATGCTAATGTGTATGATTGTTTTTAAGGGGAAATAATAATGCCTCTGTAGGGAATAGAGCAGCTTAAAAGCTTTTTTAAGCTTTTAAAATGTTAGTATGTTAGCTCAACGTTTCAGACACTAATCTTGGCCTGTCAAAAATCTCTTTTAGGTAAAATTCATAGGTAATCAGTATAAGAGATAACTTTCTGAAGTCACATTTTTGGAAGGCGAAAACAAGAAAAAAATGTTCAAAAGAAAGGTTTTATTTTAAAGAGATTATCTGCATAATGTGTGTTATTTAATTAACTACAGTGCCTAGGATACAAGAATCAAATAATATGTCTGTTTTACTTTTATATGGGCTTCCCTGGTGGCTAAGACAGTAAAGAAGCTGCCTGCAATGAAGGAGACCTGGGTTTGATCCCTGAGTTGGGAACATCCCCTGCAGGAGGGCATAGCAACCCACTCCAGTATTCTTGCCTGGAGAATCCCCACGGACAGAGGAGCCTGGTAGAGCTAACTTTAAAAACAAACAAAAAAAAAAGTGGATTAAGAGTTTAAATATTTGAATTCCAAATCTAGCTCACATTCCATTCTTGTTTCTCACTAGTTTTTTATCTGAACTGGCAAGGATTCAATTTGATTTCCTGCCCCCTGGTGGAGGAGCTAATGAATAGTGAATTGGCCAAAGGCAGCAGGCTGATTAAAAGACTTTAAAAAGCCAACACAAGGCAAACCAAACCAAAGCAAAGCAAACCAAAAATCTGTATTATCCAAGAATGAGAAGTCAACCTTTAAGAAACCAGCACAATGTTCACAAGATGAAAATGCCTACAGAAAAGCCTTCCATAGCCAGCGTCACCTGTTCGCAGTTAAAAGAAGGCTGTGCCTTGGCCAGACCTCCAATTTTTTTTCTTTTTTCCGAGGCTTTCAATTTCTACAAATACCCAGCCAGAAAGGCAGAAAAGAGAAGTACTCCTTTTCCCTTATTTCCCGGCTGCTGATGGAAACCTCCATCTCTGGGCCTAATCTGATTTGAATAATGGCAGGTAGCTTATCCTTTCCAAGGGCCTCAAGAGTGTCTGAGGCTATAGCGGTGCTGAATTATTGCCAATCAGTGATCAGCCAAGGAAGCTGAGGGCCTCTTGCCTTGGTGTACGTTTTAATAAGCTCCTCAAGGAGAGAAAAGATTAGTCTATTTCCTATGTGTATCTCTAATCTCCCCAAACAGAGAATAATCTATAAAGGTGGTGATCGGCAGTCTGAGTTAAGAAATTTAGGTCTTATGAATAACCTGTGTTGACCATGCTGGTAAAGGCTTCTTTCTGTCATTTTTCTTCAAAATGGCCTTACTATGGGTAGGATCGTTCACTTTAAAGGGCAGGGGGAGAGTGAGCATGCCAGGGTAGGAGCTAGTCCTGTGGCTACCTAAAAGTTTCCTGAGAAAGAATTAACTGTCCTTTATCTTGAATCATTGTGTGTGAGCACAGTCATTGTTCCCAAGACAAAAGTCACAAAAATAACGTAAGCTTTCACACAGCTGTGACTCCCTTCTCAGACTGTCTAGGCTAAACGGGTGGAAATTGCAAACTCTGTGGGTCATATTTGGCCCAGGGTCATATTTTACTTGGCTTGAAGTGTTAAATTATAATAAAAAAAATCGAATTTAGTTGCAAACATCTTGAAATCCAGACAGTGAATAGAAAAACCTCACTTTTTAGTTTCTCTTGAAAAGCTGGAAATTTCTGACTACATGGGACTTTCAGCTCTGTCTTCCTAAGACAAGGCGATACCCTTTGTTCACCTTTCACCACCATCCACTCACCCCTGTCCACTTGCTTCCCCCATGAAAGTCATCTGTCTGAGACCTGGGGGCTTCAAATTTGGGAGCTCTGATTGGGGGTTCTGCAGCATTTATTCACTCACTCCACAAACAAGCTAAATGTTAGAAAGATCAAAAGATTAAACACATTGAGCAGAGCCTTGCAACTTTTTAGATCCCGACCTATGCTGACATCCTCATGAGGCCTGAAAGTTTGCAAGTATTTATTTAGCATCTATTATGTGCCAGTAACTGGTCTGAGCGCTGGGGATACAGAGGTAAATAAGATAGCTATAGTTAATGCCTTAAGAACACAATCAAATATGACTTCTGAGGGTCTCACTCATTAGCCAAGAGACTTGCTCCCTTCCGTACTGACCTTGTGGCAGGCCAGAGACATACATCAAATTTAGGTTTTGGCAAGATTACAGATGATTATGTATCCTGGAAAGTCAATGTTGAAACGTCACGGACATTAAATTTTCATATGTCAAGGTTCTTTGTTATACCAGTGAAAGGCAACCAATTTAGATCTTTAAGGGAATGCTATACCTTGATGCAGACCTAGAAGGCTGCCTCCCAGGTGGTGCTACTGGTAAAGAACCTGCCTGCCAGTGCAGGAGATAAGAGACATGGGTTTGATCCTGGGGTCAGGAAGATCCCCTGGAGGAGGGCATGGCAACCCACTCCAGTATTCTTGCCTGGAGAATCCATGGACAGAGGAGCCTGGTGAGCTACGGTCCATAGGGTCGCAAAGAGTCAGACACGACTGAAACAATTTAGCACGCACACCTTGATGCATACCTAGAAGGTCGCTTAGGGAGGCTCTCTTCAACAAAAAGAAAAGGGAGGAGGTCTTCAGTTGCTTACCGTCCCCCCGCACCCCCTCCAGGGAACATATTTGTTTGGAGCCCTAAGGAGACGGCTAGGGAATAGCTGTGAACGCTGCCTGGAGGAGCAGGATGCCTTCCGGCATTAGAAATGAGCTGGAAGCAGGGGTGTGTCTGTGCTAAGCTGGGGACCACATGGCCTGTCCTGAGGGTTCAGCTGCTACTCGGCCCTAGCCAAACGCTTCCATTAGATGTGGGCCTGGTCTTATGGCCCATGCTCATTTTTCAAGAGAAGCCAAAAATCAGGATTCTTTTTGTGTTGGCAACAGACTTGAAATTTTTAAAAAACACAGCATGGGCCAAACAAAATATGTCTGCAGGCTAAATCCAGCTAGTTTGCAGCCTCTGAACTGAAGGAAAAGGCTCAGGCTTTACAAATGAAATTTGGCCAGGGCACCAGGCCCCAGACATCGTGTGTTTAACAGAAAAGGGGCGGGGGAGGGAATGAGGCATTTGTTTCCATGCTTTTCTGTAACATTACCATAAAAAGATCAAATTCCTCCTCTCGTCGAGCAATCATTTGGTTCAGAGTCTCATCGTCGGGCACTTCATCTTCTTCCTGGGATTAAGAACAGAACAGAACAGAATGAGTTAACAGGTTTCAGGAGAGAGGCTGGACAACTGGGGTGAGGTACCAGTGACTAAGGTGAATCGCCAGAGGTGGTTCTCCAGACCAATGGGACCCCATTTCAAGCCAGAAAGAAAACAGAAGGGTCACTGAGTATAGCACTTGCCATAAGTATTTTGCAAGCAATTCAAAGCATCTTTCCAGAGCAAAAACTGTTTGGGCAGGAAACATAGTACACTCTAAGAAATACCAGTTCTTTTGAGGGTGGGAGGGGATGTATCTTGATTCCCTTAATTTAATTTTTTTTTTGGCCATACAATGCAGGATGTGGGATCTTAGTTCCCTGACCAAGGATCAAACCCATGCTCCCTGCATTTGGAGTATGGAGTTTTAACCACTGGCCCACCAGGGAAGTCTCTTGATTTCCTTACTTTTAAAACAGGTTACTTACTGTCTCCCTGCCTCAATGACCTCATCTGTAAAATGGACATGACATTTACTCCATAGAGTAGATGTAGGATTTAAATAAGGAAATCCCCATGAGAATGGGCCTAGCATTAATTCCTTTAATTCCATTAACCTTATGCCCAATATAAATGCTTATCTTCAAAGCTTTATGAAGAACATGACTATGTGAAACTTAGTGATAAGACACAAAGCAAGACCACAAAAAATCACATGGATATATGTGTCAAACACATGGCCTTTAAAATATGTTTAATCAATATATTTCAGTGGGCACTATTATGCTACTGTTACAGCTGCAATTGTGACAACTCAAAAGGTATCAATAACAAACGTCCCACAAAACTCTTCTTAACAAAAATAATTTAATATAACTTAATTTAAAATAATTTAAATGAGGTAGAGAAAGCAATTACCCAAGGCCTCATGTTTTCATTTTATAATGTGTTAGACCAAGGCACATTACATATCTGAAAATTCCTCAGAAACCAATAGTTCTCAAATTTTTTAGAAATATTGTTCTATAATTTTCACACTTAAAAGATTCCAGAATGTTGGGTACATACTACAAAACTTATAGTCCAAAATGCTTTTTATCATATGCTGAGTGAACTTGTTAAAAATCAAATGGGGAATTTCAGTGTTATTAGCAGAGGGAAGAAAGGGAAACCCAGAACTTCAAACATCCAGTTTCCCAAGTCATATTGATACATTCAAAATGGGGCAACTTGTTCTAGAAAGAGTATGAGCGTCCTAGCAGCCTCAAAGAGATGACTCTGTCTATTCCCAAGATAATGTCTGGTGCACTGTGTCAGAAATGAATGCAAGTCAGTAACGTAAAAACTGATGACTCAAGATAAAATTACTTGTGAAAAACCTATGCTAGTTCATCTCCTGATGGAAGGCAATTTGTCTAAATACATTATTATATTTCATCTGACAAAGAAATAGACTAGTTGGAGTGGGCTGAGACTTCAAGATACAAAGAATTTGGTTAGTATATCCTCTGGTGAAAAGATGTCTGGTTTTGTCCACCCTATTCCTAGGATCATGTTATCCCCTCATAGCCTATATAGTGTCAGGTTGGACTTCTCCCAAGCCCAAGATGAAAAGATGCTCTTGTAAACTGGCAAGAAGCCTGGTCTTCACAGAGACACTGGCAGGCAAGTGGACAATACATCTGCCTGGGCTCCTTACGCCCTAGTGCTCCATGATCCATCAACCATGGTGATAGCTGCTGTGGATATTCAGGATCAGAGACCCTGACTGCAGGCGATCAGGGTCCACAAACATCTTCACATCAGGACACATGCTATCCAGAAAATGGTAACATTTGTCCGACAGACAGACAGCCTGGAAGGGGTGTGGAGCCCCAGCAAGTCCGCTCAGTTAGATGCAACTGGCATCAGATTCTGCTAAAGGCTCCCCCTGGTGGCCCTCAGGGTGAGCAGACCTTTGGTCCTGTCCAAAATGTGCATAAGACATCTGGTCCACGCCAAAAGGTTCTTGAACTTCAGTCCTGTCCACAAAATCCATGAGCATATTTGGTCCCTGCCAAGTGGTTCTGGACAAATATCAAAGAGCTTTTGGTGTGGACCAAATGTCTTATAGATCAAATGTCTTAACGGATGTTTTGGACAGGACCAAATGTCCTGCAAGGGTCCTGAGGACTAGGAGAAGTCAACATCTCCCTGAGGTCTCAGAAGGTTGCAAAGCTACAGGCAACACTAGATTCCAGCTAACGCAGGTCAGGGTTATTTCCACAAGGCCCACATAAAACAAAACAAGCAAAAATGTCATGGAGACTCCTAGCTGAATATCAACTCTGCCTATTATTCTATTTTTTAAATTTCCAAATCTGTAAACAACAACAACAACAAATCACCTGACAACCTGATTCTAAATCTGCATCAAATATTCAATTTTGAGAATCAAATTTGTATCAAACATTCAATTCCTAGAATCAAATGTAGCAAATTACTTAAGATCAAAATTTTAAAAATTTTTTGCATTTTCATTATTTTAGTGAAATCTAACAGATAACTAATCAAATATATAAGACTGACAAGTGAAGAGGCATAACGGAAAAGTGCTCTTCAGCTTGCAAAAAGATTCATTTCAGGATTCTTTTAAATATCAAGAACTACTTCACATTTCAACTTATTTCAGAAACAAAAAAGTAAATGAGATTTTTCAAAGAATCTGGCTTATAATTTATAGAAGATTTAAAAAACATTCTACTTAAGGCAAAATCAAACTACAGTTGACCTTGGACAACTGTGGTTAGTCCATGTATATTTTATAGGGGGCCCTTCGGATCCATGATTCCTCTGCATCCCCAGATTCAACCAACTACAGACCCATGTAGTGCTGTAGTATTTAGCATGGAAAAACATCTGCATATAAGTGGACCCACATAGTTCAAACTGTGTTGTTTAAAGGTTAACTGTATATCTAATATACGCAATGAAAATAGTATTCCACATGAATATGTAAGACAAATCCATTTTTCCATTTATAAACCTGGGCACACCAAACCAAATCTGTCCATCCCAAGTCAATCTTATAAAGACTGATGCTGGTATTTTGTATAGTCTTCTAGATTACATAAGTACTATATCTCTTAACTTTTTCAAACCCATTTGGGAATGAAAATTTAGAAACAAATGACTAAGACTAGCAATCTTAAAAAACACAGCTACCCAAAGATTCCCTGAGAGAAACAAAATCGATGCATTCTTGGAACAATGTTGGCAAATAAAAAGAGATTTCTTTTTGTCAGTAATTTTCTCAGTCTCCGGTCAGCTCTTAACAAGAGAATTTGGAGTGGAGGTTAAGGTCATTCTTTTTCCAGTAGAAGTGACTCAAAGAACTCAAGACGGCTCCAAGGGCTTCTCCTACAAACATACTGAAGTTCTGTGAGCCCGGATCAAAAGGCAAGGTAGAAAAAGGGCTCTGAAGGATGGAGAGAGAAAAGGCAAGGAGGAACCCTTCCGTTTTGTCTAGTCTCATCTAGCAGCTTCTTTCAAGAGGCCTTTCTGCAGTTCTGCATCTTCCCTACAGAAGACAGCACTCACAGTACAATCAAGCGTGCGGGTTGCACCTCTCTGGCAGAAACCAGGGAAGCACCCGCTAGCCAAGCCTTTTAAGACACTCGCCTGGATAAGTTTCACAGGCTTTCTGTGAAATTTACCGGGGTAAGATAGCGGCTAATTTATTCATTTTAATTAATGCCAGCCCAGGGAATGCTTTAAAGAACAAAGAGGTCCTTCTTAACCCTCGCGAGACTCAAGGTCACTGGCTTCCTAGACTCGGCTTTCTGCCGTACCTCATTTTCCTCTTCGTGTTCCAGTATGGCCTGCAGGAAGGCCCTCCGCTCATGGCTGGAAGACTTCTGATCAAACATGCCTGCCTGGATCACCTTCTGATCCACATTCAGCTTGTACTTGGCGGCGGCGAGGATCTTCTCCTCTACGCTGTTGACGGTGCAGAGTCTCAGCACGCGGACCTCGTTTTGCTGGCCAATTCGGTGAGCGCGGTCCTGCGCCTGCAGGTCCTGTTGGCGAGAACCACATGCTTGAGGGCCAATGCGTCTGGGTTCGCAGCTGCGTCGCCCACCCAAGAGGCAACCAGGGAAGCGTTACTTAATCCACCTTTGCTAATGCACGATTCTGCTTACATTTGTAGAATATACAAGCTGCCTTCCTTCGAAAAACTCAAGGTCATTGCTAGCTGAAGGAACCTGAGTTCAAATTACCCAAGCCAACTGAAATACCTCTCAGGTTTTGAAATCCAGGTCTCAAGATGGTTTTTTTGTTGTTGTTTGTTTTTAATGTGTCCCTAGGTTCACCAGATTTGTCCCTAACTAAAAAAATAAAATAAAAATAAATTTGATGTCACAAGTTTGACTTGGATATTAACTACAACTAACCCTAAGTTGCAGGGTTAAAGTGAAAGTCAAAGTGTTCGTGGCTCAGCCCTGTCTGACTCTTTGCAACCCATGGACTGTGGCCTCCAGGCTCCTCTGTCCATGGAATTCTCCTGGCAAGAATACTGGTGTGGGTTGCCATTACCTTCTCCAGGGGATCTTCCCAACCCAGGAATCGAACCCAGGTTTCCCTCATTGTAGGCAGATTCTTTACCATCTGAGCCACCAGGTGAGCTGGTTGCAGGGTTAAACGAAGGTGTTAAAGATGATTATTAAGATACTGCTGAATTATACACACATACATTATACATATATACACACATTGTTCATATAATGATTGTCCATGTAGCAAATTTTCTGGGATCTAATTCAAATCATCAAAGACTCAACCTTTAGTTTGGAGGAATGAAAGGGAAAGCTAGTAGAGTGGTAAACAAGTCACCATTTGGGGGATAGAAATTTGGCACTGTGTATCGAAACTGTTAAAATTGATTGTGGTCCTTAACTCAGAAATTCCACTTCTGAAAATGCGTCCTAAGGGAATAATCATGCATATGCACAAAAATTTACAATAAGGATGCACCTTTCAGCATTATATATTATTTATAATTTTTTTAAAAAGCAGAATTAAGTAAACATTCAACAGTAACAGACTGGTGAAATAAATTACAGTCTTCTACCATATGTGCCAAGATAGTACATTAAAATTATACTGCAGAAAACTTAATGACACAAAGCTATAATATGTGAAAACTGCAAGTTATATATGAGTATGTACATTATGCTCTATGTGCATATATTTATCTATACCAAGAAAATGGAGAAAGGACAAATCCTAAGAAGTCAATAATATTTATATCTCCAGATAAGATTATAGGTGTTGTTACATTTTCTTCATTTTACTTTCGTGTCGTTTGGCAATTTTTTTTTCTGCTTTGAATATATATTACTCTTGTAATAAAAAAATAAGATTTTAATGAACTCTTTCAATAAAAACCTTCATAAAGCCATGAGGCAGAGTTACCTAATTTTAATGCCACATGATAAAAACTTGTTGGCATGTCACTTTTATTTCAGTCCAGGTAAGGGCTTCTGGGGCAATGTTAATTAGTTGTTTCCATGTGTCCTCCATTAAACCCATGTACATTTTTAGGGCAAAGGTCTGTCCCCTGTATCCTGCATCCTTGGCACCTTTAAAAAATTTTTTGCACAGAGCTGATACTCCATAGCTATAAGGCCATCATCTTGACAAGATGAGTTTCCTGGTCAGTCATGTAGCACTAAGGCACAATGGGCCAAAGCCTGCCCAGGAGACCTGTCTTCGCTGGGCCTTTGCAATTAATGACTAATTGGGCAAAATGTTTTCTCAGAAGATATCTGAATGGGAGAGCTAAACTATGAAGACAGCTGGGACTCATCCAAATTAGATTATTTTCCAAAGAGGAGAAAGTAGGGTAGATCATTAAAAACCAAAGGTATACAGTCACTAGGGAGGAAACCCTACACTTCATTTTCAAGCCCTGAGTTCAGTCCTCTCTCTCCACACATCTTCACCAGGATGGCTGAGCAGCAGCCAATTTGGCAAGTTCTGTGCCATCCCCCTCGATTATTTCCTAGAAGAGGGGTTGAATACTGATTCCAGAATGGGCCCAGTGGTAAATATTCCAGGCTCCCTGGGTCAAGAGCAAACATTGAGCAACTGTTCCTACTGAAGGCTGATATTCATTTTTCTTTTTCAATTGCACATTTTATATGTAAAAATGTGAGAATCATTCTTTGCTTGTATTGTGGTCCAGACTCATATGGCCGGCCAGACTTATCCCTGGGTTATAGTTTGAGTCTGTCCTAGAAGATGCTGATCAAACATAAAATACGAAGGTCCAGCTGGCAGCAGATTATGACAGGTGAGGAAGTGGAGAGCATGGACCATCTACAAACAGGGGAACAATTTTTTGAACCCTTGGGAGAGCTTGTTGCCATTAGGTTTTTGTTGTTGTTGGTGGTGGTGTTTTTTGGTATGTTTAACATGACCTATTCGCAAAATAGCAAAAATGACTATTTCTAGGCTGAAGAAGTTTATGCAAGGTAAGCCTGTGGGCCTCTATTTCAAAAATGGGGGGAAATATCAATATTATGACAAAGAGATAAGTATTGCAATCACTGAATGGATTATTTACCATTTCTGAGGTCTTAGAGATCTGGAACCCCATCACACTGATTTAGGTGTGATGATATCTGAAGACATGAGCACAGCCTGAGAAAAGGACCTACAAAGTAACTGTGCTGTTGACCTCTCTGTAATAACAACACAGCTCCTGCTCCACAGGTTAAAGTGAATAAAATAAATACCCGTGTTTCTCATAGAAGTTTGGAAAATGAGAGTCCTGGTGACCCCGAAAGGTTTTAGTGCCAATTCCACATTCATATAGTCTATCTTTGACTTTAGCAATGGCCTCCAATTAGCAACTTTAAGGCCAGAATCTTCAACCTACGTCAAATAAACCCCCTTTCACCAATGTGCCTTAATTTTGATTCAATACAATAAAGAATAATTACAGGAAAAAAGTGTTTCTTCAATACATGCTGAAGTCAAGATGGAAAAACAACTCTACAACTTTTATTTGGAGGGGGAGGTAACATTTATGCAAGTGTACAAGGCTGAAAGAGCCCAAAGTCAGGATTTAAACCCTAACTTAGACAGACATGGGTGTGAATCCTGGCTGTGCTTCCTGGGTTTCTTTACACATAAAATACTCTAAGGATTTCCTGAAAAGAGGTATGCAAAGTGCCTCATAGTATCTGAGAGAGTTGTTGTTTAGTAAAAGTTAGTTCTCCTACCTTTTAAATGAAAAATTAGTGTTCATCTGTATCACTCTAAGATCACTGATTTCTGAAAATTAAAAAAATAAAAGTCTGCCCAAATTAATGGCCATGTTTAAATGACAGGCGTGGGGGGAAAAAAAAAATCTAGTCAGTCTAGTTAACCACATCAGGTGGAAGTGAATCTACCTATGGCAGATATAGAAATATCTGCAGAAACATATGGCCCAGAGTGAGGAACTTGGGATAAATTAGACCAGAGGAAACGTGGGGGTCTGTGTTTTGTTGCCCAAGTTTCAATTCACATGCACTGTGAACTGTTAGGTATGCATGTAACTTGCTTTTATTCTGGGGTTCCATTTTTAGCTACTGTTCATAAAAGTGTGTGTATGTGAGTGTGTGTGTGACAGAGAGAGACAGAAACACATGGATGTCCCAGCATCCTTTCTCATGGTATACTAGCATTTTTGGAAACTAGATTTCCTTGGATTCTTAGCATAAATACTGTGCCAATGAGGGTGAACAGCTGAGATGCCACAGAAGTGTTTATCCTGGAAGATAAAATCTAGGGAACTCTCCATCCACCTATACCCAGGTTACTGTATCCCACTGAAGATTTAGGCAGCAGCAACTAGGGTGATGTAAACATCGAGGCAAACTAAGCATCCTGGGAGGAAGGGAATCACACATCCTCCCCTAGATACTGAGCCTCGCTCAGTGCCCGTGGCATAACAGCCCTTCAATAAATGTTTGTGGAACAGACACTGAATCACCACGGTGAGAGGAAAACTGCGGGTTTCTCCTGGGAATAAGAATTCTCCCTGTGATTTGGAAAGAAATATGGGATATAAAAATATACAAGGCATATAAGACTACCTCCCGAAGACTATTATACTATGTGCTGGTCACCTGTAACCCTTTTCAGGGTCAGAAAATTTCCAAGGGAACTCGACTTTAATGTCATCACCTAGAAAGAATGGCTGGTGGGCACATGCAGTGGTCAAGGCTGGTGGCCACCCAAAGGTTTGGAATGACTGCTTTGTTCTTGAAGTCAGGGATCCCCAGCTGTGTGAGGGGGTCTGTGTCTGAATCTCCCAGAAGCTTGTGTATAGAGAAGTCCAGACAGGTGGGAAGACCCTATAAAATCAAGGGTGAGGTGCAGCTGTTTTTAAAAAGCTCCCTCGTAATTCTAATGCATCTGAACCCCACCTCCTGACACAAACAACTTCTGTAAGCCTTTTCCATCCCCTCTTCACAACAACCTAGTGAGATGGTATGATTCTGCGGATTTGTAGTCCATGAGACCTGCACAGGAAGGAGTCCAGGTTAAGCTGATGCAGAATTCACCATCCTACGTGAGAGCTGCAGTTCTCCTCTTTACTACTGTGAATCCACATTTGTTCCAATATGAATCTAATCCTCAAAAATATCGCACTGCATGTGTGCGAAGTCACTTCATTCATTCCCAACTCTTTGCAACTCTATGGACTGTAGCCCACCAGGCTCCTCTGTCTATGGGTTTCTCCAGGCAAGAATACTTGCGTAGGTTGCCATGCCCTCCTCCAGGGAATTTTCCCGACCCAGGGATCGAACCTGCATGTCTTAGGTCTCCTGCACTGACAGGCAGGTTCTTTACCACTAGCACCACCTGGGAAGACTGAATATTGCTCTACTGAGTATCTTATTGGCAGGTATACTGCCTACCTCCCAGACGAAACTGCCACAAGGGACCTATTCTATTTGTTTTTTTAGTAGTTGCTCATAGAATATTTCTATGCATTTTAAAAAATTGAAGTATAGTTGATTTAAAATGTTTTAGGTGTACAGAATAGAATATTTTTCGATGATGATTTTAAATAAAACACAGAATAAAAAACCAATATACAAATTGTTTGACCTTGGGGACATTATTTACAGCTTTCTAGGACTCATTTTTACCAGGTGGCTCAGACAGTAAAGAATCCACCTGCCATTGCAGACCCAGGTTCGATCCCTGGGTCAGGAAGACTCCCTGGAGAAGGGAATGGCTACCCACTCGAGTATTCTTGCATGGAGAATTCCAAGGACAGAGGAGCCTGGTGGGTTACAGTCCATGGGGTCGCAAAGAGTTGGACACAACTGAGCAACCAACACTTTCATTTTCAAATATACTTTGCTCAGTGGCAATCCCAGGAGATGGGGGATGGAGGGGCTTAAAATGAAGGGGAAACTTGAGTTTTGTCCTGCAACCTTGAATTCTTCAAAGACACACCAAAGGCATGTGTAAGACATCTCAATATCTATCTTTCAAGGGATATAAGAAAGCACACCATAAGAATGTGCTGGACTGTTTTCCCTTTGGAGACACGGTCCGCTTATTTAGGAATGTGCTCTGCCCCATAAATGCATATGAGGGAACCGATAGCCTCTCCAGTCTTCTCCAGGAGGGAGGCTAGGGCACCAAAGGCAGAGAGATGCATACCTGATGAGGATTCCAGTCGCTGTCGAAGATGACCACAGTATCAGCGGCCTGGAGATTCAAGCCCAGGCCTCCAGCTCTTGTACTCAGCAAGAAAATGAAATACTGGGACCCAGGTTCGTTGAATTTCTTTAGCAAAGCAGCACGATCTTCAGACTTGGTGGTGCCTGAGGGGATGAGAAAAATAAATTTGCCAATTAACTCCTGTCTGAAAATGGCACAGAGCTAGACAAAAGGGCCTGCTTCCTTGAGAAATAGACTCAGACTCCTCTTGGTATTGGTGAGGAAACCCCTAAGGTTTTTGCACTTTTGAAAGGAAAACTGAACATCTTGCAATTAGGAAAAAGAAAAAGAGAGATACTAAGAGACTTTTCTCTAATCAAGAAGGAATGCTTTATCTACTCATTGTTCCAAAATGTTGAAAAGAGTTTAAATATTCTGATAGGGAATCTGTAAAACTTACAAATCTTGTAACATTCTCACTGTAATCTAAAACTTGGTGAAAACATTTTTTGGATTTATTTTCATGCTTGAAAACACCAAATAACTTAAAAAATACACACACGCACATGCCTAAAGGATTATTATAATGGCTTAAAGCTACTTTGCCAGTCGACTTTAGAGTGGGGACTTGTTTATGCCCAAGAGAATGGAAACAAAAGGAAATTGATTTCTACTATATTTTGCCATTCAGATGGCTACTAAGCATGATCTGGCTAGTAAAAACATAAAATGTGAATGGAATATTTTTATAGTTGTTAGCAAGACTTGAAACCAAAATAATTTTTTAAAAAAAGGAATCTCTGGGTTAGTTCTCATGCTGACATTCTGAACTGTTCAGTTCAAAGGATATAAACTAAATACAAATGAAGCTGCAGGTAATACACTTGCAATGGATCACCCCATGATGTCTGGTGAGACTCCAAAACAGTGAATAAGCAGAGAGTATGAAACCCAAGAATACAGTGTCCACTTCTGGGCATGAAGAACATATTCTGGGTTTTCATACTCTCTACTTATTTAGTATTTTGGAGTCTCACCAGACATCATGGGGTAAGCCATCGCCAGGTGTATTACCTGCTGCTTTGTTTGGTTTTAGACTGAAATGCACTACTTGGGGGCAATCTAAAAAATCAATAGAATGATCTCAGTTCATTTCCAAGGCAAACCATTCACCAACATCACAGTAATCCAAGTCTACACCCCAACCACTGATGCCAAAGAAGCTGAAGTTGACTGGTTCTGTGAAGACCTACAAGACCTTCTAGAACTAATACCAAAAGAAAGATGTCCTTTTCATCATAGGGCAATGGAATGCAAAAGTAGGAAGTCAAGAGATACCCAGAATAACAGCCAACTTTGGCTTTGGAGTACAAAATGAAGCAGGCAAAAGCTAACAGAGTTTTATCAAGAGAACACGCTGGTCATAGCAAACACTCTTTTCCAACAATACAAGAGATGACTGTACACATAAACATAACCAGATGGTCAATACCAAAATCAGATTATGTTCTTTGCAGCTGAAGATGGAGAAATTCTACAGTCAGCAAAAACAAGACCTGGAGCTGACTCTGGCTCAGATCATAAGTGCCTTATTACAAAATTCAGACTTAAATTGAAGAAAGTAAGGAAAGGCACTAGGCCATCCAGGTATGACCTAAATCAGATCCCTTATGATTATACAGTTGAAGTGACAAATAGATTCAAAAAGATTAGATCTGATAGAGTGCCTGAAGAACTATGGATGGAGGTTCATAACATTGTACAGGAGGTGGTGACCAAAACCACACCTAAGAAAAACAAATGTAAGAAGGCAAAGTGGTTGAGGAAGCTTTACAAATAGCTAAGGAAACAAAAGACATGAAAGGCAAGGAAGAAAGGGAGAATAGTCACTCAACTGAATGCAGAGTTCTAGAGAATAGCAAGGAGAGATAAGAAGGCTTTCTTAAGTGAACAGTGCAAAGAAATAGAGAAAAACAGTAGACTAGGAAAGACTAGAGATCTCTTCAAGAAAACTGGAAATATCAAGGCAACATTTCGTGCAAGGATGAGCATGATGAAGGACAGAAATGGTAAAGAACTTAACAGAAGCAGAAGTGATTAAGAAGAGGTGACAAGAATACACAGAAGAACTATACAAAAAAAGTCTTAATGACTGGGATAACCACGATGGTGTGGTCACTCACCTAGAGCCAGACATTCTGGAGTGTTAAGTCAAGTGGGCCTTAGGAAGCATTACTACCAGCAAAGCTAGTGGAGGTGATGGAATTCCAGTTGAGGTATTTCAAATGCTAAAAGGTAATACTGTCAAAGTGCTGAACTCAATGTGTCAGCAAATTTGGAAAAGTCAGCAGTGGCCACAGGACTGGAAAAGGTCAGTTTTCATTCCAATCCAAAGAAAGGCAATGCCAAAGGATGTTTAAATATGATACAACCGTACTCGTTTCACATGCTAGCAAGGTTATACTCAAAATCCTTCACGCTAGGCATCAGCAGTATGTGAACCAGGAACTTCCATATGTACCAGTTGGGTTTAGAAAAGGCAGAGGAACTAGAGATCGAATTGCCAACATTCGTTGGATCATGGAGAAAGTAAGGGAGTTCCAGAAAAACATCTACTCCTGCTTCTTTGACTATGCTAAAGCCTTTGTGTGGATCACAACAAACTATGGAGAATTCTTAAAGAGCTGAGAATACCAGACCTCCTTACCTGTTTCCTGAGAAACTTGTATGTGGGCCAAGAAGCAACAGTTAGAACCAGACATTGAACAATGGACTGGTTCAAAACTGGAAAAGGAGTAAGACAAGGCTATATATTGTCACCCTGCTTATTTAACTTCTGTACAGAGTACATCATGTGAAATGCTGGGCTAGATGAATCACAACCTGGAATCAAGATTGCTGGTAGAAATATCAATAACCTCAGATATGTGGATGATACTACTCTAATGCCAGAAAGTGAAGAGGAACTAAAAAGCCTCTCGATGAAGGTGAAAAGGAGAGTGAAAAAGCTGGCATGAAACTCAATAGTCAAAAAACTTGATCATGGCATCCAGTCCCAACACTTCAAGGCAAAGGGGAAAAAGTAGATGCAGTGGCAGATTTTATTTTCTTGGGCTCCAAAATCACTGTGGACAGTAACTGCAGCCATAAAAACAAAAGACACTTGCTCCCTGGAAGGAAAGCTATGACAAATGTAGACAAAAGCAGAGACATCACTTTGCCAACAAAGGTGTATATAGTCAAAGCTATGGTTTTTCCAGTAGTCACGTACGGATGTGAGAATTGGACCATAACAAAGGCTGAGTGCCAAAGAACTGATGCTTTCAAATTGTGGTGTTGGAGAAAACTCTTGAGAGTCCCTGTATAGCAAGGAGATCAAACCAGTCAATCCTAAAGGAAATCAACCCTGAATATTCATTTGAAGGACTAATGCTAAAACTCCAATACTTTGGCCACTTGATGTGAAGAGCCAACTCTTGGAAAAGACCATGATGCTGGGAAAGATCAAGGGCAGGGGAAAGGGGTGACAGAGGATGAGATGGTTGGGTCGCATCACTGACTCAATGGATATGAATTTGAGCAAACTCCAGGAGACAGTTGAGGATAGAGGAGCCTGGTGTGCTATAGTCCATGGGGTTTCAAAGAATTGGACACAACTTAGTTACTGAACAACAACAGCACAAAGGTCCGCAGATTTGCATTCCAAATCAGTCCCTTACTCACAAAGTGTTTGTAATGTATTCACCTGGCCATTTCATGAACTGCACTAGGGAAAAGGAAAAAAAAAAAAAATCCCTACAATATTCCATATGAATATATTTTACCAGAAAAACGTAGCTGTGGGGTTTTGAAAAAGGCCTTAGGCTGCTGGGAAATATGCATGCATATTACTTGATAGTCCCTAACTGCCTGCTATACAAATATTATTTCTACATAGTGTTCTTTTTTTAAGGATGAAAATATACCAGCAATTTATTTCAGAGGATTAAAACATTTAAGTGACCCCAGCTAATGGAGCTGAGTTACTGTGGAAGTTCAAGTTCCCAAACATGGGGGATCTGTCTTTCACATCAAAAAAAATAGTTAAGTACTCTCCTTTGGCGGGGAAGGGGATGTAGTTTCTGAATATAGCAAACAGGGATTGGAAACAAGGGCCTTTGGGTGTCCCCATTCAATGGAAAAATGTTCTTTAGAGCTCATTTTACTTCCTAAATCAGATTTCCAGTTGAGCAACCTGGTCAAATCCTTCAATGATGAGCTGAAAGAATTTAGATTTGTGCGGAAGGAAACAAAATGTGTTTTGTTGAACAATGTTTCAAAAATGTGGTGTCCTTCTTTCTTTTATATGGTGTCCTTTCTTTCAGGTTCAGAATCAGCGCTCTGAGATCACAGTGAACTGTGTGCTCACAATGACAATGGAAGGCAAGTTGATTCTATCATGAAACCTTTTTGCTACATCATCTGTCCAGATACAGTGATTTTAAAAAAAAAGAAATTATTGGTTCACATTTCACCCTCTGTCACAAACAGGAGGAAAAGCCACAGAAACAAGCAAATAAAGAATTTTCCAACATGGGGAAAGAAGACATTCCCAGAGATAATGGTATAGTCAGCCCTTTGTAGCCTTGGGTTGCACATTCAGGGATTCAACCAAGAGTGGATCAAAAGTATTTGGAATTTTTTAAAAATACCATAAAGTTCCCCAAAGAATAATTTGAATTAACTGAGCACCAGCAATGATTTACACAGCATTTATATTGTATTAGGTATAATAAGTAATCTAGAGATGATTTAAATTATATGAAAGGACTTCCCTGGTGGTCCAGGGGTTAAGAATCCACCTGCCAATGTAGGAGACACAGGTTCGATCCATGGTCTGGGAAGATTCCACATGTCTTGGGTTAACTAAGCCCATGGGCCACAGCTACTGAATCTGCACGCTGCAACCTCTCAGCCTGTGTGCCCTAGAGCCCGTGCTCTACAACAAGAGGAGCCCCCGCTCACTGCAATTAAACAAAGCCTATTCAGAGCAATGAAGACCCAGTACAGCCAAGAATAAATAAAATAAGAAAAAAATTTTTAAAGGAATATGCTATAAAAATACATAAAGTATGAGGGAGGATGTGCATAGGTTATATGTAAAGATTGTACCAGTTTATATCAGGGACTTGAGCATCTGCAGATTCTAGTATTTGTGGGGGTCCTGGAACCAATCGCTGACTTGATACTGAGGGATGAGGGACCAACTGTACACAGCATGGAACCTGACAAATTATAAGGCCAGGAAAAGACACGCAAAGCTATGGCATTTCTTATGACAAGGTTCAGAATTTGCTAGATTACTATTTCCATTAGTCAAAGGTTCCCCAAGCCAAGATATTTGCTGATCATCAGCAATCTTTGGCATACTGCTCAAGGAGATTCAAACTACCATGTCAGGGTTTATTTCCAGCCTAAGAAATGCTGCTTGTATATGGGCACAGGATTTAAAGTGTATCAAATCCAAGTTCTTTTAGACTTTGATGCAGAACATAACCAAGAATACAATTAATAATAAAGGCAATTGTGTTGAAAATTGCAAATTTTCCAAAAGGAACACACTGTCAGGCTTTTATGATTACTCATTTTAACTTAGTTTCAGCTGCTTTTGGAAAATGTTGTCTTCTGGGACTTAACTTTACTGCTTACTCTCATTCAAAAATCATTTCCAGTGAAAACAAAGACTATGATGGAATCGTAGTTAAATCTATTCATGCAACCATAATTTTTGCCAGAAAAAAAAAAATCTACTTATCTGTCATCAAATTTTTTTTTTCCCTGAGGTCAAAAATCTGGGACATCAAATTGAGCAATGAAAAGCCAAAGTCATTTATCCATGTGTATGTTGATTGTCTGCCCGTGAATTCTCTCTAACTCTGAAACAAATGGCTGTTGCTTCTTTCAGCTATAAGTCCATGAAGGCTTCTGAATGCCATCTGTAACACTTAATGAACTTGCTTGTTTCTTTCCTCCAACCTGCTCTTTGCTAGCAGGGCCAGTGAGTGGCTCGTTCTCTTGAAATGATCTGGTCATTTTCAATTAATTAAAAATTGTTTTGAATAAGTTCAAAATCATTCTTAAAAATATTGTCTCTAGGAAAAGAGCCTGCATTTTCAGAGATGGGATTCATCTTGATGGATCTACTAAAACTGATTCTAAACTAATGTGCAATCAGAGAGATCAAAGTTACAGTTTGGTTTCACCATCTGCCTCATTTGTAAACTTCGGCAAGTTAACTCATTTCTCTAAATCTCTGTTTTCTCATCTGTTAAATGGGGATTGTGTTTATACCTTGTTTGCTGAGAAAATTAAATAAATAATGCACAGGAAGTGCTTTGCCTGGTATCACACATGTACTGATAATAGGCATTCCATAAACATTAGCTTTTCTGACTATTATGACTGATAAAAATAAGGGCAGCAACCAACAGACAATTAAAGATACTCTCTCAAGCTGGCAAGGACACATGAGAAAGATTTGTTTCAAGGAAGTCACTTCTTGCCAGTTTTCCAGACTCAAATATTCCAAGGCCACGGTCCTCAGGGAGCTGAGATTCCAGTCAAAACGCCACAGAGCAGTAAACAATGGTTCTGCAGGACATTGTGAGGGACTGTCTATTCAGGCAAAACAGAGCTGGTGGCCTCTCACGGCTCTGAGCAGCAGTGAAGGCGGGCTTGCCTTTCAGAGGAAGAATGCTGATGGAGGGCTGCACTTACCCCTCAAAGAGAGGGAGGAAGGAACAGGTTGAGCCCGAGGACAAGACACAAGGCAGATGTGCCTAAAGACAGACTGTGGCTGATAGAGCTGTGTCATGAATTCAGAATCAATGCTTACTTAACCATTCATCCGTTTTCAGTCACTTCAAGGAGGGGGAACTGTGTTAGTAGCTCAGTCCTGTCCAACTCTTTGCGACCCCATGGACTGTGGCCCACCAGACTCCTCTGTCCCTGGAATTCTCCAGGCAAGAGTACTGCAGTGGGTTGCCATTCCCTTCTTTAGGGGTTCTTCCTGACCCAGGGATTGAACCTGGTCTGCTGCTTTACAGGCAGATTCTTTACCATCTGAACCACCAGGGAAGTAAAGTTCTTTAAAAAATCAAGTTTGTCAGAGGGTATAATTAATTTAAGAGTTACCAATGCCCTCATAAGTATATCACATAGAGAATTCACTTAAAAATTCAAGTAAGAAAAAATACGGCAGGTCCGAGGTTGGCATATACCCAGTTGTACCCAGTTCATAGCAAGAGGATGAGAAAATGTTGGATTGAAAATAAAAACATCTTTTAATGGAACAGAAACTTTAAATTTCCCACTTGACAATAACTTGAATGTTACATTAGATAAAAATTGGTACTAGAAACACCATGCAGGAATTCAACGCCATCCTGGCTGTAAACCAGCTCCTAATTCACCACTCTTGGAAAATGTCACCCCCTGCCATAGTAAGAACATTTTGGTATCCCTAATCTCTGAAATACTAGGGCTCCATCCAAATTGTATAGCAATTTAGGAAGTATCTCTAAATTCATATTTTCTTCCATTCATGTTTTTTGACTAATTTTTTTAAGGACATGGTGTTTAAATGTCACTGTCAAAATCAGGCAAATATTCTGTTTAGTTCACAAAATCCAGCAAATAATGAAGTCATGTCTCTTAAGGTAGCATGTATATACTTCTATTTAGAAAATGAGAGAAGTTTTAACGATAGATATAATCTTATGTGGATTATTACACTGTTACTGAAGAAGGGAATTCTAACTTTTATCCCTTTAAAATATGCCTTCACAGTAAAACCTAAAGGTTTATCAAAATATTCTATATGGGGGGAGTGTTGCATAGAGAATAGACAAGCCCAAAGGCAAGAAGAGTTTTTTAATTTTAGTTTAGGTTAACTGTGGTACTTATAAATGATTTTAAGTCACTTGCATTGGCTTGAATGTAGGAAAAACATCTGTGCAAAGATTTCAGCTTATTTTAGGCTGGAGGATATAAAAACTGCTATCTAGAGAAGCCAGACCTCACCCTGCTAATTCTTCGACAATTTTACCCCTGCTTTTGACTGAGGCTGGATCTGAGTTGCCGATGTCCCTGCACTCTGGAGGGCGTGGCTGAGGAGCCTGATTCCTTCCACACTCACCATCAAGGCGCAGGTAAAGGAAGTTCCGAAAAGCAAAGTAATCCTCCATGATGGTCATGAGGGACGTCATCTGGCAGAAAAGCAGCACGCGGTGGTTAGTCGCTCTCAATTTTGGCAGAATACGATCAAGCAGCTCAAACTTTCCCGAGGCCCGATACAGCTCAGCCCTGAACCCAAAAATGCAAAACAAGAAGACAGTATTACTGCTGTCTTCTTGAAGGATCCAGTAGAGCTTTGCTTTTCATACAGTGCCCTGTGCATAGCAAACATTCAAGAAATAACTACAGAATGAATGAATGGATGAGTACACAGCCACTCCAAAGCAGTGGAGAGTATTTCATGGAAAGATAGAATATATTTGTAGAAAACCCATAAAGAGTACATTATATACTGTAGGTATGATGACAGATTCTAGAAAGAAAAGGAAACCTTCTCATGTTCTTTGTAGTTTCACTCTCTGTCTCAACTCTTTCTTTCTCTCTGTCCCTCCTACGCATACATACGTGTATATTACGTCATTTCCTTAAATCTCTACTTATTAAATTCATAAAACAACTAACTTAGGGCACTGCAATTCACTGAAATACTTACTGAGCACCTACTGTGTGCTAAGCACACTACTGAGCAAGTGCATAAGCAAAATAGAACCACTGCTTTCCAAATGGGTAATTAACAACTTACGGTAAGTACTAAAAAGAAAAGCAGATACCTTCTTTACATAAAAACAGTGTGTGGCAAACGTCAGCCCTGGGCTGCTGCCTGTTTTTGTAAATAAAGTTTTATTGGAGCATGGCCAGGCTTGCTCATTTATATTTGCCTGTGGCTGCTTTCAAGCTATAATGGCAAAGTTGAGCTGCTGCAACTGAGACTTTTAGGACAGCGAAAGTGAAAATTTTGAGATCTGGCCCTTTGCAGAAAATAATTTGGCAGCTTCTGGTTTAGAGCATCAAGGGTGACCCCACTGAAGAAATAACAGTGTAGCCTAAAACCTGAAATAAAAGAGCAAAAGGCAGCCAGGTGAAGAAGGCAGACCTAGGAGTAGAGAGGAAGAGATTCCAGGAAGTGGAAAGAGTATGTGCAAAGGCCCTGAGGAGTAAAAGAGCCTGGGGAGTCTGAGAAATGGGAAAAAAATGGTGTGTGTGGCTTATGCATAAGTCGAGGAGTGGAGGGGGGACACTGGGAGATGACAGCAGAGATGAAGAGGGTGGGGGGAGGTTTAGACAGATCCTACAGGCTCTATTAGTTTTAGTTTTAAGTGAAATGGAAAGCCATTGATGGGTTTTAAACAGGGGGACCATGAAAGCTGACATCTTTTTAAGAGATCACCATGTACACTGTGAAGAATGGATTGGGGAGGAGATGGACTCCTGGAAATTCACATAAAAAATAGAAATTCACATTAAAAAAATACGATGGCAGAGTGCTATCAGATAGAGAAGAACGTTAATGAGCTAAAGTAGAGCTTTCTTCCTCTACAAGAAACCACTCTCCTCTTTTATCAACAGGGGTGTGTTACATTATTAAAACTTAGTTGTAGAGGGATACTGTTGGGAAAACTCACCAGTGTATATGCATTCTAGTCTACAACATGGAAATGTACCACTGGCAGTGATTTTACGGCACAGAGAACAGATAGATTTTTCAAGTACAGGTCTTCTCAACGTCCATTCCCTGCTCTGAGAGCTGTCCTTCAAACACACACTGAGGCGACGTTTTCAACACACAGCCCGGCCACCCTGATAGCCGCGGCAGTGTGCCCAGCCTCCGGAGAGAAGGAGGGCCTGGAGGGAATGGTTCTGCATGCCTCCCAATTCCTGGTTCTTGGTCCACTGACACCATCTGCCCTTGGGATCAAAGAATGACCCCTTTATCTTAATAAGAAAATCTCCCTGGTGCCGAACAAGCAAAACAGAGGCTTTCTATTGATGCAAGGTACTTTTTCATTGTTGTCACAGGCATGAGTCTCTTCAAGGTCCAAATGAAAAATATTTCTTATACAGACCATGCTCCAGCCAATGACTGTAAGGTTGTACATGTTTATAGCAGATGAGACATCTTCCTCTCATGCACATTAATGTTAAATACTGACTTGAGATCTCATATGTTAAATTCTCTTTGAGCTCAAGCTACACTGTTGGTTATAAGTAACAACTCTCTGAAGCTCTGACAATGTTTTTAGAACACTAGGACACTGTTAAGTCTATTAAAGGAGATCTATGTCCTCTGAATAGCCACTTGCTCAAGGCATGTAATAATTTATGCCAGTAAAGTAAAACAGAATGCTGATATCGTTCTGGTTAACAACTTCTGTACCCTCTGCTGAAGAGAGGGCGGGCTGAGGAGGCTGGCAATAATGTACGTGTGCGACAGGAAACACTAGGGAGAAAAGCTTAGGCAGGACCAACAAACCATTTTTTGGAAGAGAAAAAAAAAAATTAGGATTTACCCATTGATGACCCCATTTGAATAGCCCAGGTGTTCAGCAAAGGATTCCTTTAAAAGAGAGAGAAGAAAAAGGATTTTTAAAAACAGATCTGTAATTATTGACATAATAATTATTCTATTAGTGAGGTCATCCTATTTCTAGAATGCAATTAAACAAAATAATAAGTAAGAAAATACTCCTTATGGAAAGAACCAGAAACTCAAAGCCTTTGAATTTAGACTATAGCTTTGCCAGAAATATATCCTGTAAGTTTCGGCAAGGCTCTAGACTCTCATACCGAGATGACAGGGTTAGTTCATTCATCAAACAGTGATTAAATGTTCACTGGCCCAGGGCTGTGGGAGGCAGGTACTGGGGATCCAGAAAAAAGGAAGTAAGGGAAGTATCTACCCTCCAAGGAGCTCAGAGTCTAGATAAGAGGAAGAGCTTAATATAAGTAAATCAGGATTAATATACACACATCAATATACTGTGGAAATGTTCAGCAGTAAAAGTCATGATGATGACACATGTACTAAGTATACAGATCTTAGTTTAGTGCAGTCGTAACATCCCTTCCACGCTGCGCTTTTCTGCATTATAAATAAGGCCCTAAATGTACACCACCCCTCAGGTAACTAGCATCTACTTTTAAAATACAGAATTTAACTACATATTTCCCTCCTCACTGATTCTGTGGAAGAAATAAATAGCTGTTCCCCATGTGATTTTCGTATCCACACTTGATGGAAGGGGAGGCCATCTGTGGGGAGGAGAGCACATCACACCTTCACTTAACCACCAGCTGTCTCCTTTCTCTGCTTCCCTTCCCTCCTGGATCACCGAAGCTTTCCTCCAAGGGAACTAGATCTTTCCCTCTGGGCTCCACTCCCAAACATGCTCATCATTTATGTGGGCCCCAGCCCCTCCGGATGCTGCCCCGCTGGCAAAATGAATGCTGATGGATCACAGCCCAAAACCCTACCCTGACTCCAAGAATCAAGCCTTTCCTCCCTACAGGTGGCCAGTCTTGACTCGATTTTTTAGGTTCCATCTGTTTCCATCTGTATCAGTGGATGGTTATATGGTCAGGTATCAGCAGCATTTTAAAAACTCTGTTTTCATTTCTCTGGTTTAAAGATAACCAGGGAGGCAGTGAGTCCAATCGGGAGACTGGGTTTCTACTATCAGGTAGTGTGAACAAAGGACATGTAAGCAAACAAAATGAAGACAAAAGCAAAATGCACACACCATCTCTGTTTCATAAGTGTGATACCTTTGCCAGTCACTGTGGGTTTTGTTTCCAGGAATATCCTCCTGAAAGTTTTTCATGTTAAAAGAGTTGCAAATCAAAGTCTGTCTTTCTATGGACTGCTACTTAAAATGTAAACAGGCAGGGAAAGGAGGGCATGTTACTTAGGCTTAGCTTCTCTGATCCCCCTCCCCACTTCCCAGGTGCTCCAAAGAGAAGCTGGAGGGTAGAAGGCACACCCCCACCTCCCCGCTCCTGACATGACCCAGTGTGTTTCAAAGGTGCATTTTGGTATGACAAATAAAGTAAGACTGACACTTAATTTTCGTAAGTCTGAAGTCCTCAAATCCTTATTCAATCCTGAATATTCATTTTAAGGACTGATGTGAAGCTGAAGCTCCAAAATTTTGGCCACCTGGTACAAAGAACTGACTCACTGGGAAAGACCCTGATGCTGGGAAAGATTGAAGGCAGGAGGAGAAGGGGACGACAGAGGATGAAATAGTTGGATGGCATCACCGACTCAACGGACATGAGTTTGAGCAAGCTCTGGGAGATGGTGAAGGACAGGGAAGCCTGGTGTTTTGCAGTCCATGGGATCTCAAAGAGTCTGACACAACTGAGCAACTGAACAACAACAAATCCTCTATATTTTTGCTGAATATCTAAAAATTGTTTTTAGGAAAATATAAGATGGTGGGTGACAGGTTAACCTGATATGATCCCAATCATTTTCACCATTAGATGTTTTTTCAGCTCCTCCAACCCAACATGGGTTTCCCTGGTGGCTCAGTGGTAAAGAACCCACCTATAATGCAGGAGCCACAGAAGATGTGGGTTCAATCCCTGGGTTGGGAAGATCCCCTGCGGGAGGGCATAGCAACCCACGCCAGTATTCTTGCCTGGAGAGTCCCCATGGACAGAGGAGGCTGGTGGGCTACCATCCATAGGGTCACAAAGAGGCAGACACAATGAAGCGACTGAGCACGCATGCATGCAACCCAACAAGCAACCCCCACTAATACATTGATACCTTATGGCCTGTTTATCACATTACTGGTTTACCAGACACTTTGTATGTTCTTTAGTTTAAACATGTATCCTTGTGCCAGCCCTATCATCTATCACCATCTGATGAGAAGTCAAATACACTATAGCTTGGAGATGCTAAGTGACTTACACCAGGTTTTTAGTGAGGTAAAAGTGGCCTGGGGTATGGACTCATCCCCACACCATGGACTCTATGGTGTCTCTATGGACTTTACTATGTGCTAAGTAGGCTTGTTGGTGGGACCTTGCCCTGCTTCCTCCCTACAGTGGGTGCCATTGTCATTTTACTTAAACCAAGGCCTTTTTACTCTATAAAAGGCCTGTCCCTAAAGCAACGGCAGTGTCAGGAGTTAATTCTGATTTCATCCTACAGTTGGGACAGTACTCCAGGATATGGACAGAGGTGCAATACACACTCTTACCTGACAAGCGTGATTACCAAAAACAAGGAAGGAAAGAAAAAAGAAAGAGAGTCTTCAAAAAATCAAGAACATGTCGGTCTCATTCCCAGGAATATGCTTCTGAAAGTTACATTCCTAGAACCTCCTATTTATTTATTTGTTAATAAACCAGTGAAAATACGGAGCCTGCAGGGTCCTGCCCCACGCCTCCTGCTCCTCTGGAGTGGAGAGTAAGCGGCAGACAGGCAGTGACTGCTGCCAGGAGTACACATCCAAGGCAACACTCGGAAGTGGAGGCTACGATTTTGACTCCTTTTCCTTCCTGCTCAAGTCAATGGCTCCTACTGGGGTGAAATTGTCAATTTAGGAAACCCATTCACATGTAGCGAACAGGGCAGAAAATGTGCTGTCCCCTGAAAATAGCTTCCTAGAGACCAGAGCATCAGGATAAAAAAAAAAAACCTGGATTTACACTGTCATGAAAGAAGCCAGAAAGGAAAAATACAAATCTAAGAAACAGTCTAAAGTCAGTGATTTTCACAGAGCAAATATTTCAGGAACATCTTTCCCTTCAACAGATATAGATCCATTCTTTTAGTATTTTTCCACAGCATCCTTCTGAGGAAGCTGGATGTATCTGCCATTGTCTTCCATATCAGAGCACCTACCATAATGAGGCAATTCACAGTACTTACCCGAACCCACATAATGAGCCCTGTTTTACAGCATTTTCTCACCACTTTGAACTCCTGCCTATAAAATTCCAGATGCCCAAGTATCTGGTGCCAATGAGAATCCATAACCAGAAACCTCATGTCCATTAATTCTGCTTATCAAGCTACCAGACCCTGTAGTTTCAACTTCCACATGTTTTAACTTTGTTTTATTTTTTTTATTATAAAATTCTTTTTCAATGTAATATTAGTAGAAACTGAACAATTAGGATCAGGGTCACAACAGAGAACGCAGACTTACCTCAATGTGCTGAAACATATATGGGTGATTGCAGATCTTTCTCAACTGCATGATAGTGTTCATTAATGTCTTAGCACCTCCTTTCCCCTAAGAACAAGCAGAGGAGAGTCAAAATATAAATTGTTAATTGATCAGCTATTTCCCATTTTTAAAAAGTAGGTTTCTATAGAAAGAGCAAAGAGCCATAGGTCTTCTCGGTAACCTGCACTTCCTACTGTCCAAAGTTCCTGTGACTAAGTTGTTTCTGAATTAGATAGACCATCTTCCATGTGAGTTATCTGAGAGGAGGGAATTATGTTCAGTGGATGGCTTTTAGAAATGACTGTCCATCCTGTAGGATTCTAGGAAGACAGAAGCATGGCACAGATGCCCAGGGATGAAAGTGGCTTTTAAAACCTTCTAAAATGCTAGCCTACCCTCAGGCAGATATCTTGTGTGCAGCCTGACATGAACAGAACTAATTGCTTTGGTGATATGAACACCAAGATGGTGTTCATTTCTAACTGCTCCAATACAGTTTGCAGGTAAAGGGCCAAGGGATTTCCTTTGGGAGCGACAATAATAGCTCCCAAAAAGGCCTTGTAATTTGCTTTGACAAATCGGCAGTCGTGGGGATATTTCCTGGGAGTGTCCAGTGGCACAGCCTTAAGAAGAAATATGACAGCACCTTGAGTTGTATCACCTTCCACAACATACCTTCTTATCTTTCTCTGAACCATCTGTGAGGAGGATCCCTTTGGCTTGCATGTGGCGATACAGAATCTTCTGCAGAGCTGACATGTCACACTTGATCACATACTCAACCTGGGGAAAGAAGAACAGTACATAGGTTAAGAGCAGGAGAGAGAAGGTGCCTGTTCTAAGAAGACGGTTGAGACACGGCTGCTGACGGCACTCCTGGAATCACGAGGGTATCTCTTTCTGCTTCTTGGATTCATGGAGGTGGGGGGGGGGGGGCATGGTGTGATGGAGGAGCCCACAGTCATCACTGCTCAAGGTACCATTATATGGAAGGGACTTGCAAAAGGTGATATGTCACTCAGGCCAGGGGGTCATGTTTCCTGAAATTTCTTGACTTGTTCCACGTTTAAGAGAGAGAGACTGGCAAACTGTTCAAGTTCAAATATATTCAATACAGAGTGTATGTATATATATATACATATACAGCTTCCCTGGTGGCTCAAATGGTAAAGAGCCCGCCTGCAACGTGGGTGACCTGGTTTTGATCCCTGGGATGGGAAGATCCCCTGGAGAAGGAAATGGCAACCCACTCCTGTATCCTTGCCTGGAGAATTCTGTGGACAGACGAGCCTGGCCAGCTGGTTGCAAAGAGTCAGACCCGACTGAGTGACTAACTTTCACTTTCACATATATATGCATTTCCTCTGCTTCCCAACTACACCCTGTTTCATACAAACAGAACAGTTTTAGGAAAAACAGTACACAGCCAATATCCTCCGATTTTTTTTTTTTTTTTTGAAAATATCTTTTTAAATGATCCTGTGTGGCTGGCTTCCCTCAATTCTGATCCTAAAAGGAGATTCATAAGCACCTAGGTTGACTATAGGTAATTACCCTCTGCTTTTGAAGGATGAGAGGATACTACCTAGTAAGGACAGTAGGCAAAGGAGAGGAGTGAATCCACAATTAAACACAATTTTATGACCATCTTCTTTAGAGGCAAGGCCCTGTGTGCTTCCACTTGAAACCATGGAAAAATCCAGTTTTAAACTGTGAAAGAGAATTCACATGCGGGTGTTTTCACACACACCTGCAACACTTCTCACACACTCCTAATGCATGCAGTCTGCCTTGATTATTTCCTATTATTATTTTTCTTTATTAAAAAAAAAAACACCCAGAATACAAATGTGTAATTTTCATAATAAACATCAGATTAATGCCTAGAAATCTGCAGAATGTGATTAAAAGTAAATCAGCAAGCTGCCTAATGTTTAACAAACTGATTAAAAATGATCAGGTTATTTTCAGCTCTGAGGACCAGAGTGAGGAGGTCACAGATGAAGAGAGGTTGAATATTCATTCGACTGTTGCTTTAGAAGGGGTCTGTCAGGCCAGCTGGAACTGCAATTAATAGCATTTTGCCACTTGTTTTGATGCACCGAATCAGATTAGAGAAAGATGAACTCTTTTGCAGAAAAGTAAAGAAAAACAAGTGACCTGCCATAAACTTACTTTAGTTTTTAATGATCTTCTTGGCCAGAGAAGAACATCTCCAAGTTTTAATAAATAAGGATGCACTTAATATGCGTTTTGTGTTTTACAGACTTGATCGTGGCATGTTTTAAAGTACTTTGACTTTTTCAAGTGCTGTTAACTCTCCATGTAACTTGATCATGGTGAAGAAAAATATTAAACAACTTCAGACTTTGGCAAGCATAATGATAAAAATGACACCAAGGGCTAATATTATTGAGCTCTTTCTATGGACCAGGCCCTGTGCAAAGGTGTTTGGTATGCCTTCTCCCATTTTACCACATAAGAGCTGTAGGACAGAGTTAAATTTAGTGGTTAAATTTAAGGAACTTGAGCATCGAAATGTTAGGTGACTTGTCTAAAATGATGCAGCTATTCAATGATCTAGTTAGGATCGAACCAGACTGTACTCTCTTAAGCTCTACCCTAACCATAACCAAGAAGACTTTCAGGCTCCCTAGTTCTGCCCTGATGTTCATCTTCACCTGGGCCTCACTGCCAACCAGCTTGTGCACACCTTCCTGAAAGTACAAAGGACTGCTGAGGCCAGCTTTAAGTGCACTAGGAGATGGCAGATCCAAAATGAGGGACCCTCAACCTCCTTCTCATCAGTTAGCTGCTGCCAAGAGCTGGATGGGAGGGAGTGTGGGAACAAGGCATGCACGATGATGCCAGACAACCCCACAGGGGCCAAGTCAGCAGAGAAGTGAGCTCATCCCTAGGACCTGAGGGCTCCTGTAGAAAGGGGACCTCCCCTCAACCCTCCTTCCTCACATCACTAGGGGATCACAGACGCTGGTGTGACACACATCATCAAAATCACCATCCTAAGTTTCACAACTGTATTACACGTTTGCTCCTCGTAACTTCCCCGACAAGTCCAAGCTATTTTGTCTTTGTATCTTCCTATAGTTTTAGGGTTGCCTTTCTCAATCTTACTCTTCCTGAGGGCTCTTAGTAAGGTCTTCCCTGATCACTACACCTATCAGTCAATCTTCCTTTTTATTTCTCACAAACAAGTATTTATTAAGCTTTTTTGATGGCAATCCCTTACCAAGAATACATGTTAAAGTACCTCTTCCGAATACATGCCCATATATTTATGAATTACATGCCCATATATTTATTTATGAGTCATATGCATGAACTAATATTAATGACTGAAAACACAAGTTAGTTTTAGGACATGGGTCAATATCAGGCACTTGTTTTACATCTACATTTCAAGGGGCCAAGGTGATGACATCTGAGATTAGAGCCAGTTACACCCTGACCCACAGGGATTTCTCACTGACTGACTCTCCTTCTATGGCAAGGACCCTTCCTCTGTATGGGCTTCCCAGGTGGCGTTAGTGGTAAAAGAACTTGCCTGCCAATGCAGAAAACACAAGAGATGAGGGTTCGATCCCTAGGTGGGGAAGATCCCCTGGAGGAGGAAATGGCAACCCATTCCAGTATTCTTGCCTGAACAATCCCATGGACAGAGGAGCCTGGCAGACCACAATCCATAGGGTAGCAAAGAGTCGGACACAACTGAAGTGAGTTAGCAATTATAGAGTGAGTAGTGATCACTCTATAATGGGGCTGGTGAAAATTCACACTAGGAACAGGAAAGGTGGCAGGTCTGCACTTTTCCCATTGTCCACCTACCCTTACATTATTTCCCTTGTTTTCAACCTGTGATCCTGGGCAGAATCTTTTAAAAGTCTGTCATCCATCCTGAGGGTCAGGGGTGTTACAGTTTAGTTAAAATGAGATCATCCTCAAATTCTTTTATCTGGATATGGGGAAACCCACAATGCTCACAACAGGCAGAAAGCAAAAGAACCCAACGGTGAGAGTGGATGTATGACCGATGTCCCAGGTGGGGGTGCTCCCCTTCACGCTCCCCATTCCCAGGATAACTGACACAGTCTAGGCCAGTTGCCTGATGGCCTCTGTGACATAGGCATATATACCACATGGGTACCAGTGTCTGTCTGCATGTTAAATCAAAAAAACGTATTTTTTTTTAATCTTTAGGAGAAAAATTAATATACATAGAAGCTCTAAAGTCTTCCTTCCACACCCCAGTGGACTACTAGTAAGCACCCCAGAAATACACACACATACATACACCCATGTGTGCTCTGGAGACCCCTGTCCTAAAGCACTTGAATGCCTGGACCCCTCACCCTGATGGGGAGGGTGATGCTGCCTTTCACTGTCATGCCATCGTTCAGCGACACCGCACGCCACGCCTCCAGCTTCTGCTAAAGCTCCTGCACCTCCCACCCCGCCCGAGTGCAGTGCAGTGTACAGAGCGAGGCGCCAGAGCCGGGCAGCAGGAGCCGGGCAGGCTGACAGGGGCGAGGCGCGGGAGGCCTCGGTAAGAACCACACCATCCCAGACGCTGCTGGGTCTGAGTCATCCCCAAAAACCCTGACGGCCCCCGACTAGAGCATGAATTTGAAAGTTCCTCAAAGGGGGCTGATGCTGAAGGAAATAAAACCTGTATATGACTCTGTAATAAGGGTGATTCTCCCAACAGGTTAGGCTTATGATGGCCACTGGGACGATTATTTTCAAAGGATATGTAAAACTTACCTCCTAAGACTCATTATGTGGGTAAATGATCAAACTGGTCCATTCAAGGAGCTCAATCAGGTGGTTACAGTGGCCCAGGCCCTCCTCCTATATAACCTTGGAAAAGCTTTCAACCTTTATTCATAGTTTCTCCCTAAACTCTATTCCTCATGAAAAACTTCCCTTCCAAAAGGATGTATTATTAGAACAGGAAAAACAGACTGCTGTGTATGATACATTATCACTTTGTGTACTGAGATTTCCAAACAATAATATTAAATTTATTAAAGTCCCAGGTTCTGAAATCTACAGCATGAAACCATATAGAAGTTCCTTACAAAGTCATGTACACATGACTACCATATGACCAAGCCACTCCTACATACTTCCTAAAATGAAATGAAAACCTATGCTCACACAAAAGCCTATACACAAATGTTCACAGCAGACAAGCATAAATATCAAAAACTACAAACCACCCAAATGTCCTACAATTAAGTTGATAAACAAACTCGGGTACATCCATGTAACAGAATACTATCCATTAATAAAAATGAAGCAGCTACTGATACATCCAACACCTTGGATGTTTCTCAAATTCATTATGCTGAATGAAAAACCAGATGCAGATGGTCTGAGGAGACATATTGTCTGATTCGATTCCTACAACATTCTGGAAAACACAAAGCTATGAGGATGAAGGATGAACCATCAGTTGTAAGAGGCTAAGGGCAAAGCGAGAGCATGACTAAAATGTGACAGGACCAGGGAATTTTGGGTGGGTGGGGGGTACTGGGAGAGAATTATTCTGTATTTTAGTTGTGATGCAGTTAACATAACTAGGAGACCTGGGCTCGATCCCTGGGTTGGGAAGATTCCCTGGAGAAGGAAATGGCACCCCACTCCAGTACTCTTGCCTGGAAAATCTCATGGATGGAGGAGCCTCATAGGCTACAGCCCATGGGGTCGCAAAGAGTTGGACATGACTGAGTGATTTCACTTTAACGTAACTGCATTTGTCAAAACTCAGATCTATATACCAAAGAGTGTATTTTATTATATTTAAATTAAAAAATAAAATGGAAATCTACTTCCATAATTGATTATGTTTCATGGAAACATTTGAGCATTGCTTCTATAAAAGATTTAGCCTTTTGCTGCCATCCGCCACAACTCCTTTCCAGATTCTTTATACAGCCTGAGAAAGACATACATGTTTGTGGCCACAAGCAGACGGTGGCAGAAGAAAGCTCCTCACCCCCAAGGATAACACTTAGATGGCAGATTTCCCCAGATCAAAGTCCTAACAAGGCAGAAAGAACAAAGAGTGGACACTGGCCAAAACACATTAACAATAGCTACATACACATGCCAAGTGATTAGTTCACCACCTTCAAAGGGTGATGGTAAAATGCCAGGACCAGAGGACACTGAGAAACTTGAAGTGAATAGGAAAGCAGAACCAAAGTCAGTAACAGAAACAGCAGTGCAATAGAGAAAGCAAGGACTCTGGGAGCAGCAGCTGTCATCAGCTGAGCCTTAATGCGTGCCAGGCATTGTATTATGAGTACTGCATCCATTTCATCCTCTTCTATAAAGCATGTATTATCTATTTTCTAGTTCACTGCTGAGAACACGGAGACCCACTGATTTAAGTAACATGCCCAAGAGCACACAGTTAGCAAGAGACAGAGAATGCAGTGAGGACCCAGGTCCACTCTGACAGGCAGAGCCCATGATTTCCACTCCACCAAGTTACCTCCAGAAAAAGGTACCTTATCCATAGATTATACAGACATACCTCGGATACAGCATAGGTTCAGTTCCAGGCCAACACACACAGGGTGCAATAAGGCGAGTTATATGAATTTTTTGGTTTCCTAGTACACCATAAGTGATGTTTATACCACACTATAGTCTATTAAGTGTGCAATAGCACTATGCCTAAAAAAACACTGTACATACCCTAATCAAAAACACTTCATATTGTGGAAAATGCTATCCTCTAAGCCCTCAGCGAGTCATAACCTTTTTGCAACAGTAACATCAAAGATCACTGATCACAGATTTCCATAACAAATTTAACAATAATGAAAAAGCTTGAAATATTTCAAAAATTACCAAAACTTGTGACACAGGGGCATAAGGCTAGCAAATACAGTTAGAAAAATGGTGCCAATAGACTTGCTTGAGGCAGGGTTGCCACAAACCTTCATTTTGTAAAAACTGCAATTTTGCAAAATGTAAACAAGGTATATATATATGGGTGTTTAATACACCTCAAATATGAAAACTTGGGTATTAAAGAGTACAAGTGTACTTCACACAGGAAACATGCTCTTCAAAATCTAATTTTTAACAAAAAAAAGTTATCAATACTCAGGAAGTTTTCTTGTGAAAAGAGCCATGAAATAAATGTTTTAGTAAAGTAAGGAATCCCTTTGTGATATAACCAATCATCCCATGATCCTTGTGCTGCAAAAGTCTGTATTTTAATAAAATGGACTTAAAAGCAGTGCATACTTTCAACTTGCAGTTTTTTAAAAATCTATCTATATTAACCAGTCTCGAAAATCAGTAAATAAGATTAAGAAGTTTTATGGGATGAATAAATGAGTAAGTTCAGATAATTGTCTTTTATTGTATTTGTTGCTTCTAAAGAAACAAAAGGAAGAATGGAGAAAACTAAAATCGTTAACATTTCATCTCTGTAAGTTCTGGATCTCAGTAACACTAAAGGAAGCCACATGACCCATTCCCCAGCTTATTCAGTAACTGAGATCCACCTTGAACAGAAAGAGGGTTATCCAAAGATGTCAAGACCATAGGAAGTCAAAGAAATATTGACAGCATTCAATCCCCAAGATGCATTCACTAGCAAAATTAAATACTTAAATATTTGGGTTTTCACTATGATAAGCATGGTATAAGAACAGTGTTAATATTTAATTTTTTTCTGACTGCTAAAGATAGGGGATTAGGGGACAAAATTCTCTCTTAGTAATCAACTTTGTACAATATCTTGCCAGCTCCCACTTAAAAATGAATAGGATGAACAAATCTGTCCAAAAAACCGAGTCATTACACGGAAAAACACAATGATGCAAAACACACATTTCAGAATTGGCTCCTCTAAAGAGAAAACTTACATCAAACTAGCTCACGCAGCAAACAGTGCACAATGCCAAATAATCTATCTGTAAGAGAATGAAACACAGAACTCCAGTGTTTGGACCTCCAGCGGTTCCAAAATATGATGAGAAACATATTAAACTAATACCCAAATCCAGCTCCAAAACATGGTGCTAAGGGCTTAAAAGGACATCCTAAAGCCCTGAAAAATCAGTGTCCAAAAACTAATCTGAAAAATATTTGCTTAAAATGTTCATAGAATCTTAATTAGATGGTGTATCTATAATAAGAACCCTATTTTTCACTTACTATCAGAACAGTGACATCCCAAGCATCTGACATTGAACACATTTTTGGGAAATGCGGCAAGCATTTACTAGGCCTTCTGATAAGGATACAAGCCCCAAACTCATAGCCTTATGTGGCTCAAAGCAGAACACTTTTATGGCGCCTACAAGAGTGAACTCAACAAGGTTAGTAAAATTTAAAAAGAAAATTCTAAAGTTAAATGTCAATTCATGTACTGTTAAGTTAATGTAAGTTAAAGCTAAAATGTAATGACAGTGATTTGGTAATTTTCAAAAATCTGTCCCCAAACTTTTGGAAACCAAGATGAAATGTTCAAATTTCCATTCTCTCTCGACACTAAACTCTCCAGCTTCTCTCTAACAACTACAACAAAAAAGTCCTTTAAGATATTTTCCAGTTACCTGGAACTAAAATACAAGCCTGCTATTTCAGAAACGCCATTTCAGGGGCAGGTTAATTCGAATATATTGGCAGGGGGAAGAAACCACAACTTTTGAATTTGCAACATACCTTTTCTGGAAGCTGAGATTCAACTTCTTTCTTCAGTCTCCTCAGTAAGAAGGGTCTCAACACCTTATGCAGACGCCTGATGATCAATATAGTTTCTTCTTCATTTAAGTCCACCTGCAAGAGAACCTTAGATGAACTTGATCCTTTTTTTGTTAAGGTTCTTTTATGTAATAACTCTTTATACTATATTTATTATTGGTTTCAATACAGGTCTGAAATTTTATATGCATTAAGGCCAGGTATATACCCATTATATACACCTCAGAATTCTGTTCCCACCTGCCTACCAGGTGGTAACAGAACAGCCTCTAAATAGATGTCTTTTTCTGAATGCTGACTTCTACAGAAAAGATCCAGAGCCACCAGTTTCAGACTGGAAGTGTTAACAGCTCAGAATTTGATGGGATATGATTGTGATAAAGGCTGATTGAAGACTGAGGTTGAACATGAGTAAAAGGGTAATAGTTAATGTGTTCTTACTTAAAATTGAGGGCTTCCCTGGTAGCTCAGCTAGTAAAGAATCGGCCTGCAATGCAGGAGACTCGGCTTTGATTCCTAGATCGGGAAGATCCCCTGGAGGAGGGCATGGCTACCCACTCCAGTATTGTTGCCTGAAGAATCCTCATGGACACAGGAGCCTGACGGGCTACAGCCCATGGGGTCTCACAGAGTTGGACACCACTGACTGACCAAGCAGAGCACTTAAAATTGAAGCGGTAAGTTGTCTCAGATGCAGAAACATACCAATGGCACAGAGCCTGAACATGAAAAGAACAAGGACAAACACAGTTTATGCTGGTGGGTTGCTAAGCCCCTCCACCTGGTTCCCCTGACCTGCCGTGGTTGAGTTCAAGTTCAGTCCTGTTTGTAAATCGTCTGCTTTCTCTCTCACCTTCCTCCACCAACCTCTAGGGGGCAGAGCTGATCGACATTACCTTCTTCAAATGGGCAAGCCAATGAATTCCTGACGAAAGTCAAGGGTACTTATAACATACCTCAAAATTAAAGGGCCAAATGGTTCCAACACAGATATCCGTAAAGCATGTTAAGTGCTTTTTCATTCTTATAGTTAAGAAATCACTAATCAAAAGGACAGGTACCTGTTTCTAATAAATGAGTTTCTAAGAGAAGGCAGAGAAAGGAATAATAAGAAGAAATTTGCAAATAGCTACCCCAAGGTTTGAGAAATATTTATATACACACAAAACTTAGATTAAACAAAACTTTAGATTCACACTAAAATCTGAAAATAATGCATACAGAAAATAATTATAAACTAGTTTGGCTTTACATACAAACTCTTAACGTGGAAATGGTTTAAGGGGAAGCCCAAGTTTATAACAAGAAAATATTTTTTTTTCAAGGTTTACATTTGGTTGGTTGAGCTGTGGTTAAACAGACGGAACAAGTATCTCTGTATGTGTCCTCCCTGTGGTCCACGGCAGTTAAGCATTCCACCAGTCAGGAACACCCTCTGCTGGCCTAGTTACCACACTAATGAAAGACAATGGGATTAGGACACCCTAGATCCTAGGATCACTTACCCATTACTGGATCCATTCTCTCAGGATGGAAAAATATCCCTGGAGTGAACACATACCCACCCACTGACTGGCTTCCTGATATTTTACAACACCGTAAACCACCTTGCGGTCTCAGCTTTAGGTCCTTTCATTTCATTGTCATGCAGTGGGAAAAATAAATGTTAGGCCAGTACCCTCTCTCCAGTCATGGCAAATGGTGCATTAAACCACTGCTCGAATGTGCTGCAGCTCTTAAAAATGGTGGGGAGGAGGAAGTTGAGGAGGGCCCAGAGTTCCGGGAGCTTGTTCTGCAGTGGGGTCCCGGTCAGCAGGATCCTTCTGGGGGCCACGTAGTGAGTGTTGAGGACCTGAGTCAGCTTGCAGTGGTGATTCTTCATCCGGTGGCCTTCGTCCACTATCATGTATTTCCACCGGATCTGTGATGCAAGAGGAAGGACCAACACATGGTGAGTGAGGGAAAACACAAGTATCCCCAAGTGGCAAGTGGTGATGCGGAAAACCACAGAGCCCACGCTTGGTCCAGGCTATGGCACGGTACTCCTCAGCATGAAAGACTCTCAACAGCCTATTTCCTATACCTGGCAGGTGAAGTCATGCACCGTGGAACAATGGGATGAAATAACAGAATGTGATCCCTAATTACCTTTTCACGAAGAAGGCAACTAGGACCCAGAGAGAAACAGTTGGGCCAGGACTAGCTCCTGTGTCTGCCCATCCAACACCTCTTCTATCACTGCTATATTATGACAGCCTGCCAGATTTAAAGGCTTCATAACCACTGCTCATGATGAGTACAGAATATAGTTCCCCACTTGAAGCAGAGGTTAATGACTGATTCCTCCAAGACAACATCAGCAAGTACCTATAGCAGAAGACCTCTGGCTTCATGCCCTTTTACTATCACCTTGGCTGACTCCTACCTTCAGGGCTTGGCTCCTGTTTTTTCTTAATTTGAACTTAGTTGCTAAGATTTAAATGTTGGAATATTTCACCTAAAAATCTGGACATCCAGCTTCTTTTAAAACATTAGAAGATCTAGCAACCTGGACTCTCTTAGTTCACATGTATTCCTGACCTGCCAGGTCCATACCTGCCAGGTCCAGGACCCCAGTTTCAAGATGTCTAAAATGAAAGGACAAACTCACTGGCAGAGAGGGCAGTACTAAAATAGCATTCTTCCGTTTATGCCAAAACTTCAGAATTAAACACAATATATTCCTCCAGCATAACTGTCACTTCAAAAATAAAGAATGACCATATGACGCAATCTCCCTTTCTAAGTCTGCACATACTCCCCTTCCCCTCTCACATCTGACCCTTCAGCCCTCTCCAAGGTCACTGTTTCTCAAAGTGAGAACAATGAGGAATATCCCACAAAGCCTATCCAATCCCCACAAAACAGTGGCAATGGCCAAGAAGAGCATCTGGCGTTCAGATGTCCCTGGATCCCGCTACAAAGCGCTTAGAGAGGAGGGAGAAGCAAAGACTTCTATGAAGTCCTCACCTTCCTCAGTAGAAGCACCAGGAAAATCAGGGGAAAAGGAATAAAACATCACTCAGGAAGGGATGTCTGGGTAAAAGAAACTACCAGAGGTGATTGGGTTTCCCCCTCCCCCCACCCTTTCTCCACCTACTCTAAGACAATTCCTTAAGAATAATTAAAGTTGTACAATCAATTGTCCCAAACTTATGAATAAAAGAGGCCAGGAGATAAAAATGTACTTAATCAATATTCTAAATCCACCTTCCTGCCTAATTTCATTTAACCTATGAAATACTAAGGAATCAAAGGTCTATGCTTTTGCTATCGGATCTGCTGCTAATTAGGTCTTCCACTCAAAAAAAAACTACTACCCCTTTCTAGATCTTCATTTATCCAGAAACAAAGGCAATACATCTCGTTACCAGGCGTTTCCAATGAATTTTCAAATGCATATGCAGAACACACGATACAAATTTTCTTAAAAGGATCTCAAACATACACACATATCCCCACAGTTATACTGAAAACATGTCATTTTTGACACTGCCAAATTCATCTCAGAGTGTGAAGAAGATGAACACACAGCATTGTTGCTGGTGCCATCTCAATTATTAAACCTCCCCTGGGAGCACATTTCCTTTATGTATTTCCTAGGATGCCATGAAGGGAGCTCTCCGTTCCCAGGGCACAGGTTTAATGCAGAGATTGAACAGACCCCAGAAATAGTGATTCTGTTCAGTTCTGGCCATAACTTAGTTTCAGATTATAGTGCTTTCAAAACATCACAGCGTAAAAGAAATTACTAAAGGAAAAAAAAAAATGAAGTTCTCCTACTTGCTCCATGACAGAAACTACTCCCATCATTCTACATGAATATATCAGGAGGCAAGATGACATAAATGGAAAAAAAAAATTCTATTTTTTGGCTAAAGGGCAGTTTAGGACCTATAAAGTAGCAGATATGTAGGTCGCAGGTAGAAAACAACTCTTTCCTGGCTCTAAATATATAGTCATGGAAACAACCCAGAGTCATCCAAACAATAATAGCCCATTATTTCACTGGAAAAAAACATAAAACAGGGAGAGCACAAAAGCTACAGCTTGGATAAACGTTCATATGGAGAAGACCATATGGAGAGATGCCTGCTCATCTCTGGAGAGACAAAGACACAAGAGGCATGAAGTTCCACTGCTGACAATATCCCAGGGCAACAAAAACAATTATTTCTTCCATAAGCATGATGTTCAGAGCTGTTGGAGAGAAAAAGAGTTGCAGAAGGAACCCAGGTAAATTCTTTTAAGAGATGTAAACTCATTAACCACAACAGGATAGGTAAGAGTCCCAGGATCACTGACACACAACAGAAAATAGCATACATAAAATTAAAAACCTATGACCAAAATATACCTGACTCTAAAAGAGAGAGGGAGAGGGCAGTCATCTAATGAGCAAATTATAGTAGTGGGTATAATTTGAGGAATATTTTACATTCCAGTTGCGATGGTCCATAATTCAAGACAAAAGAATTTTTTTAAACATACCTTTGCAAGAATGTGCTTGTCTTTTATAATGTACTCATAAGTAGTCAGGAGGACGTTGAATTTGCCACTCCGCAGCTGGGGGACAAGAGAGCGACGCATGGCAGGGGTGCCCTGAACAGGAAGAAAATACAGATCTATATTACCCCAGGGAAGGAGGCGTGCATTGTCTCTCACTACTCATGGCTTAATGGAGCCCAGACACACGACCAAGGACTCACACACACGCAATTATCATACACAGATCCATTATCCAGGAGGAAAGTACTTGGCAAAATTGCCCACGTCTGGGTACTTTTCAGACTCTTGTGGAAAGGCTTTCCTACCGCAGACCAAGGGAGGGCAGGGAGAAAAAAGGAAATTATGGTGACCCCAAGGTAGCAGGGAACCTGCTGCTCTGCTGAAAGACTCCATTTCTACAGGGGTGTCCAGCCGGTGCTCGGCTACCTGGGTAATTGCCTAACTTTGCAGGAACAGTGGGCATGGTGGTGGCACGCGGGATATGCGATATTTGTCATTTGTATTACTCTCATCAGAAACCTCGCAATATGATAATTAACAATTTTCTTCTGCATTTCACTATCTGAAAGTAATTATGGTTTATTACAGTAATCTTCTCGGGATGATTAACTCTCACTGTTTAGTACATGATGTACATGACAAAACTTTACAACCAAATACAGTTCACAGATGTGCACATGGAATGAAGAAAATAGGGTCTATTTTTTGCTTTTCCACATTTATATATAAATACAGCATTCCAAACCTTGTAAGAAATTTTCACCACAGAAGGAGCCCATTTGTCAAATTCATATGTCCAGTTAGATAGAGTCCTGTAGAACAAAACAAAATACAGAGAGATGTTTGTATAAAAATCTGTGGTTAAAAGGATGTTCTCATTCACTTTCAGGCCTCACCTTGAAAGAGGACAGAGAATATAAAATATCTCAACTACACATTCATTTTAAAGGTGTGGAAATAAGAGATAAGTTAGAAACAAGTGCCACAAAGCGTGACAACTTTGAGGATTCATAAGAAATCTTATGAGAGGGAAAAAAAAATTAAAGAATGCATGAACATAGAGGACAAAAAAAATCTTATTTTTAATACTGAAAGACAGCAATTACCAGTGATTTGGGAACTCTAAAAACGGCCATATAAATTCAAAGAAATTTGAGTCAGGAAAAAAAATGATAAAAGCACATGAAAACACTTAATAAAATCTGTCAGGAGGGAGCAGGGGGAAAATAGTAAATGTCTCAAAAAACCATCAATGTAATCTATGAGTCAGAACATGCAAAATATAAACAAAAAGCAAAATACATGTTCAAGATGTAGATAACATGGAAAGGATGTCTAAGTACAATGGGTTCAAATAAAATGGATTTAAGAGGTCTGTGAAGAATTCTCATTTAGGCAAAATTTGAAGGAAACACTAAAACAGAATCTTTACTTTTTCTCAAGGTCCAAGTCTGCAATGAGCAGTGAGATCTAGAAGGGACCTCAGTGAACAGAACTGCAACCTCACACCACAGTCCGATGCACTCCCATCCAAGGAAGGTGGTTTTGAACAGGAAGTCCTTCCTGCAGGTATGTCCACTCAAAACCCACAAGGAACCCTGCAGTGGACGAGGCACTGGGAATGTGATGGAAAACAGTGAAGACCTGTCCTGACAAAGTGGCAACACCACTGCAGATAAACTACAGTACTGAGGGCAGTTTAATACAAAGTTCAGAGTCTGGATTTTCTGCTTTAAAGGGGACACTAAAGGAAGATTTGAGAATATACATTTTTTTTGAATATATGTAGCCTTTTAGAAATAGAAGAAAAAAATCGGAAATCTTAAAAAAAATCAAAACTTTCAGCTTCAAGAGCCACTTTAGGTGTGATAAAGAATGAGACCCACTGTGCAGCGTGCAGGCTGTGTAGACTGCAACACGAAGGGCTGGAAAAAAAAATCACTTCATCTTGTGCTTATGTAGCCAATCAAAGAGGGCAGGGTGGGAGACAGAGTGGGAAATGAAAACATCTAAATCCAGATTATATGCTCTTGATAATCCCACTACAGGCTACAACTCTGCCTTAAATGACAAATGACAAATAGGGCAAGCTCCAACATAAAGAAAGATAACTGCAGAATAAATGGCTTTACTTACGAAAGGGGAACAATGATGAGATAGGGGCCATTGAGTCGTTTGTGCTCCATCAGATAAGTGATGAGTGCAATGGTCTGTATGGTCTTTCCCAGCCCCATTTCATCAGCTAAGATTCCGTTCAAATTGTTATTATACAGAGAAACCATCCATTCCAGGCCCTGGAGCTGAAATGAAGAGTAATTGCTTCAATTATCCAAGATCTGCACAGGTAATTAATACTAATACAACTCAAGTGGGGCTGCGACTTCTTAACTCCTCTGTGCTGTACGTCGGATTTCCCACAGTAGGAAAGTGGGGGAAGCACCAGCACAAAACGAAATTCAAATGTGAGCCTGTAATCACCCCACCGCTTGGCAGGTGCTGAGTGCTAATCAGATTTAGAAGTGATGGGCTGGAGCATTCCGGGGGGGATTTTAAGCAGCTTTACCGTTCATCCCTACTTAGCATTTCACAGTATATGGCATTCTAGAATTATTAGAGATGAAGAAAACCCAAACGAAAATCCTTTCTAACCACTCCAAAAACAAAAAGCCAATGTGAGAATTAAAGAAAAACAAGCCAGAAGGCAGGTTGGGCATGGAGATCACAGGTCATTAGAAACAGCCTTCTTGGTAATGAAGAGCCTGTCAGCCCCCGGGGGTGGGATCCCCTCAACTGAGGTAGCAGAGTGATCAGGGAGCCAGGGGCATCTGCTGGCAGAGAAAGCTCCCAGGCCTCACAGGGAAACTCCGCAATGCAGGTGCTCCCCAAGGGCAGCTGACCCCTGGAAACACCTTCAGCACAGTTAAGTACAAAACCCCAGCACCAGAGACACAGCTTTGGATTCCCACGTTAAACAGAAGAAAGAGTGGGTGAAAATACAAAATTGTTCAATTTTCCTCTCCAACCAGCAACTCCCTTCCACCACCGTTATCACAGATGTCAGTTTAAATGAGAGGGTTAACTCACTCTCTCTATATATATACATATGCATGTGTGCTCAGTCATGTCCAGCTCTTTGCAACCTCATGTCACTGTAGTCACCAGGCTCCTCTGTCCATGAAATTCTCCATGCAAGAGTATTGGAGTGGGTTGCCTTTTCCTCCTCCAGGGCATCTTCCTTACACAGGGATCAAACCTGCGTTTCTTGTGTCTCCTACACTGGCATGCAGATTCTTTACCACTGCACCACCTGTGTGAGTGTGTGTAATTGCTACAGTCAATTTAGCTTGCTAATGAAGTTATGCTTAGGGAAACATTAATTTTAATTTCTTTCATGTAAAAACAAGACAAGTGATTCTTCCATTTTCAATATTTATTAAATGGTGATTCTGTGAAAAGGACCATGCAAGGAACTACAGCACATGGATATCTACATATGTAAGATGCGTGCCTCCCTTCTGAAGTTTACAAAGAAGACCAAAGTTACATGCACCAAGTTACAAAGTTCATGCACCAAGAAGCAGTTGGCAGTGCAAATGTCATAAAATGTTATAAAACTGTATAGACCAGAATTTTTCTTGGGAAGAGCAACTACAATGGTTTGAAGAAGTACTTGGGTAAGCTTCTTGGGGTGCCTTGTACCATGCAAGACTGAATCATCCTAAAGGTTTTTGCACAACAGCAGTAAAACCAAGAGATGAGCAGAACAGAAAGAGGCCCTCAGGGGATGTGCAAAAGAGAGAGGGGCAGAGGAGAAATGGTGGGAACCCAGAGTGCTCTGTGGGAGGAGCTGCACACTTGCAATGTGACCCCGAGACCACCAGGCCTTTAGGAGTCAGCTAAAGGCCAGACACATTTGGACACTCGAAGGGAGTGGATTTCTTTCTTTACTTTTTAATGAAAATTAGCAAAGGGGCTCAATTTTGCATCTGTTTTAATCCCAGATAAAACAGAAGGTGGACATGGGTTGTTAGAGTCCAGGAATAAGAAACTTTATGAAGCAAAAAAAACCCCAGTAGATTTCTTTTTTTATTTTTTAATGAAATTGGCAAAGGGGCTGAATTTTGCATCTGTTTTAATTCCAGATAAAACAGAAGGTGGACATGGGTAATCTGAGTCCAGGAATAAGAAACTTCATGAAGCAAAACAAAACAAAACAAAACAAACCCAGAGGAGGGGCAGAGTGAGGCATGTTCAGGAAATCTAACAGTGGTCAGCAAAGGAAGAAGGCCATAAAATTCCTATAGGGAAAGAGGAGGAGATAGGTTTGAAAAGACAGTGATGGAGAATGCTTAAAAAGTTCTCAGATGGCAGGAGGAAATCAATGTGGCTTTAAAAGTTATTTATACATAATCTAAAGAATGCACTTTCCACACACAGACATACAGGAGGTCATCAGAACCATCTCCAAGTTCCTATCTACATCAGGTAGGCCAAATCAGATGGCAACAACTTTGAACTTCATGAAAGTAGCATGGTCTTTGGAGAGAATGTGACCTCACTACAGCCAGAGCACTGGTTCTCAAATTGTGCTCCAGGGACTCTTGAGGGTCTCCAGACCCTTCTGAGGAGATCACAAAATCAAAATTATTTTCTTATTAACACTATGGCATCATCTGCCTTTTTTATTGCATTGACATTTGCATTGACGATGCAAAAGCAGTAGTGGGTATAAACTGCTGGCACTTTAACACAAATCAAAGCAGTACTGAGGCAGCAGCAGCTGTATTCTTCACCTCCACACAATGGCAGGCAACACAGTGCCGCGTTCTGAGTTCAGTGGACCCTGGACCCAAGTTCCAAAAGTTTGAGAGCTATTGGCCTAAAGTGCATATTGGGTTGGCCAAAGAGCTTGTTTAAGTTTTTCCATAAGATGTTATGGAAAAACCTGAATGAAGTTTTGACCAAATCAGTACTTCCCAAAGTGTATTCCAAAGGACCCTAATTTTACAGGATATGAATAAGAATATGATATACGAAAAGAAAGTTTGGTGACTAGAGAAATTTTGGCAATATGAAGCTAAACTCATTTCACTGTAGGATGCTGATATGCAATTATGGATGGCACATTTATTTTTGCAGAGTCATGAGCTGCTGATGCACAGCAGGGGATTCACAAGAGGGGTCACTCCTAGGGTGCTCAGACGTCTGATTGGCTCTGGAAGTCCTGGGTGACACCTCTGATCAATTATGAGGGCCTCTATTCATTCTCATACATCTCCAACTTTGGGATAGTAAATGATACAGTAATCCAGGTTCCAGCTGATAGTATTTCCCATATTTATTAATATTTAACCACAGAACCCATTTCCCCCATTCTTTTTGGGGTCTATCTCACAGGACAAATGTTGCAAGGAACATACCATGAAGTGGAAGGAGGTAAAAGACAGGCGCTGACCTCATTACAGGCAAGTCAAAAGAAACATCCGTTATGTTTACAGCCTAGTTTTCATCAAAGCATGGATGCTCACACCTTTATTGTGTCTTAAGAAAGAAAAAGCATGTAAATGTTGCAGACAGCAATTCTTAAGTGGCTACATTCATAGTGTTAAACTATAGCCACCACTGAAAGTTCTGAAGAAATGTACTTCATTTACTTCAAAAAGGGAGACAGATGTTCCCTGTACTGGTAGAAAGTGGCTGGGTTTTCCATTCTGAAGAGATCCATGGGTAAAACTGTTGCAAAGGTTAAGTCAGGATTTCTGAAAACAATTCATCCCAAAACCATAAAAGGGAAAATGGGTAAATGCCCTAGTGAAGAAGGGAAAATGGAATGCTCTAAAAGAAGAATTATAGGCACAGCAGAGAAAATTCCTAAATTAGAAGCGATGTGAGGACTTCCCTGGTGGTCCAGTGGTTAAGACTCCACAATTTCACTGCAGAGGGACATGGGTTTGATTCCTGGTCTGGGGAACTAAGATCCCACATGCCACGAAGTATGGCCAAAAATGAAAAAAGAAAGAATGTAACCCTAGACGCCTGCCATCATTGACTCTCTTGATCAATTAGCATGTACACAACATATCCAATCAAAACTAGGTAACGGATTGCAACTTGCTAAGAATACACAGTTACCTGTGTTACCAAGAATACACAGTCACCACATGAGTTACCTGATAATGCTTCAGGGTCCCGTTAATGAGGAGGGCTGACTGCTTCTCCACCCTCTCGGAGATGGCGTGGGCCACTGTGTAGTAGGACTGGGAGCCTCTGGCACTGTATTGCATGCTGTACTCGTCGTCCACATCTTGCTTCGCCGTCCTGGGGCAGAGAGAGTGGAGAGTCATGCACCGGGAAGTTGTGCATGAACGGAGAGCCAAAAAACGGCCGCAGTGAGTAGAGTTTATTTATCACCTCCTTCACGTGTGCACGCTCAGTCATATCCACCTCTTTGGGACTCTACAGACTGCAGCCCACCAGGCTCCTCTGTCCATGGGAGTCTCCAGGCAAGAATACTGGAGTGAGTTGCCATGCCCCCCTCCAGGGGATCTTCCCGACATAGGGATCAAACCTGAGTCTCTTATATCTCCTGCACTGGCAGGCAGATTCTTAACCTCTAGCATCACCTGGGAAGCCCCCACACCTACTTCATGTCCAGCAGGTAAAACATATTATCTGTAATCCTTGCAAAAACGCAAGCAAGGTAGACGTCACTATTACCTTCACAGAACTTCAGTCTGAGATAAGTTCATGAATTCATGAATTTGCCCAGGTCACATGAAAGATGGTGGCATTAGGATTTGAACACAGGCCTTTCTGACTTCAAATGACTGCTATGAGCATGAAGTATACATCTGCAGGTTCACACTTGGCCAGTGAAGCTGTCCTAGGCCCTTGAAAATCAAAGATAAATCCTACCCACAGAACACTGCCCAAAGCTCGGAAGACAGGTAAGAGGGGGAAGAAGGTGACATTAAAGACATGGGAAAGAGAAGAGGTAGAAAACAGAATGTTTTCTGTACCAGGTTAACCAACTACTGTGTCACTCTAGGAAGGGGCATGCGAGTGTGTGTGCTAAGTTGCTTCATTCATGTTGGACTCCTTGCAACCCTATGGACTGTCCATGGGATTCTCCAGGCAACAATACTGGAGTATGTTGCCATGCTCCCCACCTCCAAGGGATCTTCCTGGCCTAGGGATCGAACCTACATCCTGTGGTTCCTGCATTGCAGGCGGATGCTTTACCACTGAGCCACCAGGGAAGCCTCCTATGGAGGTGGGGTGGGAGTGGGCTCCTAAAACATTCAGTGAAGAAGGGGGCAGATGGATAAAGGAAAGATTACTGAAGCGGGCACAGAGCCCTGGAATAAAAGGAGAAAATATCAGAATGTCTATTTCTGCTTTGTTTTTTTTTAAATCTCATCACTTTAAAATGTTCTCTTTCGCAGATTGTTTCACCGCAACTTTTCTTTTAACACTAGAGTGATACAGACAAAGAGCTGTGTAGTCCACTGGTGTAGAGGATGGGTGGGGTAAGGCGAAGACCTGGGTGCTCAGGTTGGGGGAAGGACTCCGAGGTGTTTCAGAGACTGGACTGGGGAATCAGGGGCTGACCGCCTGCAGCAGTGAGGACAGAGAGGGGAAGGGCACATCCCCCGTGGGTTTCTGGAGGAGTGTTGATGCCAGTAAGGGAGGTGGGAAAGGCTGCCGGGTGGAGGGGCAGATTTCATCTGGGATGGAAGTACATATGACACGAGAAACCCAGGAGTGAGGGAGTCAGGAGGGAGAAGAGGACGGAAGGAAGGGGCTGAGCAGTGGGACACGCTGGTGACCCCTGATGGTGGCATTTCAAGGGGAGTCTGGGCATAAAGTCAGCTTCCATCCTTAAAAACAAAATTCTCTAAAGGAAAATTCATAGAGGATAACCCTCACAACATGCATATGCCCGAGACGACACTCTGAGAGAAACATACTCAATGATCTGCTTGGCGTCCTTCTCCGAAACCTCCTCGCTGTTTGGATCCAGAAGTATTTTCTCTTCAGTCTCCTGCCTGCTGGGTTCTTCCTCCTCATCCTGGGAAAGGAACAAAGACTCCACTTTAAAACAAAGAGGGGATCCCCAGGACTGGCATTTCCTGGAGAGAGAGTGAACAGCATTCAACTTCACAAGTGACGTGAACACAACCAAGGGGAGGACATACATTCAACCCTTACCTATGCCAGGCAAATCCTACCATTCCATCGCTGTTTAAATCACTGGATGAAGGACCAGAAGGAACCCTCTAGGGATCCCCTGGAACCCTTGCTCTCCAAGAATACATACAGAAAAACCATGTCAGAAAGATGGATATATATCAATATTTGGTCATCAGAGAGTCTTGCAGATCAGGGGACCCTAATCCTCGGGTCACGGATGGGTACCCTTCCATGGCCTGTTAGGAACAGGGCTGCACAGCAGGACGTAAGCAGCAAGCAATTGAGTGAAGCTTCATCTCTGTTTACAGCTGCTCCCTATTGCCCGTATCCTCACGGTCTGTGGGAAAACTCTTCCACGAAACTGGTCCCTGGTGCCAAAAAGGTTGGGGACTGCTGCTGTGGACCACATTTGCTCTTGATAACTTAGTGACCTTCTACACCTTTCTCTTCCAAAGCCAGTTGAAGAGATCTTAGTATTGTCTTTTTGATGATGCCAGTGGACCGTTCCACATGCCTTCAGGGTGGAGGGACTGGAGCTTGTAAGCATGTGGCCTTCTGTGTGCGTGTTCTGTGGCTACTTCATATTTCTGGATATGTAGATAAACAGTCAATAACATGGCAAAGGATTCATCACCTCCCCACCTCTGAACCGTGTAATTGGTTCTGCTGGCCTGTTGGAAAGCTTTACTAAACATCCATAATATCCACTACTACCCACTTGGTGTTGAAAGTTAAATCTTTTCAGATAACCTAGAAGAATTCCCTTTAAAAGGAGGCTTAAAGAGAATGATGCTTTTCCATCACTTTTGAATGAAACAATGAGGACTGACAATGACAGTAATGCTGAACATTAAATTTATGATCACAGATCACTGAACTGTAAGGGGTAAAATGAGGAGTGGGTACAGCTCCTTCATGTCCAGGTGAGCACTAAGAGGGGGCATGACTGGCCACAAGATGAGGACCCAGTCTCTGGACCCCCAGGTCAGAGTTCATTCTGGCCCCAGTTGTCTGGAGCTGCCTGCAGCTGTCACTCTTAGGAGGGCACCCTTGGGTTCAGCAGCCTTCTTTACCTCATCTCTGTCCCTCCCTGGCTCTCAGACTCAATGAGAAGATTCTTCCAATGGATCATTTATGGGCCCATTCATCCAAGTAAACAAGCGATATTTTAAAAATTGATTTTGTAAGTTTCAAATACCTCAGAGAAAGAGTGGCCTATAAAAAAAAATAGCATGCCTCCAAAAGTATTTGCTTGTTAATAGTATGCTTTAAAAAATAATAATAACTTTTATTATCTTTCATTTTTAATCCATGGTAGATTAATTTAGGAAACACAGGTCCACAAAACAGAAGAAACTAAAAACAGTCTTAAAATTCTGGTGAGCTGTCATTGGTAAGGCTGCTCTGCTCTGGCCATGGTATTCTTTGAACCAAGATTCCTCTACACTGGTAAACATCAGATTTAATGACTACACACTAGCAATGCTCTAATAAAGGAGATAAAAATCTTCATTTATTTCTTCTATTTGTAATTGTTAAGCAATTTAAAGTTGACTTAGAAATACCTTGATTATTCTTTCATTTCTATTAAAAGTGTACCATTTTAGGTTCTAGATACAGTGAGTATTCCTTCCAAGAGACTGAGAAAGGTGGATAACAAGTATATTCAAAGTACTAAAACAAGAATCCAATTAAAAAAAAAAAAAAGAGGATCAATAAACTCATTAAACCAAGTACATGTTGCCCTTTTTGTCCAAATTTCAATACTTACAGCTTCAAACAGGCCTAAGCACTAAAGGACTTCAGGCATTTTTAGGCTCTTAACCCTCAGTGTAAACCACTTAGAAGCATGGAATTGCTTTTCCCAAAGTAATCCATCTCCAATTTTCCTCCAAAGACCTTTCTACCACCTCTGATTTAATGAAAGCTTCTCTTTTCTTGGTTTCAAATAAACTGAGAATTCACCGAGTTTCCCTGCTGGCCAGGAGGAGCCCCTGAGAAGTCACTGTGAAACTAGGCATGAACCATCGAAGCTCTGGCAAACTTTCTAGGCCAGCTGTCACCCGCTGGCCAACAGTGGGGGACGAAGAGACAGAAGGACCCGGGTATTTTCCGAGAACTTTCCAGCCAGTGAACTCCAAACAGAGATACAAACATACCTCCTCCTCATAATCAGAATCACTCTCTTCACTGTCCGATCTAGGGGCAACTTCGTAACTACAAGAAAAAGAGCAGGGAGGAGAGCAAGTTTAGCTTTTTAAATTATAAAACTATGTGTGTGTATGTGTATACACAAATACATATATCCCATTCTATGTACAAATGACAAATGCAAGTAATAACTTCCGTTCAGCAATGGTCAGATTGTTTTAGTTCCCAGATTTTACAAGGACCACAAAAATCTAAAAAGCCAAAGGACACCAATAATTCTGCTTTCATGCCTTACCCAGGATTCATTTCCAACCAGGCGTCCAGCTGACTTGCTTTGGGTGCTTCTGGGCCAAATAGGACCTTGCCAGTTTCTGTGTGAGTCACTTTGACGGGGAGGTCACTCATCTGGCTGCTCTCATCTATGGGCTAGACAGAAGACAAAACACGGCATTGCTTACTGTTATGATATTCTCCCAGTTCTGTGCTAGAGTTTGTGGCTATCCAGCATGTGAAACCCCTTTCTGTGACTAGAAATTTCATCACCTGGTGAGTCCCAGGTGGGATGTTGAAGGTCACTTTCCACTAAAGAAATGGGAAACATTGGCCTTCCTTACAGCTAAGGTATTGGCACAAGACCTAAGCTCTGCAACTGGGCACATTCACCAAGGCTCTGAATTGGGACCTAGAAGAAAGTGAGGGCCAATGGGCACACTGGCAGGAGAGCAGACAACAGTGGCAACATTGCCAGTGCAATGGTATTGGCCATGCCAACTCCCAAGGCCAGCTGTGTCTTCACTAACCAGGTGTAGAGTACACCACAGTAACATATAACTGAAATAACAGCATAGCCCCAGTCAGGGTATTGCCTTCAGGAGATCTGATGACCCATGCAATATCCTGTTAACATGTTGCCTTCTCACTTAAATCAAGCAGAGTTGATTCTTGCCATTTTCAACTAAGAATCCTTAAACCCCCAAATATTAATTTGCTGTTGTTCAGTCACTAAGTCATGTCCAACTCTTAGGGACATGAGTCCTGGCTGGACTGCAGCACGCCAGGCTTCCCTGTCCTTCACTGTCTCCCAGAGAATGCTCAAACTCATGTCTATTATGTTGATGATGCCATCCAACCATCTCATTCTCTGTTTCCCCTATCTACTCATGCTCTCAGTCTTTTCCAGCATCAGGGTTTCTTCCAATGAGTCAGCTCTTCGCATCAGGTGGCCAAAGTATTGGAGCTTCAGGTTCAGCCTCAGTCCTTTCAGTGAATATTCAGGATACTTCCCCCAGATAAAGACTACTACCAACTCATGGTTTCAGAGAGAATCATGGAAAAAAGAAAGAGGTATTGTCACTTGTGTCATCTCTTAATGGCCAGTGTGGCTTCTGCAGAAACAATGTTATTTTATCCAAAACCAAACCATCAGGTACCTAGCCCAACCATGGGGACCTACAATAAAGCAAAAGGCTCTGCTCATTGGACACCTGGCAAATGGACCGCGTTTGAGCTGAAATTCGTCATTAGACTCTCAATGAAAAATAGTTTGCTCAGAAAATTAAGAGAATAAGTGACATTGCAGAGGCTGTGTTTAACCTACTTCAGAGAACAAATTGTTTAAAAAGGTCTAAAACTGCAGTCATCCTATGCAAATGAATGCTCCTGATTACAGGGTGACTGTGCATCTAGGAGCAGACCCCCAGGCGAGATGTCTGTTTGGAAACGCTTCATCTGTGAGTAATTCAAGTTATCTATTTCCTTAAAAGTGATCAAATTCAAACATTTTGGCCATTCATTAATTCCGAAAAGTTGTTTCTAAATTGTTATTTGGAGTTAAAATGGAAAAGCAGTGTACCGTAGGTTATCTTCTGTATCTAATTGGAAATGACCACGTTCCCCCTCCCCCTCAAAACCGGTTCTTTCCCCATTCTTCCTCAATAAAGCACTGTCAGAATAAGAAACAACATATTAGCAATTATCCACAAAAATAACCTTAAAAAATAAAAAGAGAAGGCTTACTCCAGACTTTCTTTCCTTTTATGTGTACTGAAGCAATGGTTGTGGACGCTGTTATTTTGCATTTCAAGACAATGTTTCTTCCTCACTAATGTAGAAGGTCATCTATATGTTCATGTGATAACCAGGACATCTACATAAGTAGGAAATGCTACCATTTCCCTTGGAAGAATCATATTCCACTATCTTGACCTATTATACTCCAGCTTGTTTTATGGCTTGTGTCATACCTCAGAGAAAACTGAGAATCACTATAGTTGAAATTAGAACTTTGGCAGAAATACCGAGTGAAGACACCAGAGTGTAATCAGAACATTATTTCAAAACAAACCAGGTAAGATGAAGACTGCCCACTATAGCAAGCAGAACATACCATGTGCTATGATTTAAAAAAGAAAAAAAAAAGGTGCATGAGCTAATTTTCCCAGGGGATAATATGAGATAAGAGAGCTACCACACTAACACCTTAAATCTCTCCCTGTGTGATTGTTAATTACAGACCCATGTGAGGCATGCTTTGGTAAGGCTGGGCTTTTACAAATTAGAGCTCTTCCTAAGTGCCCTAATATACAGTATTCTTCCCCTATAATAGCCCACTGAGTGTTTCTCACACATTAGACATTTATCCCAATCTTTTCTTTCCTTGTGATGAATTATAGTGGTTAAGTAACATTTATTGTTCAAGAGGTTTCTGCATAGAATAGTGGTTTCAACCTTTTACCTGCCACTGGGCTGTTCACATTCATAATATGACTCATGTGAATGGTGATTCTGGAAACGAAAGAGGCAACCCTCCACCCACCCCAATCTTCCAGGAAGATTTGTCAGAGTCTGTGAGAGGAGAAGGCAGTTTGAAACAAATGCCCTTCCCATCCCACTCTGGGGTACACCTGCTCGTGTGAATCACTGGCACAGAACTCTTGAGTTTTCAGAGGAAAGAAAAATCCAATAAATCAATCACTGTATTCTGGTGATGCAGGAGAATATCAGAAATAACAGAAATAAAATTTAGAAATATACTGATGAATCTATGAATAGAAGCTATAGGGTAAGCTTACAGAAAATCCAAAAAAATAGGCTACCAAATACGTAAATTGTTTGGCTTATGGAGTTGTGAAATTTCAAAGTAAATGAAAGAAACTGGGTCATATTTTATGCTTCTGCATCATTGACAGGGAAAATGTAATTATAGAACCACTTAAGATTTTTCCACATTCTGTATATTCATAAACACATGCTTATATGTGCACAGAAAATTTCTGGAATGGTATACAAGAAACTTAATATCAGTTGATTGGCAGTCTGAGATGGAAGATCACTGTTTAGTGTATTTCTTTTATGCTATTTTAATTTTCTGCTATGCTAATGGACTATTCTTTTTACTTAAAAATGAATCGCGGAGTGAAAAATACAATTAGTATACATAGAGAATGGCAGGGCGTCATTCAGCAGAGTACAGTAAAAATGGATGCAGAATCCCTTACCTCTCCATCTGGTCCCAGGGCAGACTCTCCTCCTTCAGCGTTCTCTTCAGCCTTCTGCAAAACAATGTCAAATGCTAGGGATAAACCCAGAAGGTGGGTACAGGAAGCACTGCATGGTAACTCAGTGGTACAATAGCATTTCATTACTGCTTGTCACCATCCAAGAGAGCTTAGGAATTAATGCCTTTTATGTGTGTTTCTCTTCACTCTCTGAGACAGAGTGTGTATTTTATTGGCAACTGGCAGGGAGTGACTGAAGCTAGACGTGACTCCGGGTTGGCCCCTTAGAGAGGGGTGGACTATGTCTTGTAGGATGCAAAGAGCTTAAGATGTGGCAGCGTTAGGACTGAGCTCACAATCTGAAATGTAGTTGTATTTGGCACTAGGAAGACACATCCTGAATCAGTTCAACTTGCCCATTCCCTTAGCAAGTTTTCTAAAACATGTCCTCTCAAGAATGAACTCTGAACCACTCGGGTTATAAAAATACAAAATCATTCAAAATCCTGCACATTCTTGGAATTTTTTTCATTCTACCTAATTGGCTTTCATAATAGCACTTCTACATGGGTATATGGGGAAATTTGATGCAGATTCTGTAGTCTCATGAAAAATTCTGTCATCCTCCATTCCTTAAATATTCCAATATCTTAGCCCATTAACCTCTATGTGCCTCAAAGACAGCTTAAATGAAAAGCTAGAATTATGTCACATTTTGTACATACCTGATAGAGCCTCATCTGCAATAAACACAACATAGTCTGAAATTTCTTACATTTATAACAATCTCTTTGACAAGTGAAATCTTTAACACCACCTTCACAGAATCCTTATTTTAAAGTTATTCTGTGTAGTGCAATGAGGAGGAAAAAAAAACCAACTTCAGTCATTTCCTTTATCAAGACATTTAAGAAAATGAGCTTTCCTCCCCTGGGCCCTTTAGTTAATTAAAAATATACATAATGATACAGAATCAATATTAACTCCACTTTGTTTACTTAAGGCATTGATTGTATAATACATTTTTTGCTTCCTGTGAAAATAACTCAATTGTCTCTTGACAAAACAGCTTTTACAGAAAATGTCTAGGGTTGAAAATCCAGTCTTTGTACTGAAGAAGGGCAGTTCCCATAAATGTCAGAAATTTAGGAAGTTCTTTTATAATTTTCTTATAAAACGTACACGTATACATGTCTGCCAAAGCACAACGCATAAAAAATGTAGCACTTCTACCAAATGAAATGCTCCCTTTGGTTATGATTTCCCACGAATTTGGTTTTCTATTTCTGCAACCCCAAAGTGAAAATATTTCCAAGTTCAAAAGGAATGACCATCATGCAAAAGCACTGGGCCCTATGTCTGAGCTATGGATTCAGAGAACAATGGCAGAAAGTCTCAGAAAAGGAACTGTCCCTGTTCCAGTTCCTCTGAAAAGTCCACTTGTGGAATTCTCAGGCACTATATTCAGGTGACTCTTTCAATTAATTGCAGAAAGTCCATTACTCCCACCATTCTCTCCATACAAATCAGAAATTAGCTACAAATTTGGCAAACAAAGAATAGCAAATGAGACAATGAATAAGCCAATTTCCAGTATCTAGCTGGTGGAAATGGATCACCGTTTCAATGAATAGCACATTAAAAAGTCTGAAGGACCATAAACAACAGAATCAAAACTATTATGAAGAACACTCTTCTATGAATATGCTATCGACCAGATAGGGTGTTATCTAAAAACTGCCTCATCAGCAGGACTTTCTATTACTTAAAATCCTCTAAACTAATTTTTAAATTTCCATCTAGTATCAAATCTGAGAGGCAATGTAATATCAGGCTTAGGAAACTTGGTTCTGGAATTAGATGAACTGCATTTGAATCCCAGCTCTGTCACTAACTGCACGAGTACTCGGCCAATGTGATCTTGAGCAAATCTCTTGAATCTTGATTCCCTCCTCTGGGAAAGTAGCAGTTCTCACCTCACGGGGCTGTTGCAGGACCGGATCACCATGTCAATACAGATAATTCAAGGTTACATGTAATATACATTGAGAGTGTCATTTTCCACAATGTGAAAGAATCAATGACAGTCTGAGGGCTATTTATGTTTATATAAGACTGGCTACAGCCCTGTCTGGAAATTGCTTCCTAACATTACAAAGTCAGGGATTTCTGTCTGTTTTGTTCACACATGTATTTCCATACCTTACAAGGGGTCCTGGCACTCAAAAGACACTCAGTAAATATGGCAAACGAAGGAATGAATGAAAACAGCAAGAACAAAGCTTTCCACTGTAGCACACACTCGGTGAATTATCACCATTGTAATTAGGTGCCAATATATTTGCAAATCATAAAAGAGCTAAGAATGCACACACAGTTCCCTCACTGAACTGGCGTTCTATAATACTTCCCATGTATGCCCTGTATTTACACCCAGCTCGGCTGTGCTATTATACAAGGTGGAAGCCAGATGGCAGTCTGCTCTATGGCAGGAGATGTCAAGTTCTCCCATCATGCTTTGAATTTCTTCAGTTTGAAGACAATCTCTGGTGGGTATGCTTTCATAAATCCACATTCTCACATTAAACTCGTGCTAAACCCTCTACTCCCCTCCCCTCCAAAAAAAAAAAAAATTCCTTTTTTTTCTTTTGTTCATGGTCAACTCCAAACAGACTGTGACTGGTGCTACCATTGGAGCTAACTTTGGACAGACTCTGAGCTCCTCGTGAAACAACCTGATGCTCCTGTGGCAGCAGCTGCCCGAGGAAATTCTGTATCAGTGAATCTGCAGCGTGTGACTAAATACATCCTATCAGTGTTACTGGCTGATGCTTCAGCTTATTTCCACTGATTAAAACAAAAACAAAACCCACTTCAGTTCAGCCACTAATCAGGGCTAAAGGAACTTTGTACTGGCTTCTTCCGACCTGCAAAAAGTTGGTAAGTAACTACCCTCACGGGTGGAGGGTGGGACGTAATTACAGAAGCGGATGTGACACAAATTATGAAAGACAATTGGGCTTCCTGATTTCCAAGGCCAATGTGAATTCAAACACTCTTTTTAGGAATGTTCATGAACAAAGCTTTGTACTCAGGTACCCTAGGCTGTATAAAATAATCAGTGACGAGGTAAGGAGAGAAAGGAAACCCCAAATGTGAAAACCCTGAGGAAGCTGAACTCAAGAAAATGGGCTTCGGGCTTGACTTGGTGTGCCCAATGCAGGGGGCACGGGTGTGATCCCTGGTCAGGGAACTAGATCCCACATGCCGCAACTAAGGATTCCACATGCCGCAACTAAGACCTCAGCCTGGCTAAGTAAATGAATAAATGTTCAAAGGAAAGAATATTTTTCTTTGAGTAAATAAAAGAAAAAGGGTATTTTACGCAGATTACCACAACACACACCACAAACAGCCTCACTTTGTAAAGAAACAGTTTTATATCAACTATCTTACAAACTATATTATATAGTGAACACATTTTATCCCCCAGCAGGTGTTGTTACAATATACTGAAATATCATTCAAATGTGCTGGCGTTTTAAAGACTCATTCTGCTCTGAGGGAAATGTGAGATTGTCAGGAACCACTTGGTTATTTTTACTGTCACTTAAGAGGACCTGTGAGCATTAAGATAGGTGAACAGGCAATAAAAAATACCTAAGAATATCAAGTTAACAAGCAATTGCACATGACTTCGGTAGTGCCTTGCAGGGAAAACCAGCTCCAACATTTTGACTCAAGTAACTGGTCAATCCAGTTAAGCAAGACTTTGATCCAAACTTCTGGTTTCATCCATTTTGACATTAAACTTATCAAATAAATCTAATCATCGTGTCACTGCATTCACTTACCTTTACAATAGTCACTATACTCAAATGCCCAAAATTGCCTTAGAATATTTCTTTCACCTACAAAAATCTCCTTGTGGAGGAAAACTGCAATAAACTAATAGTCTCTGGGGAAAAGAGATAAAAGAACTGAGAAAGACTGGAGAGTAAATTGAATATAAAATGTCTCAATAAGATTACAGCTTTTCATCTGATGCTGTTTTCATCATTATACCAAGAGGTTTTTTTAAATTGTTTGCTTTCTAAAAGAAAAACACATTTTTCATCTCTATATTGATCATACACTAGTGTCAGAAAGGTTCCCCTCCAAAACATCACAGATCTGAGATTCACATATAACAGTGTATATAATACTGTTTGATGAGAGGGAAAGAAAGAGAACCAAAGGCCACAATGAAAAAGAGACTTGGCACAGTGCTCCCCCAAGGATTCTCTGAGTATGTTCCCACTAGTATCATGAGTTTCCAAGAAATGTCACAATAAACACCAAGGGTATAGCTGTGCTGGTGTACACCCCAGTGAGAGATTTGGGAAGAGGGAATTAAATACTTTAATTTTGGCCTGAAGTCAATAGCTGGAGAAGCTGAACCTCTGAAGTGATCAGACTTCTCAGCAGTAGATTCAGGGACAGGCGGCTGGCATGGGGCTCCTGACCACAGCCCAAGGAAAAACATATCCTAAATCTATGTAAGAAATGTCTCATTATTACCAGGAGGCATCAGAGAGCAGAGATCAAATAATTAGAAAATTCTCTTTGTAGGAGCTGGGGACGCAAGGGAAGCAGAGTCTGCCCAAAATAAGACATCCTCATTTCCCACTGCAGGCCACAACAGCCAAGGGGCCTGTCATTGTCCCAAAAGATACCCGACTTAGTAGTAATAGCTAATTGAGCTTCACCTAGAAAAAAATGGTGGCCATTTATTTTCTCAACATCACAGAGAATATGCAATAAGTGGAAAAAGAAGATTTCCTTTTCAGAGAAACCTATAACCATATTTGGACTCTTGACTATCCTGCATTTATACTACAGAACTTCTTGGTAAGAAAACCAATATTTACTGAGCACTTACTATGTCCCTGGGAGCATTCAAAGTGTTTTAGATAAACTTGGGCTTCCCAGGTGGCTCAGTAGTAAAGAATCCGCATGCCAGTGCAGGAGACGCAGGAGACTCAGGTCTCATCCCTGGGTCGGGAAGATCCCTTTGAGGAGGAAATGGCAACCCACTCCAGTATTCTTGCCTGGAAAATTCCTCGGACAGAGGAGCCTAGCGGGCTACAGTCTATGAAATCGCAGAGTCAGACACAACTGAGTGCGCACACATGCATATAACCTATGTAATCTTTACAACAAATGCAGGATGCAGGTCCTGTTCCGATCACCTTCTAACAGATTAAGAGACTAAAGAGTTGGGTTATAGATCTCTTAATGAAATATCCTACAAGGGAACAAGAACAATTAGTATTCTATGCTTTCTGACACAGTTATGAATTTAAAAGACAGTGTATTAATGTGATTTAGATAATGATCCAAGTCACAAGTGAGCATGTTCAATCCTATTTGTACACACCCCCATTTCAGACTTGGGTCCCTCCAGTAGATAGGCGAGAACTCTCACGGCAGAGGAAGCAGACCTCCAAGGGCATGTTAAGCACACATTAACACTGTGTTCATGCTGTCCCACATGTAGAAGCTGGTGCCACATAATTATTTATTTCAATACTTAAAAATGATTCCTCCTCTAACATTCAAGTAGATACACATAGTTTACTTCTTCTTCTTCCACTTCAAAAGCATTAATGGAAGATCAGGTTGAGAGAGAGAGAAGTTTCAGAATGACTTATAAATGTATACTTCATAGAAGTGGCTCTAATGATGAGAAGAGAAAAATTAAGCAAGTCATGTGAGGTTAAAGGAAACCGACTTGATTATTCACTAATACCAAGTAACCAGAATCAACTCCCCAAGAAAGAAAGAGGCCTTCTCTTTTACATTGGGGTAACTCTTAAAAAATGACAAAAAGTAACAAAGTTGCCCCTTTCCAATTAAATTACAAGGTCCATCATACTCCTCTTTGATGGCATAGTTCTTGGAGTGACCTGTATGTATCTTATCCTACAAGTGTTGCCACTAGTTCAGTGCTATTAGTTCACTGGGTAAAGAAGCTCTTTTCAAACAAAGATTTAGGGATGCCTTACTTAATAAGGCGATAACCCTGCAGATAGGTGCAGCGTGATATTACTTCTACAGGAAATGCTGAAAGGGATAGCATAGAATTAAACGCCCCCGTGCAGCCTCCCTCCCTGACAGAGAAGCTGGAACAAACAACTCTCAATCATTCACTCTAATGGAGGGGAGAAGAATTCCAGATAATCCAAAGTGTCAAATAATCAGCTTTTGAAAGCATCCATTTTCTTTGCACTTGAATTAAGGTACATCTGAAATTGGGTGACTCACTTTGAACTAAGTCTTAAGACCCTGTGAGACAGTCTTCAGGAAGGACTAGAAAGGAGCCCAGGGTCTTGCTGTCCTTTATCCAGTGTCTCCCAACAAGATGGTTGGGAAGGAAATTGAGCCTGATCTCCTTGGTTCTGCTCAGGGCAGGGAGTGCTCAGGTGCGAGGCATCCTGACAGCAAGCTAGGCAAGAGGAGAAGGGCTGATAATAAGGTGATAATTCTGCATATTTCATCATGTGAACTCATCAATGGAAGATGCCCGGAGAGAGACGCCAGGTAGACCGCAGTCACTTGGGGTACCTATGACTTGTTTGCCAAGAAATCAGGTCGTAGTCTGGCTCCCTGCCTTCCTTCATAGCATTTGTTACAGTTTATACTTATATACTCAGGTGCATATTTGATTAATGTCTGTCTGTCTCCTTCTTTGGTTTAATTAGGAGGGCAGGGGAAATTTTCCTCACCTCTGTACTCTCTCCCACAGAATCTAACATGCTGCCTAGATCACAGTAAGAGTTCAGTTAATATTTGCTGAACAACTGCATGGAATAGAAAAAATAAGTGCTATTAGCAAATATGAAAGCAAGAATTTGGAAGCAGAGAGTCAATCTACAGATGATGCAGAGTTGCAAGCACCATGAAAAATACCAACAGGTTCCTGCTCTGTAAAGACTAACACAGAAACAAAGGCATAATCATTACTACTCAATTATGTATCTTTCTTTGCCTATGATGATATAGCAATCTAATACTGTGACTGTTTGCTATTTCATCGCTAAGTCGTGTCCAACTCTTGCAACCCCATGGACTGTAGCCCACCAGGCTCCTCTGTCCATGGGATTTCCCAGTCAAGAATATTTGAGAGGGTTGCCATTTCCTTCTCCAGGGGATTTTCCCAACCCAGGAATTGAATCCACATCTTCTGCATTGGCAGGTAGATTCTTCACAACTGAACCACCTCAGTACTACGGCAACAATCCATTCATTAAAAGCCAGAAGCTCAAATTTGAGTCATTAGCTTTTAATAACAAACAAACATAGAATATGAACTGCAGTGTTAAAAATACTAACAGTGACCTTTTTGTTACAGCCTCCACAGAATAAACTTAAGGATTAGGAAAAACTAAAACTGCTATTTCATGAGTCTACCTATGGAATACAAGCTTACCAGGTAATGCTAGTGGTAAAGAACCTGCCTGCCAATTGCAGGAGACATAAGTGACACTGGTTCCATCCCTGGGTTGAGAAGATAACCTGGAGGAGGGCATGGCAACCCACTCCAGTATTCTTGCCTGGAGAATCCGATGGACAGAGGGGTCTGGTGGGCCCCAGTCCATAGGGTTGCAAGGAGTTGAACACGACTGAAGTGACTTAGCATGCACCTACTGAATATTACAGAATTGTATCTGTTTGCCATGTGTCAACTTTAAGTCAGAAATTGGGAGCTGGAATTTTGCAAAGTCTATAATGCAACCTTGACAAGAAAATTTGCTATTTCTCACCAAGGAAATGTCGAAATGCAAACCCTGACTCATCCCTCATTCACCTTCACAATAAGGGGAGCTATCTTATACTAAAGAAATCAGGTGCAGAAGGCACCTTCTCAATCATTTATTCCTCCTCCTTAATTATGAAACAGGTATGAGAACTCAGGAGCCATGAAATTAATTATTTTTCAAAAAACATTTTGTTTCATTATTCCGTGCATAGAAAAAATGATTAAATGCTACCAGTCCTCAATCTTCACAATTTTAAAGCCTTCCTGCTGATGTCTGTACCCAGACCAATCAGGACTGACCATGAAAATAGAACAGCCACCAAGAACTATATTACCAGACTACCTAAGCTTCAAAGAGGATCTAATATATTCACAGGTCTACACAGGGAAGCAGGTTACCCCTGAAGTGAGATATACGATCTGCAGAACAGAGATTGTAAATCTTACCCTCATTTCTCATGATAATTTAGATTATTTTACATAGGACTATTGTTTTCTGTAATGACCTAAAACTCTGACCTGAACATTTACCGTACTGTAACACCAGGACAGCTGAACTGAATGGACAATCTTGGCAATAGCTGTCTGTCCAAACAGGCTGAAATACGTTACTAAAAGTATCTCAAAGCTCTCTCTTCCATCTTCCTCTGGCTCCTTTCAATCTGAACAAGGCATTTTGGTTTTCATTTTTCATTCCAGTTTCCTAACTCAGCAGCCCCCTGCCTACGCATTGCACTTGAGTAAACCCTTCTTTGGGCCACGTTTTTCCCTTTCCTATTGACTGTGTGTACTTAGTTTTTTAATACTGTGTAAAACAGTGGAAATAGGAATCGAATATACATTCTGTCCATCTCCAGTATGCTGTCCAATACGCCTCATCAACCCATTTATGTCAGCAGTGTTTGCAGTAAAAGCATCTGAGTCTTCCATTAGGGTAGTTAAGGAGTACTCACTATAGGGCAAGCCAGGCCTAAAACTGGTCCCCAAACACACATCCCCAGCTCAGCCCCAGGCCTCAGAGTACTCACCTTCTTCTTCCTCCTTCTTTTCTTCTTCTCTTTGGCCGCCTGGGCTTGCTTGTGCTCCCAAACCAGGTTAGTCAGATTGGCCACATACTCATCAGTCTGCTGCAAGAGGTATGCTAAACGCCTGTCTTTCTTTTGATCGATCAGTTTTCTATAGCCCTCTTCATCTTCAGCCTATTAAGGAAAGAAGAGTGTGATGAAAACATAATAAAAGTTTGTGGACAACACCTTTTCCTACACATCCCTCCCGACAGTCTGAACTTTAGTGGTGTGTGCAGCAAACTGAATGATTCCAGCCGCCCGAGTCCTCGAACCCTAGCGGGGACTGGGGAGCACAGGGCAGTGCGATGCCGACATCCCAAGAGTGGGGGTTCAGGGTCAGATCAACACATATAACTACACAATTTGTGTGGTGTGATCATGCATTTCGAGCCAACTTTCCATTCTTCTTTGTTTAAACTGCACAAAAAGTGTTACAATTTGATGATTCACCATCTGAAGCTTATCCTTAACTGTGTATTGGAAATTGTCAAACATAATCAAAAGCAGAGAAAGTAGTAAACTCACTCATATAACCAAGAGCAACAATTAACTCGTGATGACGTGATGACTCATTTCACTGCTGCCCTTCCCCCAACTCTGCCCTGTAATTCCGAACTGAATGGTCCTGAAGCAAATTCCATAATAGCTTTTCATTCGTTAAGTATTTCCATAAGTACTTCCAGAGGCAAGGAACTGAATAGGTTTTGAACAAATAATTTCTGATACTTCAAAGCATAACAGACACTGCGGTTGATAGCAAAGGTCAAGTTGTGCGGATTTGGTCCCAGATCAGCATTGCATGGTGCGCCCAGGTGACTGGAGACAACTCATTTAGCACCTGAAGCCTGAGAGTGCTGAGCCATAAAACAGACACAGTACTTCCCACCTCACCTCCCCATTAAGCAACATTATGAGGTTAAATGGAATAAAAACTCTGATGTACTCTGGGTTGTTTCAAGAGAAACCTTTTTTTTACATCCCAATAAAAGGACATCTCCAAAATATTTTCTTCACGTGGTGCAGGATAAAAGGAACACACGGCAAAATCTTTAGGAGGCAGCTCCATTATAGAGGAGCTTGGGTTTTTCAGTCCAAGGGTGTCCCTCCGGCACTTGCCGGAGCGACAGCAGCTTCATCACTCCTCCTGGCTGCTGTCTGCCCCGTGGATGAACATGAACCTTGAATGCTATTATAACTCTAATTGCTTTTGGTTATGGTTGATCTCACTTGAAGAAAGAGTGATAAAAAAACTTCAGTTTCTCTGTTATCTGTATATTCCATCATTTAATTGCAAAAATTAATGATTTGCAAATGCCTAATCATTAGTGTCAAACCAATCTGTTACTGAAGTTCTAATATAGTCTCACTTCAGTTGAATCAGACAAATTTGATTGCTTACTGCTCAGATGACTATAAAATGGTCTCCCCAGCTAGTTAGCAATCTCTGAGACAGCCCCTCCCATTCAAAAAAGAAGTGGGAGGCAGGAAAAGATGATAAGATTTAGTAGTACCTGGACACAGAGCATTTTAAAATATGTTGTTTACTCTCTGAAATCCAAAGAAAAATTAATGACTAAAAAATGCAAACTATAATACCAGCCAGGAAGACTGTGTCACTTGGAATTTTTCAGGGATGTAATTACAGGTTGAGGCTAATGATTCTATCTCCATCCAATACTCACACATTACGTCCCACAAAGAATATGCAGGTCTGCTATCAATATACATCACACACACTTTTCTAAAATCCACAGTGTGCTCTGAGATTTGATTCCAAAAATAAGTGGCCAATAAAAGCAAATATGTAGGCCTGTGATATAAACCAATTCCTTCTGTGTTTATATATCCATTAAAAAGTAATGGTAGAAATGGAATGACCCATGAATAGAATTCCACAATAACACAGCTATAACAAAAAAGCAGTATTTCAAAATTAACTGAAAAATCACTTTTTAAACTGTTAGAGAAACATTTCTGCCATTTAAAAAAAAAAAGATAAGCATAAGCATCAGAGACTTAAAAAAAAAAAAAGATATTCCTAGATTCCAAGACACAACTTAATGAGATATTCATTCAAACAACTTGTGTCATTAGTCTCAAAGAAGCACTATTTTTAAAAGCACTTTTAAAATACCATGCTCTATTTTCTTTGCTAATATATCATTTAAGATTTTTTCATTAATGTTAGTCTTTTTTTCTCACTGGAATTTTCCACAGTGCTTTAGTATTGATATTATACTTGCTTTAAAAGACGATTTTAGGAGTTTTCTTCTTTTTCTATTCCATGAAACAATTTAATTTAGGCCCTCCATATCTGCGGTTTCTGCATCTGCATCTACAGATGCAGAAGGCTCACTGTCCTATGCCATTTCGTATAAGAGACTTGAGCATCACGGATTTTAGTATCTGGTGGGGGTCCAGGGACCAATCTGCTGCGGATACCAAGGGATGACTGTATGGTAGGGTGATCATCTTAAAGATTTGGCAGAAATCACAATGAAATATCCTGGGCTTTCTGCTTTGGGCAATGGGAGAAAAGGAGAGAATGAGAGAAAAGAGGCACTACTTTAAAAAGAACTGCCACTTCCATCCTTCCAGGTCTGGTTATCAAAACTTCTAAAAAATAGAGAACCTATCTTCATGTGAGAAGCTATCATCCTAGACATGGAAACATTGTACTCATCAGTGCTAGCCCTTGACTACTGGCATCCTGCTGTCTAAGGAAAAGAAGGTATTTTCACCTTATCCCTGCGAAGTTCAAAGGAATGGATTAGTATACTTGATAAACAGCTTTTACTTTCTCCTTCTACAGCGGCCTGTGTGACATGCCCAGCGCAGAGGGCTGCGAGCAAAGCGTCTCCCCGGACTCCCGCAGGCAGGTCCTTACCATCAGCCTCCTCATCCTCTCCTTCTCGATCCGCTCCGTCTCTTTCTTCTGCTCCCGTTCCGTGTTGGCATGCCAGGTGGCCACTGCTTTGGAAAGCTTCTGGATCTTGCCAGCCACAGACCGATGATACTCCTTAAAGTCTTTTGCATGTTGCAAAATACTGTTCAGGTATTCCTAAAGGAGCCACAGCAGGAGAAGAGAAGGCTGAACATCCAGTTCCCAGTTAAAGGTTCAACACAGTCCAGGAAAGCTCTCAGTGTGTATGGACAGCAACGGGGGACTGGCGCCTATTTGGGATGGGCGCCCCGGTGTGTCCCCGCAGCCGAGGTGCGGGCTACAGGGCGGTGGGAGAGGTGACCTCTCCAAGTTTGTTTCAGTGCCAGCCTGCAGAAAAGAAGCCTCCCAGGGCCTGAGGGTGTGGCCACATGAAAACGGAAAGATCAGAGGTTGAGAGGGACCTACAAGATGGTGATGATGACATTTAAAGCAAATCACTCTCGAATAAACCCCAGGGAAACAGGTATTATACTGAGAGGACAAACAGTTGGATCACGTTATGCAAGTTAGTGCTCTCACTTAAATACCTTAGAATTGTCACTCAAAATGAGTTTTATAGGAAGCTAACATGGCCACACATCATTTGTATCCAGTTCTTAAATAAAGAAGGGGAAACGCATAACCTTATTTACACTCAAGTCCAACACTTTGCAAAACAAAACCAAGCAAGGCACTAAATTAAGCTCAGAAAAACAAAATTTATAGGATGACACGAGAATCAAACCTACATCAAAATATTTCCATATCTCTGGAAAGGAATGTTTTAAAATATCTGCCCCTGTGAAACCTCCAACTGGGCCCTTGAAAAGCCCAAGATACTATATTTATATTTGCTATAAAAATAACTGTTTGCCCTCTTCTTTCCAAGCTCCCTCTCCCCTAGGATTTTGTCCTAGGAAACCTTCCTGTGCCCACCTCCTCAGCAGCATCCCATGGGGTTATGACTACGACACTGGACTGGAATTCAGAGAGCAGCGCCCTCCCCCCTCACCCCGTACGGATGTTGCCCTGTCCTTGGGGAGGTCACCTCTCTGCTGGGCCTAAGTTTTCTCATCTATGAGACGGTGTGGTCGGACCACCTAAGCTCCCGGGATCCTCTCTGATGTCCCCACCACCCGCAGGGGTCCATCTCTCAGGGGCTCTGACTCAGCCCAGCCACGTGGTGCGGCCCCGCGCACCTGGTGCTTCTGCCTTCGCTTCCGCTCCTGCTCGATCTTCTGCTGCTTCTCCAGCTTCTCCGTCATGCGGGCTTCTCTCAGGGTCTGGCGCTTGCTCCGCTTGTACGCCTTGGAGTTGAGGGCCGTCTCCAGCGTCGTGTCGCGTCGCATGCAGGCCACCACCTCCTGTCGCAGCTGTCGAGAGGGGAGTGGTTGGAACATCTCCCCCGACGAAGGCCAGACCCCTGTCCCCCTGCCCTCCGTTCGGTGGAGCCGAAAAGGGACTCCTGAGTTTCTCCATCACAGCTGGCCTTCTAGTAAACAAAGGGACTACATCGTGCCAAGGCTATAGGGTCTGTTCAGAGATGCTCAAAGTCTCTTTTCCAAAAAATTCAGATAAGAAGCCAAGTTCAACACTGTCTACAGTAAGTAAGTAGAGAATGTCTTGGTTTTTAAACAAATCGATTCATTCTAATTATTTTAATGATATTAATTAGTTAATAAGCTTTAAAAACAATTTTACTTCATTTTAAGTGCCATGCTAACATTCTCTTTGTGTTTAAAGAGTAATGCTGATGACGTGGGGCAAAAAGAATAGAACTACTTCCTGTTTACATGAAGTAGCTGTAGATACTCAATGTTAATTCACTGTCTCATATAAAAATGGGAAATACTAGTTTTGGCTTCCTCTCACTCCTAACAATGGTCTTTGAAAGGTATTTACTTATTTATTTTTACTATATCATGGACTTCTCTCAGATTATCATAAATATCATGTGTTATATGGTGGTAGAAAGTGAGGGCTTGGAAACATGCATTGAAATAATAATTTGATTGAATCTGAAATCAGCATCCATTATGGTTAATATCATTGGAAAACTTCATAGATAACAGATTTTTCAATAAAATGAAGCAAAAATGAGAAGCCAATCAGAATCCAGCATAGCAAAGCTAATTTGAATGTAGTCTTATTCCTGAAAATATAGATTGATACTCATTTAATAAAATTGTATTAAATGGCTTATAAAGTTACCTACAAGAAACAAATGGAATGCACAGTTTTTTGTTTTTGTTTTTTTAATTAAGCTCTAATCTACTCACATACCTACAGCCAAGTAGCTGCCAGCCACCATGATGCCCTCTTATACCTACAGCCAAGTAGCTGCCAGCCACCATGATGCCCTCTTATGATATTATAACCAACAACCCAAATGTATTTCCAAGTTCACATGATAACAGCAAGCGGGTTGGCCGTGGAATTTTATTCACATCCTCCAAAAGACCAAGTCATGCAATTCAATCCTTCCAAACTACTTTCGCTCATTAATAATTCATTTTGCATGCCTGAGTCCTTCCCCAAACAAGCCCATCTGACTGGCCAGGAAGCATTCCTTTTCCCCTTTGGCTAAATGAGGCTGTTTGACAATTAGGGGACCTGTAGCTTTGGGGTCAGCAAGGCAAAACTCGCCAAAGTGAACCTTGGCTCTACTTCATCCCCCTAGTCTCCTACAGATTTAGCAATTGTAAAATAGATCGCTATGCTTGCCTTTATTAATCAGTGACTTCTAAGACCATAGCAACAACAGTAGCTACAAAATCACTGATGAGTCAGTGCTGGGGTCTGACGTGATCAGATGCTGCAAAAGTAGGTGTTGATGAATAATCTGCAGTTACAAAACATAGTTTTATGTATTTGTATAAACAATGAGCTACTAATTTAGTTAAGGGCCTTTCATATTTGTTAAGATAATTTGCATAGTCAGAGCTAAGGGTTTTATATTTCTCTTTACAAAGAAGCTCTGATCTATTACCTTCCTGTTTTCCTTTGAAATCATAAAGACAAACATGAGCTACTCCATCTGTTCTCAAGGTTTCATCTACAGTAACAAAATGCCATAAGTCAGACTTTGGAAACCATAATATGGGAGAGAAAAAAATGTCTCTGATGTACAGAAGAGAAAAATAGAATAATAAGCAGTTCATCTTCATTACTTTTCAGTTCTGTGCTGCTGGTCGAAAAGATACACTCTTTTCACTAAATTTATATCTTTTTAACAATATTGAACAGACTTAAGGAAACGCACAGATCACACTCTGGAACAATTACATTCATTTCCTGCACCTCAGATGTGCTGGGGAAAAGTTATTACCTGACGTTGGAAATTGAGTAACCGAAGTGCTTTCAGTTCCACGGTTGCTTTGGTTCGTAAGTCTGGTGGCAAAGAGCCAGGCAGATTTTCCAGCTCCTGTATCCTATGGGCTATGCGAGCCTGGAGTCTAAAGGAGATGATAAAATGGGGGAGGGGGAGGGGAAAATATATGTTACAGCCTGGTCTTTACTGAGAGACAACAGTCTCAGGTTTACGTTCATGGCAGAACACCTTGCAGATACTGATGGCAAATTTCTGACACCCAAACAGGTTATCTGATGTTAAGCAGAGAAAAGCTCCCTTTGCACTAATGCACACAGGTGCTATATTACTTAACACTTCTGGCCTTCTTCACAACCTGTCTCTAATAGCCAGGAAGGAAGGCTCGGGGTACATGTAGGAGCAAAGTCAAAGTCCCATGTCTCCCTCTGAAGAGAGAGAGAAAGTGACAGACAGGAAAAATCTGACTTGCTCCCAGCCAGAGGGCAGAGCTGAGACAACAGAGTTCTCTTTCTAACTGCTAGTTCTGTCCTAAGGCAGCGGGGCCACTGCCCTCCCTTCCGAGATGCTGATGATGACAGGCTTCAATGCCGAGTGAATGAGGACAGTTTTAGGTGCTGAGGCCACAGAAATCAGCCAACCCAAAACTTTCAAAGAGAAAAAAAGCCCTGCAAACCACAACCATTTCCTCTGTGAGCAATGCTTGCTTGAGAAAAGAAGAGAAAAGAAAAGAAAAGAAAAGGCAAATCAGGCATCAAAAAAAAAAAAAAAAATCTGGTTTGGGGTGGCACTAAATAGTAAACGGTATGTCAAAACTAAGAGTTTCTAGAAAAGGACTGCCAGGCAATCTCAGTCTGGACATCATTAAAAAAAAACAAAAACAAAACAGAGTTGTAGGTACTTCCTTATAATAGAGGTAGAACAGAAAATAAAAGACATCCCACTTAATTTATTTGCAATACTGTTACTGTAAGTCACAGAAACTGGTTTTAGAGTTCACCTGGGTCCTATGCTTACAAATAATGATCTGCCATTTAAACCTATTTTTAGAGTCACCTCCCCTCAAATTTGGGGGCAAAATTGTCTTGGAATAGATTTTGACAAAGAAAGAACAGTAAATGGTAGTAAGTTAAACTAAACTAACAGTAACTGCACCAAGGTGCATTTAAAGTGAAAATGAAAGTCACTCAGTTGTGTCTGACTCTTTGTGATGCCATGGAATATACAGTCCTTGGAATTCTCCAGCCCAGAATACTGGATTGGGTAGCCTTTCTGTTCTCCGGGGGATTTTCCCAACCCAGATCTCCCGCATTGCAGGCGGATTCTTTACCAGCTGAGTCACAAGGGAAGCCCAAGAATACTGGAGTGGGTAGCCTATCCTTTCTCCAGCGGATCTTCCTGACCCAGGAATCAAACCAGAGTCTCCTGCATTGCAGGTGTATTTAAAGCACAATTTTCTCTCTCTCCCACACACATACATATACATTTATAAGGTAAGTCTATAACAGCACCATGTTATTGATGTTAGTTCAGAGACACTAAGAAACATGTGGATTTCACAGAGCCAGTAAAGGAGAGAGCCAAGATGAGAATCCTCACTGGCTTGACACCAGTACCAGTGCAACACCACCACAGATAATCAGAATAGACTTTACAACTGCAAGCTCTCGTGGAATTCAGCTATAAAAGTTGATAAGTAAACATTCTGTTTAAAATTAGTTTCATGGTTTTGTCAACCTTTATGATGCCATATATTGATATGAAAAAGAAAACCTTCTGTAACTTGGACACTGCAAAACATCTTAATAGTTCATATAGCCCAAGTATCAAAATGCATGCATGTGTGTGTATGTGCTCGCTAAGTTGCTTCAGTCGTGTCCAACTCTTTGCAACCGTATGGACTGTAGCCCAACAAGCTCCTCTGCCCATGGGGATTCTCCAGGCAGCAATACTGGAGTGGGCTGTCATGCCCTGCTCCAGGGGATCTTCCCAACCTAGGGATGGAACCTGTGTATCCTGCATTGGAAGGTGGCTTCTTTACCACTAGTGCCACCTGGGAAGCCCAAGTATCAAAATGGGCTTTTTTCTTTTAACAAAAATTAGAGCTGTTTGCTTTGATAGGGAAATTTCAAAACTTTAAAAATAACAATAGGGAAATGTGTCATTTTTTTCCTGATCTCACTTGGTTGCTCAGACAGTAAAGGATCTGCCTGCAATGCAGCAAACCCAGGTTCGATCCTGGGGTCTAGAAGATCCCGTGGAGAAGGGAATGGCTACTCACGCCAGTATTTTTGTCTGGAGAACTCCATGGACAGAGGAGCCTCGTGGGCTCCTTCAGTCCACAGGGTTACAGAGTCTGACATGACTGAACAATGAACACGTTCATAAAAATAATATTATGATAGATTCCTCTTTTATTTCATATATATGTTATTCTGATTTACTGAATGATTTATTATCACGTGTTACTACTAGTATCATCATTGTTAGTGTTATTTCAATAATGCATACCAACATAAACAATAGTACTTGTAAACGGTTTTACCATGCAACCGACTAAAAATGTATTAGGTTCAAACAATAACAATAAACATTCATCAATTTACTCTTGATCAAATTGTTCAAACTCTCCCAACCTTATTCCACATTCCTTTTACTATTGATAGTCATGGGATTCTAATCATGGTTTTTAACTTTTCTCTGTATGAAACAAACATCTACTTCCTTTATCCAATTCAATTTCTTAAACATGCACACAGCCAAAAATTCCCCAATACAGCAACAGGTGATGCATCTTAACAATTAAGATATTAAGAGAAAAATCTATTACAGAGTTTTTTCAAATATATAATTTAAAGGGGAAAAAAATGAAACTGAAACAATTCTACCTATGTAGAGTTAAGGCCATACTAAGGGAAATTTAAATACTGTAGCGGGGTGAGATAAAGGCCAATGATATGGTTATTCTACCTCTTTGGTTCTATATTTATTGCAGTCCTATTTCATTGAATAACCCAGAATTCAAACTATCCCTTGGTATTGTGTTTTACTTTCCTTGACAAAGTGGGTCAGGTGCTGTATTAGAGGAATGGGTGCTTTTTCCTTAATCGTCTAAACGACTGTGGAACTGGAGCTAAACAAATAATCTTAGGACAACTGGCCTGACCGTGTAGAGGTTAAATCACACTGGACCAGGAGGGTGGGAGTTGGAGAGTGGAGAGAAGAAGCAGGGAGGTGAGAAGTTGGGGAGTAGGTAGGTGGAGCATGGGGTCACCTGGATGTGGGAGTCGGTGGGGAGCTGGGAAGGGGTGCCCTTCTTGCACCCCTGAAATGATGGCTTCTCCAAAGGACCTAGTAATTTGTCAGTGAATCTCAGATTCTCCAGCACAAAAAACTCTTTCTTTTATGGAAGGGAGGCAAGAGGGACAGAGTGCAAACTATAGGAGAAGAGGAAAGGTAGATTCCGAAGTAAAATTATATGCATCCAATTCAGCACATGGGGAGAGGGAGTAGTACAGAGATAGGACGGGCTTCTTTTACACAGAGAATTTTATCTTTGTGTGGTGGTGGTTGTTAATAGGAATGTTCATTTTAAATAATGCTCCTCTCCAGACAATTTCATCTTCCCATCAATGGGATTCAGCAGGTAGTCCGATAAAGAGATTCAGGATTCTAAACTTCCCGAAACAACAACAGATGTAATACTGCATAACTGCAGGAGACTCATTTAGTGTCCTCACGGGTACAGAAAATTGAAGCAGAATTAGGTCACTCAGGTTTTTCATACAGATTGAACAGTAAATCAAGAGGGGTTACTGTTCTGGCAAGAAAAAGAGTTCCATTAAAGGCGACAGATATTTGTTCAGGTCCAGAGGAGAAGTTTATGATTCCTGTAGGAGAGTTATTTGAACAGAAAATGACACTGGTACATTTTGTTCCTTCCAGGAGCTGAGTGGCACTTTTTAAAAGAAAGAGAGAGGGGGACTGACTTTTGGTAACTCTGCTGATGAAGCGGCTCTTGGTAATTTTTGAGAAGGAATTTTCAGGGTTGTAATGGAGGCCAGGGCAGTACAAAAAACACTAGGCCGGCTTCCTGAAGCCGGGGGGCCAGTATGCTGATTTCATACTAAATTCTGACTTGATACCAAAGAGGGCTCACACCATTCAAAAAGGCTCTTCTCAAATAAATCCCTTTCAATGTGAAATATATTTCTTTCTCATGTAACATTTGTAGAATTTACATGCTAACATTATAATTCCTGGAGCACTTCTGATCAACCCTCTAACTCTAGGTGGAAGAACTGAAGTGAAGTATATTGACAGGGGCAAAGAAAGTATGCCAAAACACCAAAGAAAAAAAAAAAGAGGTACTGACACTACAGAGCAAAAAAAGGATCCAATTTAAATGAGAATAAAATGTTTTTAACTGAAGAACTTACATAGATCTGAGGCGGAGTATTCACATGAAGAAACTTATGTGTGCTATTACTGAAAAAGGAAAGTTAATTTTGTCAAAATTCTGATTTCATGATGAACAGGAAAAGCAGCCAGGTGACTTAAAAGTTAAAAAAAAACAAAAGTTCAGATTCTGACAATTCCCTTTCACTTTTCATAGACAAGGTAAGTGATATTACAACAAAGAAATGAACATCTGGTTAAAGAATTTCTGACAAATGATTTTTGCTCAAACCAAGTTTATAAAATTATAAAAGAGACTTAAAAAAAAAAAAAAAGACCTTGCTCAAATCCTCAATCAGAAGAGAAAGTTACACTGGACTCTTCTTATCAGTGCTAATGGGTAGTAAGTAAGCCATTCTCTCAGAGAGGGAAAGGGGATTTTTAGCTGTCTTTTACAAGGGCCTAAGGGACTTAATCTAACCGTTTTTAAGGAATACATTTAACTAATTTCTGCAATTGGATAATTTATCTTCATATAGGCAGAAGTCAGCTCTTGCTCTGTAACTAAAGAAGATAAAAGACAGCCCTGTAAAACCCTACCAGTATAAACCTAAGCTTCTCAAAACAGCGATGGGAGATTTCAAGCCAAAACACCCATCAGCTTTCTGAACCAGGGTTGCCAGATCGGTCACTTCAAAAGCCAGGCAGCTTAACAGAATAGGAGACATGTTATCAAGTAATAAGAATAACATGACAATTAGCCATTCCACCACCTTCTGCAATGCTTATAATTCAGAAAATACTGATGGACACATGTTTTTAACTTGACACAGGTATGGAGGACAAAACCTCTCCACATACCGGAATAGGCTAAACAGTAATAATTAATACTGTGTACTTTGGGAGACCATCCATTAAGATCATTTCCCAAAAAAAGTGTTAAAATGAGCTCGTTACAAGAACACCCTGCAAATACAGTTCTGGTAAAAATGACAAAATTACGACTCAATAAGCACATACACAAACACACACCCCATAATATAGGCTGAAGAAGGAAAAAAATATGAAGAATTAATGCATTTGAACTGTGGTGCTGGAGAAGACTCTTGAGAGTCCCTTGGACAGCAAGATCAAACTAGTCAATCCAGATGGAAATCAGTCCTGAATATTCATTGGAAGGACTGATGCTGAAGCTGAAGCTCCAATACTTTGGCCACCTGATATGAAGAACTGACTCACTGGAAAAGACCCTGATACTGGGAAAGACAGAAGGCAGGAGGAGAAGGGGATGACAGAGGATGAGATGGTTGGATGACATCACTGACTCGATGGACATGAGTTTCAACAAGCTCCAGGAGTTGGTGATGGACAGGGAAGCCTGGCATGCTGTAGTCAGTGGGGTCGCAAAGAGCTGGACACAACTGAGCAACTGAACTGAACTGAAGGAAAAAAAAACCCAGATGCATTTCTAGGTGCAGTGTCTGTGTTATAAGGCATTCATGTGATCCAACAAAGGGATTGGTAGCTCTGTATGGTCAAGGTAGGGAAAAAATGTTAGCACTTAGGAAGTCAGAATTTTAAACAATATCCCACTATCCCATTTATTGTCTTTTAAAATGGCTTTTGGCTTTTTTATTAAATGGCAACATAAAGAAAGGACTGAATATGAATATAGTTTTTCTGCCCCAAATGAGTATACAGTACTGATATTTGACTTTTATACCACACAGAAATTATTCACCCAACAGAATCTGTCTATCAGCACTGAAACATCAATTGATGATGAGTATCTAGCTCTCTAGGGATACATGAAAAGCTGGAAACAGCAATATAAAAGCTCTTAATTGAGGATTAGTAATAGCAGTGAGAATAAAATTATACTCTTCATCCAAAAAGCTATACACATTTAATGGCAAGTTATTGTGATTTCTTTCAGAGTAACTCTCAAAGCTGATAAATTAGTATTTTAATATAATAATAGACAAGTAGTCATGTGTTTTACAATAAAGAGTAAGGTAACGTTTTTAAAGGGATCCTAGACATTTTTTTCTTGGGCTCCAAAATCACTGCAGATGGTGACTGAAGCCACAAAATTAAAAGACGCTTGCTCCTTGGAAGAAAAGCTATGACAAACCTAGACAGCATATTAAAAAGCAGAGACCTTACTTTGCCAACAAAGGTCCATCTAGTCAAAGTCATGGTTTTGCCAGTAACCATGTATGGATGTGACAGCTAGACTGTAAAGAAGGCTGAATGCCAAAGAATTGATGCTTTTGAACTGTGGTGTTAGAGAAGACTCTTGAGAGTCCATTGGACTGCAAGGAGATCAAACCAGTCAATCTTGAATATTCATTAGGAGGACTGATGCTGAAGCTGAAGCTCCCAATACTTGGGCCACTTGATTCGAAGAGCCGACTCATTAGAAAAGACCCTGATGCTAGGAAAGATTGAAGGGGACGAGAGAGCACAAGATGGTTGGATGGCATCACTGACTCAATGGACTTGAGTTTGAGCCAGCTCCAGGAGATGGTGAAGGACAAGGAAGACTGGTGAGCTGCAGTCCATGGGTCAAAGAGTAGGACACAACCAAGTGACTGAACAACAAAGACATTATTTTGGGCTTCCAGGTGGCACCAGTGGTAAAGAACCTGCCTGCCAATGCTGGAGACGAAAGAGACTCTTGTTAGATGCCTGGGTCAGGAAGATCCCCTGGGGACGGGCATGGCAACCCACTCCAGCATTCTTGCCTAGAGAATTCCCATGGACAGAAGACCCTGGCGGACTACAGTCCATAGGGTTGCAAAGAGTTGGACATAACTAAAATGACTTAGCACAAAATCACAGACATTATTTCCTAACATTCTCTGTAATGTTTAACCCCTAATTTTCTTAAGTTAAATCATACTTGGGAAATAATAATAATAGCTAAAATGTATTGAAAATCTTCGTATAATTTTATCTTCTCCCTATAAAAGATAATATTGTATAATGCCTTCTTTTAACATAAGGGGAAACTGAGTCACAGAAAACAGATGTGGCTTGAGGAAGGCAACCCAGACACTTTGTGGCAGAGCACACTTTTTGGCTAACTCTTGAAACCAGGGCTTCCCTGGTGGCTTAGCTGGTAAAGAATCCTCCTGCAATGTGGAAGACCTGGGCTCGATCCCTGGGTTGGGAAGATCCCCTGGAGAAGCAAAAGGCTTACCTACTCCAGTATTCTGGCCTGGAGAACTCCATGAACTGTATAGTCCATGAGGTCGCAAAGAGTTGGACACGACTGAGTGACTTTCACACATACACACACACGAATCCATTATCTTAGCTTCATTTTATCCTGACTCAGTTCTTCCTGGACTCTTTTTTTTTTTTAATTGAAATTAACCATTTAGGATCTACTAACTACAGTCTGCGGGCCAAACCCTGTCTGTAACTTGTTCTTATAAATAAAGTCTCACAGGAACACAGCCAGCCCATTATTGCCTAGCTGCGCTCACACTGTAATGGTAGAGCTGAGTAGTTCTGACAGAAGCTCTAAGGTCCTTTAGAGAAAAGTTTTGTCAATCCCTGATTCAGATAAATGTGCCAAATGAAGCTTCTGGAGTAAGAGTTAAACTAAGGACCACATACGAAGACATTTAAGTGGGGCCTACCCCAAAAGTGAGACCAGGACATTAACCAACAAGTGCATGAACTGAAACACAGAATATATTATTTCCTTATAATACAGCTTCTGAGGGACAGGCTTTGGCATCAGGAGATGTCAAGCCAGCAGACACACTCAACATAGGAGCCACTGACAGTCATCATTCAAGGACATACTGACAGACCAGAACAAGATACTGCACAGGCTGAGTGTGAGCTGACCACTTTCTTGTATCTTTAAGAACTCTGGGCTGAGCGTTTGATCTTGGCGTGTCATCGGAGTGGATAAGTTTTCCGACTGCAAGAGTGAAAATCAGGCCTTCAGACCCAGAAGCCCTGGAGGGTCCCTGCCCCAGGCTCCAGTGGCAGAGAAACTCTTCTCTGAGACTTTGTTGGAAAATCACTCTCAAGCCTGAGTCTTGGCTTCTGCAGTTCCCCTTAGGCCTTTCCCAGGTCCCACAAAGAATGACCATCAGGCGAGGAGACCCCAGGCCCTCTAGGCTGGGTGGTACTTGCAAGCACACATTGCCTTACCCGCGGGACAGGTGCATTACCTGTACTCCCGCTCCTGCAGAATCTCCACGGGGTCCAGGCCTTGGGGTTTCTGGACCGGGCTGATCCGGCTCTGCTTCTGCTGCAGCTGCAGGATGGGCGAGGGCTGCCCCGGGGCCGGCTGCGGTACGGAGGGTCCAGGCACGGCAGCCGCGGGCGGTGGCGCTGCGGCAGGGGGCGCGGGCGAGGGCCGGCCGCTGGGTGCGGGCACCGGCAGCTTCTGCGGGGGGCTCGGGCCGCTCAGCTCTGGCCCCGGGCCTGCGAGACAAGAGCGACATGGGCAGCTGGGGAGGGAAGGTGCCCTGTGCCCACACCCCGCCTGCCCGCCGGCCCCCTCCCGGGGGGGAGGGTCTGGGGATGGGGACAACGGAAGGTCTCAAGAGAAGAAAACAGGAGGGAAAGGAGGAAGATGAGGAAAACCAGAAAGAGAAAGGGGGAAAGGGTTAAAAGAAAGGAAAAAGAAAAAAAGAAGCTGGCATCTATCCCATCCCAAAGGGAAATGGCCCTAAAATGACTCTTAGGTAATAAACTGATTAAGGAATAGAGAGCCAGTTTTTAGTGGAGGTCTGCAGTGGGTTTTTAAAAATAATTACAGGTGCATTTAGGGTTCTGAAAAAGCAAGGGAGTCCACTCAGCGGTCAGATGCAATCTGGGTGTGGTCCCCAAATCACATTCTGCGGACAACACCACAAGCCCCCTCCGGCCCAATCTGGAACGGTCCGCTGTAAAACCTATGCTTTACGTAATACAGGCAGGAGCCCGCCAGTATGCTGATGTGAACTGAAAGAAGCACGCATTTTTCCTTAATGACCTATAAAGTATATTTATATTTATAGGCTTTATCGGTACATCTAGGGAACTTAAATTTCTTATTCCATGTTAGAAAATATTTCTAAAAGCATTCAGTGCAGGGGAAATAAAGAATCTGCTCATTCCACCTAAGAAAACCCAGCAAGCATTAAGATTCAAGACAGCATTTTTCTCATCTTATTAGACTAAAGGGCTACATAATCATTAAGTTTATTAAAATGTACTTGATTAGTTAATTTAAAGCAATTTCCCACATTAAACTTTAGGAGTCTCAACTAAAATAAGAAGTGTTCCATCTCTCCTCCAGGTGAATTTTTACTTATTTTAAAGTTATAAATAAAACGAGTGATGCTACCAGACGAATTTAGTAAATTAAAGAAAAATCTCAGTAAGCAGATGTTAAAACCTCAAATAGGCATTCTTCCAAGTATTTTCTGTTATCTGTTCAGAGAAATATTAAAATTATTAAACAGTAACAAAAATAATCATCTCTATACTTCAGAGTGACTTATTAATGTACCATACAAAGACATACATTATGAAAAATTAGACATTTCAGTTTTCAGCAAACACCAGTGAGAAGTGGGCTTAAATGACAACCCAAGGATAGCAAACATTCTGACAAGAGGAGTGGGAAGAATTAGAACAAAGTGCCGGGAAACTACAGTGTGTGTGTGTCTGTGAGCATGAGCGTGTGTAGTGGTGATGTTCTTTCGTTCCCCTCCTTCTGAAATTAGGTAAAACTTTCCCAGAGACTTAGGGCTGGATGAGACTTCCTGAGGTCATCTGTAGCCCTGTCCTAGGATTGATGACAAGTTCTGGAGGGAAAAATGCACTTCTTGTTTTTTTGTTTTTGTTTTAGGCACTATAGCTGTACTATCATAGTAAAGAGATCCTTCTCGGCTAAGTACATTCTGATTCTTTTTCTGAACGGGAGGTCTTTTACATAATGCAAAGCTTTTCACAATATTTCAGATTTAGAGTTCCTTCTGTTCATATGGAAGAAACCGGTTTATAAACATTAACTCTCAGGGTTGTTAACCATTGGAATAAGTTATGGAGGGACACTTTTGATTATTTTTTCCCTCATGGTCTTTAAAACAGGGGAGTTTTTTTTTTTAATCTGAGTTGCTTAAAGCCAAAGGAGAGGAGATACAAATTTCTAACAGTTACTTTAATAGTGTGATTCTATGAATTTCCTAATAAGCTCAAGAAACTGGTAGAGTTAAATATATTTGAAGACTTGGTATAATAAGCATACTAAATAAATAAATGTAACACATTGAAGCCCTCTAAAAACCCATCACCTTTAATAAAAAGAAAATCTGTGTCCTATTGATAACATCATACTAATTATCCTAAATTCAGTTTTCAGAGTGCTTTTCCTCCTTTCAAAATTTGAATAAGATATCAATAAAAGCCATAATAGTGCAAGAGTGCACATATTTCACTTACTCTGGATGCTTTCTTCCTTTAGCACGATGGCTTGTAAATACCTGTGTAGAGTCATGCCGACTCCTCAAGGTATATTCAAGTCACTATTTTTAAAAACACACAATCAAAGGGAGGTATCCAGAGCATGTCTGATATCTCTGGTTCCAAATCTAGTCATTTTCAGCCTGTGACTTGAAACTAGATCTGACACATAGGCAGCTAGGCTTCTTTAATCCATAAATACAGAGACATTCTTATCTGGTTGAAGGACCCTTAAAGTTAAGATGTAGGTAGAGACAGACCCAAACACAGACTTAAATATTCAAATCTCCAATCTAAAAAGTATTCCAGCTTGCTGTGAACTGAAATAGGTATGTCTAAAGCACCCTGTGTCTTTCTAAAAGAACTGGTAAATCATACCAATCAGTCGTGGGGGCCTAAGCAAGTTACTTAAGCCCTGGTGCCTCAGTCTCCTCATCAGTAGAATGGAGATAATACCAGTGCCTTCCCCCTGCAATGGGGAAGTGAGGATTCAATGAAACAGCATGATTGCATGCTCAACCCTCAGCTCTGGTCATTTTTTATTGCCATCAAGGACACCAAAGTAAAGAAGCCTAATTTAATCTCTCAGCTTTTCAGAAAAACTCTACGGCAAAAGAAAGGTTTTCAAGGAAATTTGGTACTGTATTAGCTAGAAGCTTTGAAAGGACGCTCTTCAAGAGCAAACTTGAAAATGTTTCCACCGTTTAATACAATTCAGCACAGATACTCAGATAAGTCGACCTGCCATGTGCTTCCTGCTAAGTCCCCATCAGAGTCGCTTACAAGCAAACTCCTTTCTAATTAAACACTGCCAGTTCATTTACCGCCTGGGTCTATTTTCTCCTCTGGCCAACAGGTTATACAAAAAATTCTCCTTACAGAGGCTAAGGGACTGAACACAGCTGCCTGTCATTAGACACGCCCAGAACACACCTACTTAACCATGAGGTGTTCTGCTTGTCTTTGTCTTTCAGGAGTTGAGCTGCCTGAATGGGTTTGCTCTGTATCAACAGAAAGCATCTCTCAACAACCAGCACACTCGTGGTCTGCAGAATGATAAGAACTCACATCTTGGTATCTTTAGATGGAAGACAAATTATGTTCTTTAGCTATCTCCTACTCTCTCACCAATATCAACAATTTAGGCTTAACTGTCTGAGGTACAAAATATGTCTTCCTGTCCTCACTTTAGAAGTCAAGGTAGATATATGCCCTGACATCTTGAGGGGTGTCGTCCCATTGCAGCTAAGGGAGGGGAGGAGTCTTCATTAGATGTCTGAATCTAAGAAACAGGTAAATAAACTTAAATTACCTAAGTCTCACCTGTACAGAATTTCTATACAGAATTCCCACTTTACCTTCTGGTACAGAGGATGTTTATGCAAATAACTGTCTGTGCATTAGACAAGGATTTAAGTGGATTCCAGAGGTTGAAAAGATAAATGTAATAATGAGGCTTAAATGAAGCATACTAAGAAATTTTAGATGAGAAAAGGAAAAAAAACCAAAAAAACAAAAATGAGAGGGGCCAGGAGGAGAGTGACAAGCACTGAAAAAAATCAGCAATAAAACTCTTGCTTTCTAGCACGAAGGCTTCCCTGCCCACCGCAAAAAAAAAAGAAAGAAAGAAAGAAAACCTTTTCAGTTCCTATTCTGAAATTTGCTTTGGTCTCCAAAAAGAAAAATGAATCAGAATTGGAAGAAAAATGATGGATTCGATTTGAGAGGAGCCCACAGCAGGCAAGAACTAGAGTCACTCATCTGTTCAGTGCACACTTCCTCTGGTTAAACTGCAGCTCTTGGGTGGTGGCTCTGGCGGTATCGCTTTTGGTGAATTCTAACTTTGGAGTGGGTTTGAGGCAGATCACCCCAGCCAAAAAAGCTCTCTTTGCACATGAGTGACACCAGCAAATGGGACGAAAGAAAAATCACAGCTACCACCAGGAAAGTAGACACTCTTAAATTGATTTTTTTTTCCCCTGAAATATTGACAGAGGTATTTATAAGCAATTATGCTGCTTTATTAATTTTTCTAAAAGGAGAGGGATAAACAATTAATAAAAGTGATATTCTCTTAAATAAAGAAAAACTTCTTTTGGCCTTACTTGAATTTGTTCAAAATGTCATTGCCAAAAAAAAAAACCAAAAAGCCATTTTCAAGGAAGGTAATCATTTCCTTATGACATCTGAGATTTGGGGGACAAGATCAGGAAAGTAACCTCCCTCCTGGTGGCAGGAAGGGGTCTGCTCTATTTGAGGAAAGTGTCTTCTTTTCTCCTTTGTCCGCAGTCTCTTTGCCTGCTCTGGCATATTGGCCCGAGTAGTTTCATTTCTAATGCAGCCTGATGGCTGGAAATACAAAAAACACAGTGAGTAATAAAACGAGTTTCCCCCCTAATGCCAGGAGCCTGGCGAGGGAAGATGTAGGCATCAGGTAAAGGGAAAAAAAGTAATAATAATAAAATGGAGCCCTCTCTTTTGGAAATGATCCAGAAAATACACCCAGGATTTTGTTGGTTAGGACGTGGAGGATTTGCTATTTTCAAGTATCCAGGTAACTGAAACTCTATCCTCAAAGTTTTACTTCATCATGAAGTCTCATTCTTGTGACTTTGGAGGAAACGAATCATTTAGTTTTCTGCCTTCTTAAATAATACCCTGGCATCTTTTCCTGCTGTGCCTAGGTCATTGTTAAAAATAACAAACCTCACTGAGGTCCGTGATGAGGGGCTACCCTAGGGACCAGCTGCAATGCTCGAGGAAGTGTGCCTCTGTGACAAGGTCCCACAGTGGCCTTTCAGGAGGCACAGACTTTGCTGCCTCCTCTTAAGCTACCAACTCTCCGACTGTGACCACTAAGCCTCTACTGGGGACTCCTTTAGTTAATAATGCTCCTTGGATACTGAGACGTGGGCTATCAGGGTCACCAGTGTTGGTGACATTGTGTCCAGAATATGAATAAAAGGCTCTCAGTAAGGAGCTGAGATCCTTTTCCTTTCTACCCACAGGCGTGCAATGCCTGCACGTGGTGTACAGACCTTGGGACAGTGCCTTTCCCTGGTCATGAGCCTTCTAGTCATGAGGGTGCCAGGGCGGGGCAGAATATGAGCCCCTGGCATTGAATCCTGAGTCTCCATGCTCCAGATGTGTGCCACGCGCTCCATGCTTATTAGTGAGCGTGGAGCACAAGGTTTGCTGGCAGGCCCTCAGGAGGTACAAACTACACATATACACAGACGTACACTTCTGATTCTCTCTGGTGGCGTTCCTAAGAGCTAGAGTTTTTGCAATTTTAAAGCCTCTACACACACTGAGTGTTCAAACTACCACCGAATGCGCAGCTTTCCTGTACAACCTTTACAGTCACTGATGTTTGGTTCCATGGGGTCCTCCACCTACCAAAGCATCGCAGCCCACACAGAGAAGTCTGGAGATGACACGGTACTTTCGTGCTCTTTTGAAAATCATTCCTAAGGCTCCATCTACAATTAACAAGATGAGTTTACCCTTTCAGTAGGCAGCTCAGGGTTTTCTCTACCAGGAAAGAAACATCTACCAACTCAGAAGGAATCATCTGAACTCTTTCCCAATGTCTACGTCCCAAAACCTAAGAAGAAGACCAATAATCCCAAACCAGTAGCAATGATCAGATGTCAGGGCTGACCCAAATGAGAGGGATCCACTCACAGGAAAGGACGTCAGTGACAAGGAGGGACTCTGGAACTCAAATTCCCTGAGATTCAAATTCTCTGGAATTCAAAGCTCTAGTAGAACAGAACCATAAACCTTGTGCTTATCCAGTGGCTAACAAAAATCCTCCCAGAGAAAATAACATTCATGGAAGCTCATCCCATAGCTCCTTGGAGCTCTGAATTCTCTCAGCGGGATCAAGCAGACCACAAGCCCATTACCAAAGACTATCGCATCTCAGCTCCTTACAGAATGTCAGCCTCAGCTCTGATGCCAGGGTCTAGAGGAAATAGGCCATGTGGATTCTGTTACTCTATTATGAACAAATGTTACCGATGCCTCTATCATGCAGTATTCCTTACAATAATAATAATTAAAAAATTAATCCCGCCTGGCAAAGTTACTTTATACTCTCATGCTAGAAAAGATTCTGTGTCCTCTGAGAAACTGGTCAGCAACTTCCTTCTGAGTGGCGAGGACAAGGCACCTGACCCTATCCCCTTTCCTGACCACCAGGCAGCTCCAGTCACCTTGGAAACGCAGATGCAGGCTTCACAAGAGCTCCTGGGCCCCCACCCCCATGGCTGATCTCCCAACTTTGATTTCTACTTCCCTCTGTTTCTGAATTTTCTACTTGATAATTTCTTTACCATGGGTATGCTTTCTTGCAAGCCTCCTCAAATGCGTTTTCACAACCAAAAGGATAGAAATAAATAAATCAACAGACACAAAATAGCTCAAGGAGAGGAGATCCGAGACATGCCTGCTGGCAACGGAACACACCACGTGCAGGGGTTCCTAACCTGGCAGCGGGTAAGGTGGATGGGCTTCCAACAAACCTTGAAGCCCTTGAAAGGGAATTCAAAGTCACAGGGGACTGTGCTTTTTGTTTAGAACCACAGCTCGTCACCTGAGTCTCCAAAGGTTTAAGAAGCACCCCTCTAGGACCCACGGCAGAGGAGACCAAGAATCTTGGCCAACTAAGCAAAGTAGACAAGGGAGCCAGCGAGGTGCGGCAGAAGGTGGCCCTGGGCTGACAGCAGCCCAGCCGTCCTTCTCTGAGCTGGACCTTCGCATTACTCACTGGGTTGCATATTAACCTACCAGATGGTCTGTTGTAGTTAACAAGGGCCTGCTGCTGCGGCTGTGGCTGCTGCGGCTGAGGCTGGGGTTGGGGCTGTGGCGGCGGCTGCTGCTGCATGCCAGGCAACGTCCTTTTCCCCTGGACTGCAAGCTGCAGTGTTTCGGGGAGGGGCTGGCCCCGGGCCAGCATCTTGTAAGCTAAAATCTGGGCTCGGAGCTGATGCAGCTGGACTGGACTGAAAGGAGAGGGACCCCTGCTGGGTTGGTTCATCGCCTGGGGGTCGCCTGGGATGAGGGGTCCTGGCTGGCTTGCTGTCATCTGTGGTGGGGTCGGGCCGCCTCCTGATATAGGGCTGGACACATGCTCGGGGGCTCCCAGCGGAGATGGGTGTGGTGACATGTAACCTGGAATAAAACACAAGGGGAGAGGTCACAGGCTGCCCCCCATGACCCTGAAAGAGAAACATTCCTGGAGATCCTGATGATTTTCCACAACAGCATTGACTGATAGAAATTTAAAGCATATGTAACTTAGTAAGTATGGGATTATATATAATTTTAAATTTATGTGTATCAAATATATATATAATTTAAAGAAACAGACAAAAGTAATTGCAATAATATATAATTTAAACCAACATATCCCTAATATTATCATTTCAAAAAATAAAAATTATTAGAGATTTTACATTTTTGTTTCTGTATTAAGTTACTGTACATCTCCACTGGGACTAGTCACATTTCAAGTAGTGGATAGCCCGATGTGTCCTAGAGGCGTCCCTCATAGCTCAGCTGGTAAAGAATCTGCCTATAATGTGGGAGACCCCGGTTCAATTCCGAGGTCGGGAAGATCCACTGGAGAATGGATACCCACTCCAGTATTCTTGGGCTTCCCTTGTGGCTCAGCGGGTAAAGAATCCACCTGCAAGGCGGGACACCTGGGTTGGGGAGATCCCCTGGAGAACAGAAAGGCCACCCAATCCAGTATTCTGGCCTGGAGAATTTCATGGACTATACAGTCCATGGGGTGGCAGAGAGTCAGGCACGACTGAGTGACTTTCACTTTCATGTGTCCTAGGTGGTGAACTAGTAGTGGCTGTTGCACACCTACAGGAGGGCACAGGGGAGAGTGTTATACGTTAAAAGGAGCTCCAACCTAGAGACCAGAACCTGAGGCTGTCCACTATACTGCAGTGCGAACGAGGACTCTCTCATGGGGACACTATTTGGTTTACTATTATGCACTTTATGGATAATTTGCCATTACTGAGGGCCTCCATGGTTGCGGGCACTAAGCCAGGCATTGTGCATGCTATTTCAGCCGAGTTTTCCCTGGAAACAGAGCCTGATGGAAAGACTGAGCGCGGCCAATTTTATCTGAAAGATGCAGGGACACTGACAGGAGTGTGGAAAGGTAAAATAAGGAAGAGGTGGAAGTCAACAATGAGTGCATGATTAAGTCAGTTGCTGTAGTGCATGCCTGAAGATTAACCTCATGCACAGAAGCTCTGGGATAAAGTATGTAACTTGCCTCCCTATTATCCCAGGGAAGGAGCTGGGGTATTTATACTCCATCACTGGTCACCGGTTATGACTCTGGGGATCATTAGTCCCCAGGGACTTTGCCGTGAGTTTGTAAGGTAGGTGCCAGTAAACCAAAAGCAAGATGGCGGTCTGGCCAGTAGATATAAGGATGATGGGAGCACAGAAATGGTAAGAAGAGTTAGCGGGATGTCAGCAGAATGGAGCATACATTTATTTTTCTACAATCCTCACAACACCCCCAGAAGATATGTGCTGTCACCTCATTTTTTAAAATGAGGAAAATAAGCACGTCACACCATGTCACACAATTAGATCTTGGTAACCAAGATTCACCTGATTCCAAGGCATATGTTCTTTCCATGGTCTAATATTAATTGTTTTGTATTAATATAAAAATAAGTTAAAGGCTTGAAAGCTTCCAAAATCTTCTAGAGCTGTTAATGTGCTGCAAGCTAAGTCACTTCAGGTGTGTCCAACTCTTTGTTACCCCCATGAACTGTAGCCCACCAGGCTTCTCTGTCTGTGGGATTGTCCAGGCAAGAATACTGGAGTGGGTTGCCATGTCCTCCTCCAGGGGATCTTCCCAACTCAGGGATCAAACCTATGTCTCTTACGTCTCCTGCATTGGCAGATGGGTTCTTTACCACTGGGGCCAACTGGAAAGCCCAGAACCATTTACAATGTAATATAAAAATGAGAGTGATCTGTTTGGGTGATAAAGAGACTTAAATGGAAAACTTAAGAATACTTAAGAAAGAAAAGTCAATACATCTGAGTCTCTTTTTCTGTTTTGCATATAGGGTTATCGTTACCATCTTTCTAAATTCCATATATATGTGTTAGTATACTGTAATGGTCTTTATCTTTCTGGCTTACTTCGCTCTGTATAATGGGCTCCAGTTTCATCCATCTCATTAGAACTGATTCAAATGAATTCTTTTTAATGGCTGAGTAATATTCCATGGTGTATATGTACCACAGCTTCCTCATCCATTCGTCTGCTGATGGGCATCTAGGTCGCTTCCATGTCCTGGCTATTATAAACAGTGCTGCGATGAACATTGGGGTGCACGTGTCTCTTTCAGATCTGGTTTCCTCGGTGTGTATGCCCAGAAGTGGGATTGCTGGGTCATATGGCAGTTCTATTTCCAGCTTTTTAAGAAATCTCCACACTGTTTTCCATAGTGGCTGTACTAATTTGCATTCCCACCAACAGTGTAAGAGGGTTCCCTTTTCTCCACACCCTCTCCAGCATCTATTGCTTGTAGACTTTTGGATAGCAGCCATCCTGACTGGCATGTAATGGTACCTCATTGTGGTTTTGATTTGCATTTCTCTGATAATGAGTGATGTTGAGCATCTTTTCATGTGTTTTTGTGCCTCTGGGAGAAGGCGAGGGTGGGATGTTTCAAGAGAACAGCATCGAAACATGTATATTATCTAGGGTGAAACAGATCACCAGCCCAGGTTGGGTGCATGAAACAAGTGCTCGGGCCTGGTACACTGGGAAGACCCAGAGGGATTGGGTGGAGAGGGAGGTGGGAGGGGGGACCGGGATGGGGAATACATGTAAATCCATGGCTAATTCATTTCAATGTATGACAAAAACCACTGCAATGATGTAAAGTAATTAGCCTCCAACTAATAAAAATAAATGGGAAAAAAAAAAGAAAGAAAAGTCAAAATGCAACAAAATTTTCAAGAGACTTATTTCAAGAGATGAACTGTAGAGTCTGGCCAAAGAATTCCTAGAAAAATATAGGACTGCACATTGCTGAAGGGAGATCCAAGAGGAAGGAGAGGACAAAGTGGTCTGCTGTACCCCAAAACATTGTCTTCCATTCAAACTGAGGGCTAACTCATCAACTCAAAGGCATTCTAAGACACAATGTAAAATATTAAATTAAAGGTCTTTGCCATTAATAAATCCACCGGCATCACAATTATTTTAAAGGTCATCACATAGGTGTTTATTAGGCATCTGCTGTGTGTTTCAACACTTAATCAAGTTTGAGCTGAAGCTGCTCTCTGTATCCAAGTGGAATTACAGAGGCTCAGCAATATCTGACCCATGCTGCCTGGGGACTCACCATCATCATTTGAAAGACTAGAGAAAATAAAGGATACAGTTCCTTTTATCTCAAATTGCCATTTGGAGAGGGAAACAAATTTAGCTTGATCCCCTAAGACAAGAGTAGGTTTTGTTCTATCAATTGGTAAGATGTAGAACTCCATTCAGAGTAATCCTGCCCTGAAGAGAAATGGAAAAACCACTAACTCACATTCCCGAAATCCCTACTCTATAATCGAGCACAAAAATCATGCAGGCATTAGGGTTCTACTTGATCATAGAAGTTAGCCTAAGAAAATGCCCCTGCAATCAGCCTGCAAGATGAGCAGAAATTCAAATCCCAGGATGTTATTTATAACAATAAACATTTTCAAAGAGTATCAATAACATACACTTAACTTCATCATTAACATTTTTCCTTCTTAATGAGGTTAAAATTCACCTCCAAATTGTAATGCTGGTGCAAAATGGTAGTTTGTTCATTATGAAAGCACCTCCCTAACACCTTTTTGCCAACCTTGCATCTATCACTGTAAGGAAAACTTCCTACTATAGCTACTGACATTTCATGGGAGAAGGGATACAACCAGGTGTTAAAATGGGTCACGTCTCCTGCCTTCTGGACTGTCCTCTTTCCTAAGGTCGTCACCAATTATAGCTTACCCGTGATAAATCACAGGATGCCTAATACAACTGACCAAAACATTAGACAGTCTAATCTAAATGTAATTGTGTAACACTGTTCATCAAATCGCTCTTTTGAACTATGACTCCTGGCATGGCAAAATTATAAAGATGAGACACTTAGTTGCACTAAGTACAATAATTCATTTTACCTCAAATTTGCTAAGAAAGAAACTAAGAGTGAAATAAAAATCATTTTCCAGAATTAATCAATACAACAAAATCTTCCCTTAAATGTGGTAAGAAAAAAACTGGGAGGGTGGGAAAAATTGTTTCCTAGAATTTACAGGAGATGCTAATATAATCATTCTATCACTGTATGACATTAAAAATGTGACAGTGTTTCAGTTAAAGAGAGAGATTTCTTTTTATTTTTTGACATGACTAGCATTCCATAAAACTTCAGGAAAAATCAGAAAAAAATCTAAATGATAAAACAAAATAACATATTTGCATAATTACCTTTGGTTGAGAAAATGGTGAAGAAATTGCCTGAGAGTAAATACACCTTTGTCTGTAGGATGACAGTGTTGATGCAGAATCTGCTCTTTTTAAAATCTGGTTTAATTTGCTCATTTAAAAGTCGTCAAAAAATGGCAGTTTTCCTTCCCTCAGCTTCAAGGGCATTATCTCCCCAGTTTCATCTTTTTGCAGAGAGAGAGGCAATCAGCCTTTCTCCTTTTCATAAACTCGAGTTTTCAAGTGCCAATTTTATATGAGTTTTCTCTTTACACACACACACACAACATTAAATATTATATACTTTCCTTTGAAGGCTTTCTCTATCCAGTGGACTAAAAATAAACAATGTTATCATCGGGACCATAAGGTACACAATTTAGTATTTATTGAAGGAAATGGTTTTGCTTCTCAACCAATACCTTAAAATAACCTAATAGGTTGCTAGGTAGTTAAAGCTGGCAGTTTTCTGATCAATACCACACCTCTTTGGACCTGTGTGTTTATAAACGGCTTTCTACAATGGAGTTTTTAAAGATACATGCTATTAAGCAGTCTAAATTCTTTTTAGCTCATTATATAGAATAATACTGCATTATACCAATACTACCTTATTCAAAAGCATATGTTAAATAACGAATTCCCCAGCTTACAAGGCACTTTACTCTTCGAGAGAAAAATATTACATTCTAATTCCAATTCCATTTAATTAATGCAGACTTCTGCATTTCAAAGTAATTATAACTTATTGAAATTATATAAAAATTAAGATCTATTTTAAAGTGTTTTTTGAATACACAAAGTTCACTTCTCTACCTAATTGAAAAAAAGTTTACTAAATATCCAGTTATGTGCTAGACATTGTGCCAAGTGTTGGAAATTCCAAGAAATATCATCATTCTAGAAGTCCAAGAAAGGAACCAAGCAATGAAAGAAATTTTAAGATACATAAAAGTAAAATGCCTCACTTATGATTCATGCATTTAAGTGTTTTCCTTTGGCATTGTCCCAGGGCCCCACTATTAGAAGTACTGCAAAGCCAGGAGCAGACAGAGCCAGCATCTGGCTTTGAGAATCACTGACTATAACTCATCTACACCTCCCAGGTATTAAAAATGAGATCTACTTTAGCTCTGTAAAGGCACCTGGCTCTTCAGAATTTAAATGATAAACCTGAAAGTATTGTCTTAATACATTCTTACCCCGAATGGCTCAGATTCTTTTCTTCTGTACCTGAAAAAATCCCAATTACTCAGTCTGCTTTTCTCTAACATGGTCAGGATTTTACGAGTCATCTGTCACACTTACATCTGCCTACCATCAAATTTCAGATCAGAGTCTAGGATCTTCAAAAACCTGCTGGAATATTAGTGAAGATGTACTCCTATGTCTCCATGAGTTGCTTTTATAGATACATATGTATGTATGTATTTAAGAGCAAATACAGGGAGATCTCTGGCAGTCCAGTGGTTAAGACTTCACCTTGATTGTAGGGTTTTCATCTTTGGTCAGGGAGCTAAGATCCCATATGCCTCATGGCCGAAACACCGAAAACATAAAACAGAAGAATACTGTAACATCTTCAATAAAGACTAAAAATGGTCCACATGAAAAAATAAATAAATAAAAATGAATACATGTCTCTCTACCTCCACAGTCAAAACCTTCCCTCAGGTGAATGGACCTCTAATCAAGGATGGAGGAAAAAACTCATATACATTAAATAACAAAGATGTATATACAACAACACATAAAGCATACACTTTGAATTAGAATATCAACACATTAGGTTAATTAGTGTTGGATTAATCACGCCCCTGACATGCTGAAATGAAATGCCCATATAGTGATTCTGAAAAGAGGTTACATTATATCTTTGGATATACTTTCCACTATCTTCAATATGCCCTCAACAATGAGAGGGAAAAGCACCAAGAGAAGAGAAAGCTGCCATATATTGATTTGGCCATTACTGTGAGTGGAACCCTGTCCTCTATGAAGCTATACTGAAGACATACCCCTCAGTGCCTGTTCCTGTGACCTTACTTGGAAATAGGATCTTTGCAGATGTAATCGAGTAAAGATGAGGTCATACTGGATCAGGGTCGATTCTGATCCAGTGACTGGTGCCCTTATAGAAAGAGCGAAGTCTGGACACACATACAGACATGCAGGCTGAATGTCATGTGGGGACCAAGACAGAGACTGGAATGACAGATCTACAAGCCAAGGAATGTCAAAACAGTGCTGGTGACCACCACAAGCTAGGTAGAGGCAAAGAAGGATTCTTCCCTAAAGACTTCAGAGCGACCACAGCCCTGCTAATATCCTGATTTCGGACTTCTGGCCTCTAGAACTTTGAGAGAATACATTTCTATTGTTTGAAGCCAACTGGCTTGTGGCAATTTGTTACAGTAGCCCTAAGACACTAAGCTAGCCATTCACCAATGACGACAGGCTACTCCACTGCCAGAAAAAGCCACCTTATGAAGGAGGAATGTACAATTCAAGGGACATGGGTGGCTCATCCTGCTATCACCCATCCATGCCGTTGTTGGGAGGCAGACCTGGGTCCTCCTTCTGGTCCTGTCACTTACTGGATGTGCAAGCTTACAGAAGCAAAGTAAACTTTCCGAGCTTTCGCTTCTCCACCTATAAAACTGGAGTGGTACAATGTATCTTACAAGATCAGGGCAAAGATTTTGCATAAAGTACACAGTGTACTTTGCAGAGTCCTCAGACACAAGATAGCCAATCAAACTACTAGGATTTTGTAAAGAAAATTGCCCATATCAAACATAAAGTTGTGTTGGTGGGAGGTAAGGGGAGATTTCTACAGGGAAAAGAAACCTGCCGGACCCCATCCTTAGACAAGTTCTGTTCTTTGCAAGTCACAATTAAAATAACAATAGGAAAGATGAAAGACTATGATATAGAGCCCAAAGCAGGTATGTAGCAGACACAAACCTTGGCTGTGCTGATCCATCGGACTCTGAGGAGGGCCCATTCCTGGGTGAGGTGGTCGCATAGCAGTGCCTTTCATGGATCCACAATGGATATCTTCAACCCCCTTGTCGTGCATACCATCCATGGGCTGAAATATTTATAGGACATCAGTTAGGCACCTCTTTAAGGCACAATATTTCTATCCGGTGATTTAAGATACCATTCTATAAAGGCTTCAAAATTGTGGCCCAATCCTCTATTATCCACGTGATAGCCATATATTTTTACATTTATATTATATATATTACTATATACTACATAGATTTCATAGATGGGGACAAAAAAATTAATAAAAAAGACTACACCAATAGGATCAGCAAAGCTACCTGTTAAGTCAAAAGTTAAAGGCTTTAAACAGTTGAAAGGTTTTTGGTTATGTCAAAACCTGCAAATAAAAATGAAGTCCTGTTGACAAGGCAGACAAATGTAAGCTATTCTTCTACACCCTTTTTAAGTTAAGTCCTGAAACCTGCTGTATGTTGAAGTGAGTCCAAAGTCTGAATGGAGGAAGAAAGACTCTTTGAAATGTCTGTGATGATCTATTTTTTGGGTAATTTTTTTTTTCATCAGAGGGGAAGGAACCTATGGAAAGTTTAAAAGTTGAAACCAGAAAGTTCCATGGCAGTTGGGAAAAGAAAAACAGACGGGTAGAGCAGTGAATGGGGGTAAATACCAAAAGGGAAAAAGGCTGAAATAGACGAAGCTATACTACAGAGGGAGGAAGAAAGAAAAAAGGCGAAAGGCAAGGTTTGGAAAAGAAGAACACAGGGGCTGGAAAGAGGGCTTGAGGCCTTGTATGCAACAGACACACAAGAAACAGCCACTGAATGGACACTAATCCAATCCAGAATTGGGCAACGGAGCATGTGTTCGAGAAAGGAAAAGTCTATTCCTCCCCAAACTGGAAGAGCAATTTTCAAAACAGCCTGAAAGGAATATTTCCAGGAGTTTATAGAAACCAAATGACTTTGAGCAAGAAAGTATGAGTGTTTGCAGTTTTGGAGAAAGGAAAGTTAATTTCTGCAGAGTCAAAAGCATGCACTTGAAAAGAGGAGAAATTTACCATAAAGAGGATGTTCAGAAGAAAAATGGGAAGAATTTGGTATAAAGAGTGTCTCTGAGTCTGTTAAATAGTAATAATAGAGAGGAAATCAAAGCAACACAGCAGATGTATTTAGGCCACTTGTTTATTTATTTCCAGTAATGTTGAAAAGCAAAAAGCTGAAGCTCAGAGGGAGACGGAGGAGAAAAGACAAGGAATAAAGCTGCCTATAAAAAGATTTTCAGAAAGTGAAGCATCTGGTCAGCAGGTGTGAACTCCAGGCACTTCACCATGTCCTCACCCAGGGAATTATCTGAGGGTCTGTGGGCCGAAGAAAAGCAGGATGAGAAAATGCAAAACTTGCACAATGAGAACAAAACAAAAAAGAGCATCGATGGGGGTAGAGAAGAGGAGAAAATGTGACAAAGATGCTAGGGAACAAAACAGAAGGGATCAGAAGATATAATTATAAATAAAAACAATTCAGAACATAACAATGACCTAACACTTATGAATAGGTTTAACTTTTCAATGCTTAAATAATAATAAAGGTGAGCTAAATATTTCCTTCAAATCTTATCTTTCATTTCGAAGGTGAAAGCATCCTTAAGCCCTCTCAAAACTATTTCACCTACCTGTACTAAGGTTTGCAATTGACAGATCCAGTCTATAATATAATCCCCCAATTAATACAATATGAACACAAGACAATGTAATGACTTTGATATGTCTATATATTCAATATGTCTCCTAATGAATATGATATGGAAAATAAGCATTTCTTTACATACCTGACAAGCTAAAAACCTGTATTTAAAAGAACTAAAAAAAGCAGGGAGAGACCTTGGAGATATTATAGGGCTATCCATGATATAGTTAAATGAAAAAAGAAGTCTCAAAGTAATTAACAATGATGATATGACTCGATTATGGTAAAAGAAAAAAAATTTAAATATATCACCTGAATATGCAAATCTATGCTTAGATGCTATTTTTGTTGAAGCTGGAGCAAAGTAAGGTGCAAAAAACGTATATACAGTGCTCACTTCGGCAGCACATATACTAGAATTGGAATGATACAAAGATTAGCAGGGCACACAAATTCATGGAGTGTTCCATATTTTTTACAAAAAGAAACGCATTTGAGTCAGTTCTAATAAGGTGGATGAACCTGGAGCCTATTATACAGAGTGAAGTAAGTCAGAAAGAAAAAAATACTGTATATTAACACATATTAAGGAATCTAGAAAGATGGTACCGACAATCCTATGTGCAGAGCAGCAAAGGAGGCACATGTAAAAAACAGACATTTGGACTCAGCGAGAGAAGGCGAGGGTGGGATGATTTGAGAGATTACCATTAAAATGTGTACATTACCATATATAAAATAGATGACCAGTGCAAGTTTGGTGCATGAAGCAGGACACCCAAAACCAGTGCTCTGGGAAAACCCAGAGGGACAGGGTGGAGAGGGAGGCCGAAGGGGGGGGTTCCAGATGGGGGGATACACATGTATACCTGTAGCTGACTCATCTTGCTATATGGCAAAAACCATCACAATATTGTAAAGTAATTATTCTCCAATTAAAATTAATTAATTAATTAAAAAATACGTTATACAGTCTTAGTCAAAATTTAAGGAAAAAAAGTATGTACAATAAGCTGTTACCTGGGATGAACCACTTATTTTATTTAGATCAATATGGTTTTACTTTTCAAAATAAGCATATATTAATTTTTTTATTTGAAAACTGTCAAATAACAAAAATTTGTGAAAAAATGGATTTTCCCTTCCTGGGCTGCAATGCCTTACCTTAAAACTGACTCCAGTCCTACCAATTAAAGAAAAGACTTACACTTTTTTGCAGTAACCTTCCTGTTTCAAACCAGTATCTTCCATGATTCACCTATTTAACATCAAGAAGCATCCTCACTACCTTATCTACCTGTGATATCATCCAAAAAAGATGTAAAACGGCCATACATCTCATCAGACCTAAACTTCAGGTAACATACAGAAGGTTACTCCTATGCTTCAACGCAAACTGTCACAGATTTTGTTTGCTTTCTCAAAAGGCCATTCTTTTTCACATCTCCTACAAAGCCATAATACCAAAGTCATACTGTTATGATCATCCCCACAGCAACAACCTGAATCTCACAAATGGCAGATTATTATAATCCTAATAACAACTGGGCCTGGGCTCTACAAAATCAGAGCCCTCTTCCAAAACCAGAAGAAAGCCACTTCACAGGCAGAGAGCAAAGTGCATTTTCAAGGATTCCCTAGAAAATATTTTATTTCTATCAAGGCTTTTCTGAAAATATGCTTTAGGAAAAGACTCACTTTCCCTTTTCCTCTTTGGGACCTATGAGATCTTTTCAGGGAAGGATAATTTTCAGTATGTTACTCATAGATGGTATAAGTTACTTAACAGACATAGTTGGGGGAAAAAAGTAAGACTTCCTCCTACTTCTTCACCAAGTCAAAATACCTGCAACCCCCAATCCAAAGAATCTGTCAAAGCTGCATATTATAGCTAACACTTTTTAAAAAGCCAAGATCAAATCTTCCTGACTGGTGTAACATCTGTAACCATAAAAGAGCCTAATAATGTATATTTCTAATAAGGTACAAGATAAGAAAAAAACCTAGCTGATGCTCTTGTTAACCACAGTAGAAAAAAAGAGTGGGGGGGGTGGTTGGTTATCAGGGATTATTAGCCATCCGTGACTCAGAAGTCAAGACTGGGAAGGGGAATGAACTCACCTTGTGCATCTGATGCATGCCTTCCTGAGGGAAGTCAGCAGACCCCATAGACGGCATAGGGTGTGAGACGCTAGGAGGCCCAGGACTTGGCCCCATCATACTGTGGACGGAACCGGGGGATGGTCCGGGTCCTGGACTGGGCCCAAGAATGGGTCCAGGAGAGGGTCCCGGCCCTGGCGAAGGCCCTGGGTGGGGCATCGCGCCAGGGTCTGTGGGCGTGGACATCTACTTCTCCTGTCTCTGCCAGTCGGTACAGTGATACTGAGTTGGAAAGAAGAAAAGAGAAAGGGAGGTTTTAAACATGATGTTAAGATCAGAATAAAACAGTTGTAGTATTTGGTGGTGCCATTTCTGTAATGAACATCAAACAGAACTCCCCTGTCTGGTCCAGATGCTTCAGAGGGTGTGATATACATATCCATATCCATCTGCCCTCCTCTTTATGAAGACCACTTGTTTAAAAGAAAAAACAACTCTAAATGATTCTCCAGAAAGATATAAATCATCTAAGATGCAAAAAAAAGGCTCACTGGAGAAACTAAAATTTACACATAAGCAGAATTCTAAACAAGCTTGAAATTTATCACTGAATTCAACAGATGCTCTCCATTACTTGGGCACCTTACAAGTCATTAACCACTCCCCCCTCCCCCCCACCCAAAGCCATTAAAATATAAAATTCCTAAAGACGTACCCAACCAAGACCCACTTGCATAAGTCAATGGGCATTCAAGCTTCTCAGAGAATTCTAGATAGTCAAAAGGGGGGGAAGGTACAATTCCATAAATTGAGAATGAAAGGGAATTGCCAATCATGGGAAAAGCAGAGGTTATGGGAGTTGGACAAATATGGGTTCAAATACCCACGTATACAATTACGCACTGAGACTAAAATGCAATAGTACACATAAAACCACAGCTCTGCATCTGGCACAACAAGCAGTTACGCTTACTGAGCATCATTCCCCACCCCTGCCACCTCCACTGCAGCAGAAATGACTAGGAGGGACAGGTTAAGATGTGTCCGCCCACCAGCTAATGGATAGAAGACCACATGTACAGTTGAGGCCAGAGATTCATCCCAGCCCTCTGTGGGGTCCAAGAGTCACAACAGAAGTCATCTCTGACTCCTGGATTTCTCCACATTGATGAGGTGTGGAAATCTCAGTTCTCCAGCAAAGCAATATACCATCTCCTACGCACCAAGACTTCCTGGCATCCCCATTGGGGAACTGCCTCATGGAGTGGGTATGACTGACTCGGATATGAGCCAAAATGACGAAATAAGCTTTTTTTTGAATCCTGATGTCTCCATGGTCCAGAATGATCCCAGGATAGTCATGATGATTTATTATGTCACCTGGGGCACACACCTGTATGCACAAAATTCTGATGCCAAACTCACAAAATCCTAAATGGATTTGTGTGCCCACTGATGAAAGGCAGGGTTGAAATTAGACCATAGGTGCTTGGTCACCCACAGCAGGGCTCTGTCCACAGAGAAATGACAGGTTAGAGGGAAAACTAAAACACACACACACATTACTTCCATTCTTAGCTAACTACCGTCACCTCTCGAGGAATCTCTAGAATGTGAGGGCCGTGAGGGCAAGGACTTGCTCTTCCTTGCTCCTATTTCCCCAGCACGTCCAACCAGTGTGAAGTTAAAAAAAAAAAAATTGAATGAACTGTAGACAAAACTGCATGGACAAACTATTAATAGAGTCAGTTATTAAAAAATTAAATAATTAGGAGAGCAGTCAGTGTTCAAGGTACGCTCAAACAAAGAAATCTTAACAACGGAGGCAAGAATTTGGGCCAATCTGATAAATGAATTAGGGCTAAAACAGGAAGTGATGAAAGGCTGCTTTGGAATGATTTCGAGCAAGGGATCACTCAAACTGTTTTGCTGATACAAGGGGGGACTAAGAGAACCCCGTTCAAGTGGTTTCTAAAACAACAGGGAAGCTTGGATGGTGAGTTATAGCCTTGAATTCACTAGAGAGTCAAATGGTATTATTTTTTCTTTGTGATTAACAAAGCAGGCAGAAGTAACCTTTTTTTTGGCATTCCACCCCCTCACATACACACACACACACATACACACACGTACACACACACATGTTCAGTCAGCATTTTAAATTTAGGAAGCTGACGTCAATTCAGGGGTACTCCAAGTTTAAATGTTCTTTCATGTATATCAGCAAACTAATAAACCCCTTTATTTTTTAGTGAATAAAAGGAAATTGCTTACTTCCTGTTATGGTTTACCTTGAAACTGGCTTCAGTGGCTATGATGGTAAGATACCACAAGTTTGAACAATGAAGATACAAATGCTCAGTCAGCCTGGTAGTCCTACTTTTCAGGTTTTATATTTTAATATCTAACGATTTTCTGCATATATAATGATTTTCACCCAGGAATCTCATAGAAGGTTGTAATTAATGGTATACAGTCCCATAAAAACGCTCCTCATTTTTTTGTTATAGGAAACTACTGAAAACTTCTTAGGGGAAAACATATGTGACGGGAAGTAGAAAAGTATGGGTATATAGAGGAATGTTAACATGTCACATGGGAAACTTTTTCTTAAGACAAGAATCTTTAGAAGCATGTCCTTAATGCATGTGTCCATGAAACAGCATAGATGAGCACACACACAAGAACACAAGAAGTTAGCTCAGAGGAACGGCAAAGTCTAACAAATGAGCAAATGTGCCTCATGCAGCCCAGCTAGGGGATCTGGACTATTGAGCAACTTGCATGTGACTCTCTGGCTTCTGACTGGGAGCCCAGAGACCTTGGGTTCCTGTCTGCCGATCTCAGGGCCGCCACCAACCCTGAGGGTTCTGCCTTTCTTCTGGGCTTCTCAATTTCGCCGGAGCTTGGAATTGGAGCGTCTAAGGCTCCCTGCATCTGCCAATCCATGACTTGCAGCATCTCCTGATTCCTCCAGTCTTCTGTGTGGGGGCATTCATCGGTGACCCTCCCAGCAGGATTCGTGCTGTCCCACCAAAGAGAAGCACCTTTCAGAGGTGAGGATGTCGTCCTCGCCTCCTTTTCCTTCCTTGTCGTTTCTGATGAGAGCAACTTCATGGTACAGCTCCAAGGCATAATCAGACTTTCTCATAGCGTGAAACAACTGGGTGCTGTAGATTACAAAGAGGGGCGAGTCTTGAGCAGAGGCGCAGGGCATTACTAAGTCCCTGTGGTGAAGGTTGAAAGTCCAGAACTGGTCAAGCCATCTTCTCCCTCACCCATCCTCCTCCCCCCTCTGCCCAGAAATCCAAAGCCTTTTCTTCTTTCTTCCAAGCACTGATGAAGTGAGGTAGATGGGGTGGTAATGGTGGGGCTGGGGGCAGGATGGATGGGGGAGAGGCTATAGCTCTGGTCACCTTGATGGGGCAGGAGCTCTTAGTCTCTCCACAAAGTTAACACTCAAAATCTATTTTTGTCTGGTGTTGGAGGGGGAGGGGGTGAGTTTTACATAGTCACCAAAAAGAATGACCTGTTCCACAATTACGGGGCCAATATAATAAAGACAATGTGTGTGTGTGAGGAGGTAAAACACACAGATAAGGCCGTACACTGGCATTGCCAGCGCCACCCCCGCCACCTCCATCATCCCTGCAACACTTCCCTCCACCTCACACCGGCACTCCCCGAGGGCCAGGCCACTGTGTTCTTAGCCAAGAATTTTTCAGCAGTACACCCTGTCTTTTTTCGTCCTGTCCCTGCCTTTACAACCGTGGAGTGTGTGCTTTTAAAAATAAAAGTCGTTGGTGCTTCCTACAACTCCAACCACTGCAGACATCTTCCCTCTGCCTGAATCTCCTTCCTCTCCCCTTTGCAGAAAGCCCCAAAGCCCGGGCACACCCATCTGCATATTAAAAGGAGTTCAACTTCATGGAATTTTAAGGGTCACCAGTCCAACCAAGACAACCAGCGACAAAACATCTACCTTTGTGGTTTACTCCAATCAGCTGAAAAACCCCTATGCCTGCAGTAATACTTAACAGCACACCCCTATGGGTTGAATCATTTTAGTGACTTGACTTGAGGACACATCTTGTCATGTCCCCGTTTAACAGAGGAGAGCACAAAGGGACCACAGAGCTTGCGCAAAGTCACATCTGTGGGTGACTTTGTCTCTTGACTCCGGGCCCATGACCAAGTCAGGGCAACATCGGGCAAGCCAGGCCATCCACCAGCCTGGAGAGCTCTCACTCAGGTTGAGCAAAGATGCGCAGGGTACAGAAACAAAGATGGAAACATCCGGAGGCGTCACAATGGGATTAAGTTGTGGCTGTGATCGCATGTTAATGTATGAAGGGACAGAGAAGTGAAGAGAAGCCCTTGAAAAAATATGAGGCAGAGACAAAGTTATGAACTTAAGAGGATGGTGACATTTAATCAAAGAACCAGAAGACCTGTTTTACTGATCTATTCTCAAATGTCCTGACTCTTTCCCAGGGCAGAAGGCATGAAGGATGTACAAGAATGACCAGAGGGCTTACCCCAAGGCTCGGCAAGTCTGATGGAGAAACGAGACTTATCCATATATAGCAGTGAGAAAAAAGAAACAAACAAACATGCAAGCTCCTGCAAGACCAAAAGGGGTTGAGCTGGAGTGTCCATTGCAGTCATGGGCAGAATTACATCTCAGAGGGCAGAGGCAAGAGCAGGGAATTAAGGTAGGCTTCATGGATAAGGTGATGTTTCAGTGAGGGCTTGAAGTAGATAATAAACATGTGTTTACTAGAAACTGTGGTTTTCTAGTCACAGAAAAAGTTTGGGGAAACAAAGCCACCTTGACTAGACAATGCTTCTTAAATAACTATTCGCCGAACACAATAAGGAAGCGTGGGGGGACGTGGGCTCTCCAGCAGACCTTTATCACTGCTGTGTTTACAGAAAGACATACTGGCAAGAGCCAAAGGCGGAATATTAGAAGTAAAAGTTAGGCCCAGTTCACTACCCTAAAAATCACTCTTTTAAAAGTTTTTTGGCTGTTAAGGAGAATGATAAGGCTCAGGAGAGAGTTAAGATAAGAGTCCTTTTTATGTCTGTTTGCTGATTCAGACCATCTCCCCCGACCCTGAAGAATTTCTTGTTTTCTCTGTAACCTTCTCTACAAATGAATTGATAATCCCCCCACAAGAAGTAACAACTTCCCTGGAGCTGGAACACAAGTGTTGCTGTTCTTGATGGGTGAGTGGAGAGTT